AGGAAACCACCCCCAGAAAAAGACAAAAAAAAAAAAGAAAGGAAGGTCAGAAAAGCGATGGGCCGTCCCAAGTGATTGTTTTATCGTTTATTTTAGTTCACCAGAAAGGCAACCAACCAATGTACATCTTGCTTAGACTTTCCGTAGAGCGTGCTTCACAAATAAGAGTATCAACTTGACCCGCTACACTGAGGATCAACCCATCGCGCGGGTCTATACCTCTGATCTTGTTTTGAAGGATCTTTAAAGCCTCTTGTAATTCAGCTTGATGAGCAACATCTCTATCGTAAACAATGGTTTCAATCACGTTCATAAGTGCTATTTCGTTGTGCCTCACTAACGACAGTGTTACCTCACTGGATTTCTTGAATGTACCTTCTGTACCGATAATCCCTAGTGCATCATGAACGTTTTGTGTTAGTCTGAATGGTACAATTTCAGGGCATGGTAAAGTCTTACCTTTATCGAACAAACAATCAAAATCAACATGCAATACTTTACCTGTCTCCGTGTCTAACAAGATATTTTCACAGTGTCGATCACCAAGACCTAAGATATAGCCCAACATAGACATCACAGCGTATGATCTAGAGTAAGTGTTTCTTGCATTATACCAACTTATTGGATCTGGGAATGTTTGTAGAAACCATTCATGTAATACTGGTGGGAACCTTCTTAATTGTTCTTGGAAAAATGCTGCCTTTTGGGTATCACCACAATGAGACCATTGTTCATGGAATGATCTCATATTGTATTTGATCTCTCGAATTTGATATTGGGTAGTATATATAGAACGTAATGTAACAACATTTGGAATGAATTCAAGTATACCACATTCTTCTGTTAAGGATAACACTGAATATGTAGTGATTCCCAGATCACGTTTGGTAGATTCAACTTCTTTTTTCAATAAGAAATCCATGGTAGTGGCAAATTGCATATATTGATTATCTTGTCGAACATCTTCCATTTTACACATTAACCCATATGTTTTACCATCCGAACCGATAATATTAATCTTTTTAGGTTTCTTTAATGATGTAAATACTTTATATCCAGAACCAAATTGAGCAATCGTAACATCATTTCTAAACGGTTTGTATGTTGACATTGATTCTGCAGATACTGGAGATATCGTTTCCAAATTGATTCTGGCGGGGACAGTCATATCAGAGGGCGCCATTCTCATATCAAATTTGAAATCATTTTCTAATGATCTTCCAGCTCTTGTTTCATTATCAGGAGCCTTTTTCATACTGACTCGTGTTAATGATCTTGTCAGTTTTTGAACATTAGATATTAATCCCTTTGATGTAGGCGATTGACTTAAATAAGCTTCTAAGATTTCTGTTCCACATTGGACTCTACCGTTTATTGTAGAATTCTGTAAGACACAAATATACCAAAGAATGTGTGTTGGGTATTCAATTGTTAGCTTCAACAAAATTTTCTTGATTAACTTGGCTGTCTTGGAATGAACATGTAATAATCTTGAAAGCAATTGAGTCAACACCGAATACCAAATATATGTTGGACATTTATCAATTGCATCACTTACATGATTACAAATATCATCAGTAGTTCTCTTTAAAACAATCATTCTCTCGGCCAAAAATTTCTCCATATATTCTTTTGGATCCTTAGATTTAGATTTCTTCATGGAACCCAAGGTAACCTTTTCAGCCTCTGTCAAATGAGGCGTTTGTGATCGTTCTGCTGTGTCTAGCCAAAATGTTACGACTTTTGGCAGATTTTCACGTGCTTGAATAGTATTTCTTTCAAATGCTTTTAGGAAGAAGGCTATTGATTGGGACTCTAATTTACCATCTGGAATAAATCCATCTGCCTTTTTCTTTTCCAGAAATTTACTGTAGTAAAGACCAAAGGAATAGTAAGGTTTGTACCACGTACTGTCTAATCTCAGTATTGTCCTATATTGTTTGATAATTAGGTCACTAGAACTGTTATTAGAGATATACAACCACTCCGTATACTTCAACAATACCTTGGCTTTATCATGTTTATTAATTTGACGATTACTTTGGTTTTTCTTATGTATTTCTTTTACCAATTTTAATGCTCTATCATTTTCACCTTGTTTCCATAACACTTCTGCGAATTCTAATTCTGCATGTGGATGTCCATAATGTAGACAACTCATTAATGCATCTATAGCAATATCTAGACGAGAATTATTTCTGGCCAGTGTAGTAATTTTGTAAAAGGTTTCTACTAAATCTTCACGATCATGTTCTGGGTTACGTAATAAGTTGAATGATTTTCTAATGGAAAGCAAATAATGGTTGGTCGTAAATTCTACGCCCACTCTTTCCATCCTGGTATTTAAAAGTGTAGTATTTTGTTTATATTGAATTTCATTATTGTCGGAGGCTAAAAGATTTACGTCGTATAATCCATGTAGCTTAGTTAGTAACTTCTGTTTCTCGACGAGCGTCGATGTTGCTGCAGATGTTGTAAAATGGGTTCCGATTACCTGGTAACAACGATTAATGTAGTTGGATGTCATGTGTACGTTACCGACACTAACGTGTGATAACGCCTTCGCCATATTATACTGAAACAAAATTGAAGGATCATTTATACTTCCCAGGCTTTCCACTTTCTGGATCCAAAATTTTAACGAATCTATATTACCCAACAGATTTGATGCCTCTAAACCATAGTTGTAACAATCATTCGTCATAGATTCAAAAAAGCTCTTGTTACTAGGTTTTATAGAAGATACGTTAGCTAGTAGTTTAGAATAAAGTTGATGATCATGCATTGACTTTAGCATTCTTGTTGTAGCTTGAGGATTATCGAAGTTACTCAAGACACTGAAACAATCTTGAGCAATACTCCAATTATCAGAGTATCTTAATTCTTCAATTTTAGAATGAAAATCATGAGAAGGGAACGTCTTCAACATACCGTCAATGGAATCGATATCTCCAATTTCTTCATAAGATTGTCGCAAATCTTTTAGTAACATCTCGTTATTCGTTTCATTTATATCTTGTTGTCTGTAGCACTGCTCTAGGTATAGTGCCGAACGTTCATACGAATTAGCTTTTATGGAACCCTTAGCGAGCAATGACAACGGAACTGAATTTAGAAACTTGTCTATTCTTTGCAATAAAACAGTTATTTTCTGATCAGTGACGATGTATGTCCCGTGTAATTGACTATAATTGAACTTATATTGTGTTACCCATTTCCTGCAGTATTCAAGAACTCTAAAAATGGCAGCGAAACACATTTTACGTGAATCGATCTGCAAATGATTCAGGTCATGAGAATCTAACTTAAAAATATGACTGAATTCAAGGCTGAGGTTACCTACTAACTTCTCACATTTCTCGTTTTCACCAGCATTGATTAGAATATCCATGACAATGTATGGAAGAATAAAATTGGAAAAAGATCCATCATCCCACCTCATAAGGGATGCAAATATATGTAACGGGTGCTGCTCTTCAGTACCTACTGTAATTAAATCTAGAGTAAGTGATGTAACCCATTTTTGGTAACTCATCTTCATGTCGAAAAAAGGATAATCAAGATCGACATACGATTTTGTTGAGCTTGAAAAATAAAGGGAAGATAACAGTGGTGATAATGTTGCTTGTGCAGTTTTGTTAAATTTACTCCATAACCTGAACTCTTCTTGAAAAGAATCCTTTTTGTTAATATCCCAAAACTTTGAACTGAGGCCACAGTAATCCAACGATTTCTGCATTACAAGGGCAACAAATAACTGTTTGTTGGGGTTCTCACTATCCCAAAACGAAGGCACCAAAAAATCATTCAGAACCCATATCAAAAATTTGATTGTTTGAGATCTATCACTAAAATCAAATGTTTGTTCAGAGGACACCGTCATTGAATTATCATGTGTGGTAGAATCTAGAACCCCAATTATACTTATACATTCAGAACATGTTCGAGAAATGGTTGGATTTAGTGTTCTAAATTTATGAGCCGTTTTTAATAGTGTAGTTAACAACTGACTAATGTTTGGTTTATTGTTGTCCATACTAAATACTTGATTGGTACTATTAGTCTGTTTTCTTTTCAGAAATAATTTTATATCTTCCAAAGTTTGCTTTATCATGTATCGATTATTACTTGATAAATTATTCACAAATATAGGCAATAAATCTTGTATACCTCTTGTTTTACCAACTCTTCTTGCAAAACTTGTATCTCTGTCCAATAATTTCAATTCTGTCTTTTCCTTTAAAGCAAATACAATATAAGGATTGTTTTCAAACATAAGATCTATTTTGTCAGTGATTAAATAATCCAAAATTTTATAGACTAATGTCTGTTGCTGAGTGTTGAATATGTTCCACTTTTGAAGGATAAATACAATCAAGCCATCAATTACGGTAGACAATTGGTCATCTGGTAATTTTTGAACAAGTAGTAACCAACATCTTAAGGCAGAGTATCTGACTTCTTCAATTTCTAATGCAATTTGTAGGCATATGTTTATTTGTGGCAAGGCTGATATAATAACATCCTGGCGACATTGCTCAATCAGGAAGGAGACACCATGTATGACACGTAATTTTTCGTAATAATTTGATTTCCGTTCAATATCATCCTTATCACTATTATCTTTTTCGACATTATGAATATCTAACGAAAAAACTTGAAAAATACCTAGAATATCTTGAGACATTTTTTTTTGAAATGCACTTTCTTGTGTCTCAGTCCATGCATTTACATTTTTGTATTTTGAACCATGACAATAATCCTTCTTGAAATTAGTCATTAAAAACCTAAGAGAACATAATACCATATTTTGGTTCTCAATTGCGTTTTCATCTTCAGTTTCACTGAATCTGTACAACTTGGTAATTTCCGCTAAAGTAACAAAATTAGGTAATCCCCTGTATATCATGGATTTATCAAAAGTGTGCACTCTTGTAGTAAAAATCTTCTCAATAATTTCAGAAGAGAAAAGTTTGTTTTTTACCAAACATACTGCAAATATTTCAGAAATATTATTTTTCAGCAATTCTTCCTTTTTCTCGTTTATGGATTCTGCCTCATTACCACACATAATGGTGGCTATCTTACCTAGTACATCAGTACCTTGCTGCATTACAGCATGAGGAACTATATACCTTTGGAAAGAATTGAAGATACTAATGAGAGAAACTCCTGATAGGTTAACTAATCTCGTTAAAAATGGAGTCATTGGAATTACACCTTTGCCTACTTGTCGTAATAGATCTGGTAAAATCGGAGATAGTAGCTGGTACGGTGTTTTTCGAAGTAATCTTGCCATGTTTTTTATTTGGAATCCTATCATAAGATATGTGGAATAATCTTCTGATGCGAGGTTAAAAATCAATTTAAATAAGACACTGTCAAATTCCTGTCCTGAAGTAGTTAGGGTCAATTGAACCCATGCCATTGCTAATGTCTCAGACATTACATCCTTCTTTTGGGATTGTAAAAATTTGATTAACTCTGCAGTGATCTCTAAGTTTGAATTATGAATGCAAGTTATATTCCATAGTGGGACCAACCTAGTAGCAATAATTCTTAAGTATCTATTTTGGCTCCTGAAACATTTAGAGACTAGTTCAAATTCTGGTTGAAATTTTGATGTTAATTGATCTACTAACGCTGGAGGTTGAAAATGCGTAAAAATTCGTTGAAGACAAAACAGTAAACCCGTTAGAAGTGCTTCGTTAAAGTCATTTAAGTTAGGATTAGAGAGAAAGTTTTTCTGGATTACCACATACGTTAAAGAGTGTTTTGTGCAATCTGGTCTATTAGGACTAATATTTTTAAAAATGTTTGCACGATTATTACCTTCGCATAATTTACAAAACTCCCAGTTATCCAGCCCATTACTATCCCCATGATAATGTTCGTAACACGCTAATCTACCTAATATTCTCACCCATGATACCAATTTCTTATTGTTATTTATAGTGAAACAGGCTGTAATTGACTCAGATATTTTATTGAATAGGAATCTTAGGCTATTATTTTGGGAAGATAATAAAGATCTCTCTAAGCTAAATAGTTCTGTGGATAACAAACCTGGATGTTCTTGTTTCAAATAAGACGTTAATATCAATATTCTAAGGTTTTCTAGTTGTTTCGAACTATCTGTAAAAGGTTGTAGAACATATTTAACAAATTTATCAGGAAATGTATTAGTAAGCCAGATATTATTGTGCTCGTCAAACATTCTTGACTTAGAAGATACAGAACGCCTTTGAATGTCAAGGTATACTAAGATGACACTTCGCCAAGTTGGATTTGTAGATGTATCTTCTGGATTATTTTCGTTAGATGTAAAATGTGATTCGTAATCTCTAATCCATTGTTCTAAAGAAAGTTCGTTTTGTAATAAATCGAAAAATTGTTTGGTAAGATCATGGCGTGATCCTCTTGGGATACATAGTGAGTACACTCTTAAAAGACATTTCGCAAAAGTTATAGAATCACTGCAATCAGTGACGATATTACTTTTCATGAACTGGTTGATCATTGTTAAAGTAAATTTAAATTGATCAGTCGATATAATACGAGGTGTTCCTTGTATACTCGGTATAGTACTGGTGAATAATTGTTCTACCGTCAACGATATAAATTTCAACTGTAGTTCTATGTAGTCGATGTTTGGTTCTATTTGTACTGAATCTAATATGAAAAGTACAACTCTCATTAATTTCTGGAATTTTATATTCCATGAATTTGTTCCTTTATTCGAGTCTATAAATAAGAAAGTTGATTTAGTAATTGAATGCTTAGCATTTAACAAGTAGCACAACACATAAATTACTTGTAGGTTTCTCAGATAGTATTGATAAGGATAATTACCATATCGTACAGTTCTTAGTTTCTTTTCATATTTATCTAGTGTTGTTTCAAAAAAGTAAGATTGTATTAATTTATAATGGCTACCATAAATATCAGTTACTAATTGGCACCAATTTCCTAGTTTTCTCCTTATAAACCATAATCTGTCTTGTCTGTCTATATTTAACACTGATATTTCTATAAATATTTCTATCAATGACAATATACCAATTGATTGTTTTTGATTATCCGATGGAACTATATCTAACGATGTATGGATCAATAAGTAAGGATTCGTTGTTATTACCAAATCTAATACTTGCATTGATTTTGAAAAAATTGTAGTGCTTTTAAAGACTTCACCTTTCTGAGAATCTAGTAAGTTTTTGACTAAAAATTTAATCAGTTCACAACTATTTGGATCACCATCTTCGGGGACCTTAGGTGCAATATTTTGGTCCTTTAATTTTGAAACTTTGGATCTTAATAACACTACTGACAACTCGTCCAGGTATTTAATACGTGACTCCATACTTCCTAGAAATTTACGCCGATTGGTACGCTTGAAGGGTATATTAGATTCTTTAATATATATATATATACAGATTGGCGTCTAACAGAAGGTTGTTCACTTGTTTTCTTTGTTATTCTATTAGGGTGTGTGTGGATGGTCAAACTATGTGCATATAATATAATCAAATATAAAGAAAATTTTCCACTAGTAAAGGCGCTTATTCTTGTACGTAGTCCAAAAACAAAAGTGAATAATAATAACAAACAAGAGTTTAGTACGATCGACCAAGAACATTTTAAACAGAGAGTAGATATAATTTTGGTCTTTAATAAAAAGGGATTATCAAACTGGAACACTAGAGCATTATTATAGAAATACCTCGATTCAAAAATGAAGTACGTTAAGAAAAATTAAAGATAATTGATTAATAATATTTTTCTAATTATACATGTATTATTATATATTCTTTGAGATAATGTGACGATTTTGTGTGTGTGCTTGTATTACTCGTATGCAAAAAGAAATGGTTATTGAAATAAATAAATAAATTTATTTTACCATTACTGTAATCCTAGTGTTAGTTAGTCCCTTCTCATGTCGGACATATTATCTAAGATTGTTGTTGTTGCTGTTGAGCGGCAGCTGCTGCTGCTCTCATCTCAGCTTCAAAATTCAAAGGTCTTTTAAATAAAAGAATGTGTGGTTCTGGTGCATGGCATTCGTAGTGTTCCCAACCCAGCGATTGAGTAATGCCTAGGCCTCTCCATTCATCCTCAGTGAGGATACGCAAAGTACCTACTTCAGAGTTGAAATAATCGGAGGGAATCACTTTCAGCATGGCTTTAGGTAGCATGACGTGTCTGTATTCATTCGTATCATCAGCGTAACGTGGTGAGTAATGTATAGAGTCCTGAAACTCAAGGACCCTGGCCCTTTCTTGATCCGTCAATTTCCTTCCTTGGAATGTACGGAAGTGTTGATACATCTTATAATTTACTGAAAAAAATCAAAGTATAGACTAGACACTTCGAGGTTTGTCGGTTCTTGATAGTTAAGGAAACAATGAACCAAAGTAAATATTCCTTATGAATTAATACCTGTATATGTTCATATATATATGAGTTCTTGTAATTGTATATAATGGCTATCCGTTGATTGTCCAGTTAATTGTCAAATTCAAAATCCTTGAACTGTGTGAACAAATGTAACGCGAGCTAAACCACAACGCAATTCACAACAAAAAAAATTGTTTTGTTTTCGCGTTTACGTGTAACATATGTATTGCGACATGGAAAAGCCCTGATTTTGTCTCCGTGGGTGTGTTTTCCATACAAAACTGGAACTCTCGGTGATCAGTTAAGTATGGGAATTCGATATAGGGCTTTCCAGAAGGAAAGAGGGTTGTTTAGGGTTTGGGTTGAGGCCAGGTAAATATAGATTATAGAAAAATTTCAACATTTGCTGTGATCATTTCTTACAGTTTCTTGCTGATTACAACAATAAAACTAGAAGCTATAATTAGATTTGTTCAAGTACTAATTGGGCGTTTTTGAGTGCTGATAAATTGCAATATAAAGAGCTAGAACTCTAAGTGTTTATGAGTGGGAAAATTAGAGAGATAGAAGAGTATTGTGAAAACTATGCATATTCAAAGTAATGTTTATGTTGGCCTTAAACCCAGCAACCTGGAACAAAATACTTTCAGTAGGGAAATCGCTAGGAATGGTATTTCTTCTGCAACTGCCGGTGGTGGTACGGTTACTGCTACTAACTTGTTAGAGAATTGTGATTACATCCTTTTAGCAGTGACAAATAATAGATACAGAGAACAAGTATTGCAACAATTACAAGCTTATATCCAACGTTCGGATCCGTTTGAAAAACTTACAATCTCAGAACCTCAATTACAAGATATAATGATCTCTCCCTTTGGTAGTAACTCTGATGATGCAAATGGAAGTTCCCCATCTCATATTGGTTTACTATCATCATGGATTGATTTGGAGTGTATTGATCTTTTGCAAAGAGAGATGAGCTATCAGGTGTTACTGAATGAATGTAGATTGGCACAATATATTGGTATCAATAAGTTGATCCTAGCGCCTCCTCATGATATTAATAATCTCAAGGTATACGCACAGATGATCTCTCGGTTATTGAACCACGACATCTTTCAAAAAAGGACTTCAAATATGATCTTATCGGTGTCATTGCCTATGTATGAAGATAGTGACCCATTAGCGACTTGGGATTTATGGAATACTATAAGGAAGTTATGTGGGTATCATCCATCGTTGATGGTCTCTTTGGCGTTACCAAGAGTGAAAACACCACATTATATCCTTGATAGATGGTTGACTGAACCTGTATCTAGTTTATTACTTTCTTCGTCGATTTTTGCAACTAATCAATACAATTATCCTGTATTACATAAATTCAATCAGAATCTTATTATGAAATTTCAAGAGGTCAATGGTAATTCTCAATTGAAATCGAATTCTTTAGTGATTATTTTACATGGTATGGAAAAATATAGAGAATTTATCAAAGGTGGAGAATCTGCATACTTGGAATATATAAACTTCTTATTGAAAAGGAATGATAAATTGGCGTTACAAAATTCTTCACGTTATTCTGATAAATTTCAATTAAATCAACCACAATTAATGTCTCCTTTAAAACCACATTCTGAAAATTTAACTAATTCAATTTATTCCATCTTTGAGACAGATGTTGTTAAATATGAAAAATATGATGATGCCATTAAACAAGCTGTCATAGACATTATAAAACGAAGACAACAGAGAAGCAGACAAGATATAACACCTATAACCATCTTGGTTGCTGGTGCAGGTCGAGGTCCACTCGTCTCCAAAGTGTACAATGTTTCCAAGACATTAGACATCGGGTCCCATGTACGTATCATTGCCATAGAGAAAAATCCCCAAGCATTTCTTTATTTACAGAAGAGGAATTTTGAACATTGGAATAATGATGTACAATTGATCCACGAGGACATGAGTCATTGGAAATCGAATGATAAAGTCGATTTGTGCATTAGTGAATTGTTGGGATCTTTTGGTTGCAATGAATTATCACCTGAATGTTTATGGAATATTGAACAAAACCATTCAAAACCAGACACAATATTTATTCCTCAATCATATACATCTAGCATTGCACCCATCACTGCACCATTAGTGTATCAAAAACTATCTGAGGAATCTAAGATTATGGGAGGTGATGAGCAACAACAACAGCAACATCTTTTCCAAGAACCATGGGTGATGCATGGTATACCATTCCACATTCTTTCGAACCGAATTAATGAATTATGGACATTCAACCATCCAAGTAAACACAAACCTTCGAAGAAGACAGCGTATGATCTATTCAATAGGAGTGTGACCACTGAATTTAAAGTGAAGCATCGTGGTGAAATACATGGTATTGCCGGGTTCTTTTCTGCTCATTTGTATGGTGATACGTATCTTTCTATTATACCTAATGGAATTGGTATAAATAAACTTGATATTGAAGGAAATGATGAAAGAACTAAGAATTTATTCTCTTGGTCTCCTTTAATATTCCCTTTACAAGAACCGTTATTAATCAACGATGACACAGAGGTGTCTATCATGTTTTGTAGACGAATGGATGGAGGGAAAGTCTGGTATGAATGGTCTGTAGAGAGTTATGTATATTTAGTTCTGTCTAAGCAAGTTGACATAAGACTAGGTAAATCAAAGGATGACACAACAATGTTACAAAACAATTTTCAGAATAATACCGAGGACAAGCATAATACTAATAATACTAGTACCAATATCAAGCATAGTAAGCATAATAACAACAACAATAATAATAATAATAATAATAATAATAATAATAGTAGTAGTACGATGACACAACCATTTGAATTCGAGAGTGCAATTGATGAAAATGGATTTATTCCAACGTATGAAGATGGATGGCAAAGTGTACAAAACATGTATGAAGAGTTAGGAACAGGTCAAGTCCTTAGAACAGATGAATCTGAGGTAAGCCTTCAGGAGGACGAAGACGAAGAAGACATCAATGTACGTGTTAAGACTGGAGTGTCCCAAATACATAATGTCAACGGTCAATATTTTTACATGAAGTTTTTAAAAGAATAAGTAGTGCACATAGACGTTTACATAATTTATTTCTTATAGTCAAATTCAAAGTCAATGTTTTTTACAAAAAAGATATATGTGTTTTTTACATTTTTATCATTTTAGTACATATTGAGAATATCAACATCCGATGACCTTTAGTAAACAAAGAAACGACAGTGATAAATATAAATATATATATATATATATAAAGTAACAGAATTTCAGACATCCTCAATTCCCCTAAGCTTTAAATAATATATATAATATATGTATCTATTATATCCAGTATGAGATCTCTTATATTACAGACACCCCTACACGAACACAAGATCTCTTCTCTTTTGAACACAGTTTTCTTAAAGATATTTCCAATCCCGTCAACCTCAATATTTCTATACCCCTCCCTTCCACTCATCACCATCATCACCATCATCACCAACTATACAATATATGTAGTTATCAAGCAAGCAAGATAACGTCATACTTATCCCAACTATGAAAGCCTTATTTGGCTAGAAACAAATTGGAGCCTGTAGCCTGTAGCCTGTCGCCCTTCCCCCCGCGGCCGGCACCGCCGCGATCGGCCGAACTTGAAAAAGGCTATTCGAGTGACGATTCCGCTGGCTCTCTCACTATAAGTTTGACAGCGAATCGGCGGTCTGTCCGCCTGTTTGTTTGTCTCCCGTTGCGAATACAACTAATTGCTGCAACTGAAAAACTCAAATAGAGGGAAAGTCATTCGTTTTTTTATTTAGTTGCAGCAATTAAAAGCAGTGGAAATATGAGAGAACCTGGTAGTAAAGGACTTCACATATTATTTTCTTATATATATATGTAATTGACAGTTGATAGGTAAATTTACTCCGAAATAGCACTTTTCGATGGATCTCTTGTAATCTCGAATTGCATTGTTTTCATATTCTTAATTATTTATAAAAGGAAATACTAGTATATATATATATACCCATTGTTAGTCATAAATCTAAGGAGTTTTTTTTTTCATTTCCTGCAGATACTGTTATTATTAGTAATAATAACAACAAAAGTTTAGAAAGTTTTAGCATATTTTGTTTTTAATCTTCGAGATATAAAAACTGATTATAAAAATATTAAAATATATTCATTCATTTTCACACACACACACACACACACACATATATATATATTCTGGTACGATTTGCAATAATAATAATAAAGGAGAAATATAATGGTTGATGAAAAGATTCATTCTAATAATACTAATGATGATGATAATTGGTCAATGAAAAAGGATAAAAATTTTGTCACAGAAAATATATATTCGACAGAATCGTATAGTCATCATACAGGATCTCATCAATTGAAAAATAATAGTAATATGGAAATTTATGATTTAGATAGTATAAATAAAATTAAAAATAACAATATTGATATTGATATTGATAATGGTGATGGATATAGTCATGATATCAATAGCAATGGTTCAGGTGATGATGACGAAGAAGAAGAAAATAATTCTAGAACGAATTTATTAATGAATACAAGAATTCACAGGAAATTAGTAAATAGACATGTTCAATTTATTGCAATTTCTGGTGTCATTGGTACTGCATTATTTGTAGCCATTGGGAAACCAATGTACTATGGGGGTGCAGGGTTCCTATTAATTGCATTTGCAATGTGGTGCGTTCCAATTCTTGCTATAACGGTCTCGACAGCAGAAATGGTCTCATTCTTACCTGTAAGTTCTCCATTTTTAAGACTCGCTAAGAAATGTACAGATGATTCTTTAGCTATGATGGCTAGTTGGAATTTTTGGTTTTTAGAATGTGTACAGATACCATTTGAAATTGTTTCTGTTAACACAATTATACATTTCTGGAGAGATGATTATTCACCTGCTATACCTTTAGTAGTTCAATCTATCTTATATTTACTCATATCTGTTTGCGCCGTTGGATATTACGGTGAATTAGAATTTTGGTTATCATCATTCAAAATCATCTTAGCTTTAGGCTTATTCATTTATACTTTTATTACAATGGTGGGTGGTAATCCCCACCACGACGTTTATGGATTTAGATATTTCGGTGATGCTCCTTTTAAAAAATATTTCCCAGATGGTATAGATCGTGGCGCTCATATAGGTTACTTCCAAGGATTTTTGGCATGTTTAATTCAAGCTTCATTCACGATTGCTGGTGGTGAATATATTTCAATGTTGGCAGGTGAAGTGAAGTTACCTAGAAAAGTGTTACCACAAGCATTTAAACAAGTCTTTGTTAGATTGACAGTGATGTTCATTGGTAGTTGTTTATGTGTAGGAATTGTCTGTTCTGCTAATGATGCCTCATTGACCGCAGCAATCAATGAATCAAGACCAGGCGCTGGGTCGTCTCCTTACGTTATCTCAATGCTGAATTTGGGTATCAGAATCTTACCTGATGTGGTAAATATTGCGTTGATCACAGCTGCATTTTCTGCAGGTAATGCATACACATACTGTTCCTCAAGAACATTATATGGTATGGCTTTAGATGGGTATGCACCAAAAATTTTCACAAAATGTAATAAACAAGGGGTACCCATTTATGCCGTTTGTGTTTCATTATGCTGGGCTTTGATCAGTCTATTACAGTTGAATTCGAATAGTGCTGTTGTATTAAATTGGCTTATTAACATTATCACCACTTCTCAATTGATAAATTTCGTCTGTCTATGTGTCATTTATCTATTCTTTAGAAGAGCTTATTTGGTCCAAAAGGATACTTTACCACAATTACCATTCAAATCATGGTGGCAACCATGGACAGCCATCTTTGGTATGTCATGTGCATTGATCATGATCTTTGTACAAGGTTACACTGTGTTTTTCAGTAAATTATGGAACGTTCAGGATTTCCTTTTCAATTATCTTATGATCTTCATTGATTTGGGAATATATTTAGTTTATAAATTATTATGGTGTCGTGGTAAAGATAAATTCAAAGATCCACATACCATTGATTTCATGACTGATTTAAGAGAAATTGAAGAACATGAGCTAGATCATTCTTTTGAAAAATTCAAATTCTACTTAGATACGTGATGTCACCCATCAACTTCCAAATTCCAACTTTTACTCGCCTGCACAATATACACAAATACCTGACAATATTAAAACGTTTTTTATTTATTCTAATTATTCACTTATAATTCATTTAGTATATACCAATTTGTGAATTCATATAAATATTTACGCTCTATAACATTATATATACATATACATATACATATAAATATATTATTATCATTCCATATCATATTTCTTTTTGGCCCACCAACTCGTAACATCAATACCCAAATTATTAAACAGAGTCACCTCCTTTGTTGGATAATCATCATATTTATTATCAAACCAGTTCTTCAAAATGATCAGTGTTCGCTGATGATCGTTCTTAATGTAACATAAGACACCATTACTTAATGTTAATAGTCTCTCTTCAGAAATATTCAATTTGGTTTCAGATTTATTTAATGAATCAAGAAATATCAATAATTCTTCGTATAGAGTCCATAGTTTATCTGTTTCCATTGCATCCAAGAAGGTATTGTTATACGGTGATTTCCGTTTACTAATTTCTGAAGTTTCCCTCGGTTTGCTAGTTGAAAACAAACTACCCATAATATCAATACCTAAAACATTCTCACCATTTTTATCAATATTTAAGTTAGGGATAGAAAAGAATTTGTCCAGCCCTTCAATTACTAAATTTAAGGGTGATTCATTTTGATAAGGGTTAAACAGTCCAATGCATGAAGGTATGGATGATCTCAATTCTGGGATACTTTTATTTTTATCAACTATCAAGTATCCAAAATTCTCTTGCATTGGTCTCTTGACAGTCTCTAATTTATTATGAAGCTTCTCCATACTTAACGAAAGGATAAAACTTAAATCGTTCAAATAGCTATGATTCCAAATAGTTTCAAAATTTTCATCACAAATTATGATCGCCAACATATTTTCATAGTACCAAAAGAGAACATTGTAAAATTTTGCCTGCGAACCAAATTTAAGGTTTAGTTTGATAATTTTATAATTAGAAGGCAATGAAGATTGAGCTAATGGAGAAATCAAATAGCCGTATCTTTTCCTTTCTGAGGAACGATTGGTTTCTAGTTCATTGGGAGTCGAGGTTGTCCACGATGGCATGTAGCTTTTCAAGTAAGACATACTGGATGACACGCCGGCAGTAACACCAACCTCTTGAACAACATCGTATGCAAAAGAAATGGGTAACGTCATATTATGATACAATTTGTTCCCAAATGTTGCCAGTCCAGCTCCAGTCGTCTGAGTCGTGAATCCTCCTGCATCATCATCATCATCATCATCATCATTATTATCGTCTGTAGTTGGTACCTCCTTATAATGTGTATTACCTGCAAGCACATGACTTGAAATAACGTCATACTGTTGCGTTAAATGATAAATCCAGTTTGATATATCTGGTAAACTCTCGAACGCCTGACAGAAATTTCGAACAAGACCAAAATATTTAGTACCGATCCTTGATCTTTTATCATTTAAGATTCCTGTTGCTCGATCTTTAGAATATGAGGGAAGGTTATATATTAAGATATCTTTAACACCCAAATAGCTTTCTTCCTGCAATAATATTTTTCTATTTATAATGGTGTCCCAGGATTCGTCGTCAGCCAATGTTGCTGTTTCAGATTCTAAAAGGTCCGCCAATTCAGATGTTTTATATGCATTGGGCCACAGTACATTTATACCTTGCCGTATTAAAGTATCAGGTTTTAAATATATATCATTCCAAAATGTTATTATATGTTCATTTAGATTATTCGTAAGATCAGCATTGTCATTGAATTTTGAGAATGCACCATGTTTTAGGACAAAAAATTTATAACAGAGCCATAAGTGACCCAAATAAAATTGAAATGGTATGTTGCTTGTACCTTTAGATGTATCATCAAAATTCTCATATTCGTTTATGGATATTGCCATAAAATATCGAGATTCAACTTTGATCACTAATATCACCTCATTATCCAATTCTATCACTTTTTCGTTTTCCTCTTCTTGTGTTTCTTCAAAGGATTGAGTAAGAGACCAGAGACCCTGTATAATACCTACTCTATTTAATTTATCATTGAGGGAAGAGCTACCAGCAGCTTCACCAAATTCGTGGAATAAAATTAGGGACTTGTGCGTATCTTCATCGTTATGACTGCGTGTGGGATCAATGACCACTAGATCCTTTATCATTCGGATTATTTACACTAAATGGGGAAAAATTTTCCACTTAACTTATTTGCAGAGCTCAAATTTTGTTATCAGACAAATAAACTAGATTACTCTGTTTCTAGTAATTTCTAACTATTCCCTTTAAATAGTTAATTGAACTAAGTTCAGTCCCAATTGTCGTGGCTAATGATTTTTCGTTTTTTTGTCCAACAGAAACGAAAATTTCAATATTTCGCATTTTTCCTTTTGGAGAAGATATTGAATGGCAAGAGAATAGAATCTGCTTAACAGTGAATAATTGAGTGACAAGTCATCTTTTTAGTACAAGAATAGAGTCAACTGAAAAGCGAGATATAGTTCAATATTTATCGAAAATTTACTAAAGATAAGATACATCGCAACGATATTGAACCACACATTTCTTTATTAAGATAATATTACAGTATGGTTTTAGCTGACTTAGGGAAGCGTATCAACGGTGCCGTCAACAGTGCGTTGTCAAACACCCAGGATGATTTCGCAACTGCTGTCGATTCCATGCTTAAGGGCATTGTTACTGCATTACTGGAGGCAGATGTAAATATTGCGTTGGTTTCGAAATTGAGAAATAATATCAAGAGCAAATTAATGGAAAATAAAGGGAAATCGATGACGAACGTGCAGACGAAGAAACTGATTCAAAAGACTGTCTTTGATGAACTATGTAATTTAGTTGACTGCCATGACGGCGAACAATTTAAACCAAAGAAGAAGAAGACTAATGTGATAATGTTTGTTGGTTTACAAGGTTCTGGTAAGACAACTTCATGTACAAAACTGGCTGTATATTACGCCAAGAGAGGTTTTAAAGTTGGTTTGGTTTGTGCCGATACTTTTCGTGCAGGTGCCTTTGATCAATTGAAACAAAATGCTATTAAAGCTAGAATTCCTTTCTTTGGTTCCTATACAGAAACAGATCCTGTGAAGGTTGCCGAGGAAGGTATCACAAAATTCAAGAAAGAAAAATTCGAAGTTATTATTGTGGATACTTCCGGTAGACATCGTCAAGAACAAGAGTTATTCCGTGAAATGGTAGAGATATCTAAAGTTGTAAAACCAAATCAAACCATTATGGTTCTTGATGCATCTATTGGTCAAGCTGCTGAACAACAATCAAAGGCTTTCAAGGAATCTTCCGATTTTGGTGCTATCATATTGACAAAAATGGATGGTCATGCCAAAGGTGGTGGTGCTATATCTGCTGTTGCAGCCACAAATACTCCAATTATCTTTATCGGTACTGGTGAACATATACATGATTTTGAAAGTTTCTCTCCTAAATCATTCGTATCAAAACTACTTGGTATCGGTGACATAGAGAGTCTTTTTGAACAAATACAAACGGTATCTAATAAAGAAGATACCCAGGCTATGATAGAAAATATTCAGCAAGGTAAATTCACACTAGCAGATTTTAAGAAACAGATGCAAACCATCATGAAGATGGGTCCATTATCCAATATAGCACAAATGATTCCTGGTATGGGTAACATGATGAATCAAGTTGGTGAAGAGGAAACATCCAAAAGTATGAAAAAGATGGTGTATGTTTTAGATTCAATGACTAAAGATGAACTAAATTCGGATGGTAGAATATTTATTGATCAACCAAGTAGACTAGTAAGAGTAGCAAGAGGTTCTGGTTGTTCTGTATTTGACGTTGAAATGATTTTGATGCAACAGCAAATGATGGCAAATATGGCCCAAAGTGCAAAAGCTGCTAAACAAGGTGGTGGTCGTGGTATGCCCGGTATGGGTGGTATGCCCGGTATGGGTGGTATGGGTGGTATGCCAAATATGCCTGGTATGCCAAATATTTCTCCTCAAATGATGCAAGAAGCTCAACAACAATTGAGACAGAATCCAAATATGATGAACAAAATGATGGGCATGTTTGGTGGTAATGGTGGTGGTATGCCAGATATGGGTGAGATGATGAAAATGATGGATGATCCACAAATGCAACAAATGGCCAAACAGTTTGGTATGGGCATGTAATATAGATATATTAACGTAATTTCAGAAATATACATAAAGAAATAGAATAAAAACAAAATACAGTCATAAGTATTTTAGACCTTATCTAAGGAACAATAACAATTTTTGAAAAATATAAATATGTCAATTTTCTTTAATATTCATGATATATTAGTACATATATGCATATATAAAGAGCTTTATGTCTATCTCGTTGATAATAAACTGGAAAAGTAGACAGTATAACATTTACAAATAAATAAATGAATTAATAAATAGGTTAAAACACATCTTTGCGAACACATAAGTATTGAAAATACTCAATACTCCAAAGGAATAGTTATTGATCACAATATATTCTCTGTTTGTTTTATTACGCGAAAGGAGACGGCATTCATTATATTTTGACAATTTATGAAAACATTCTCTTATTACTTTTTAATCAATATTTTTTTTTTTTTTTTTTTACTTTTNTTATACTTTTTTACTTTATTCTGGTTGATGATGAATAAAAGAAAAATAGTAATAGAATAAACTTATTCGTATTTAATTTTTCCTTCCTCTTCTATTCTATAAATTTTTTCTATTTTTTCTTCTCAGTCTTTGATCCTCTGTCCTTTTCTACTCTTGGTAAATTGTCCATTGCCACAGTTCCATCAGCAATCAATTGCGGATCGACAGCGATATCTCTGTGTTCAAATAATATTTTGTAACCAGATTTGATAGTACCTTCAGTCACTTGTAAAATCTGCGCTACTTTTGCTGCTGATACGGGAATCTTAAATAGTAAGATATTCATATATATTGAAACCACAGCAATAGTAATAGGCGATTTACCTGCAATTTCTTCAATTTCTTTACATTTCTTTGCAGTGTATTCCGAAGCAGTAGTGACTTGCATAGGTAGACCCAAATGGGAACAAAATCTTGGAATATATGTCAAATTTTGAGCACCACTCATATTATCAGTATTGATCTTGATAAACCCATCGGAACTCTTTTCTCTAAGGATACCTTTCATGATATTAAGAGTCTTACCGAATTCTTTAGTCTTGACGTGAATGATAGATTGAATCTCTTTAAAGGTTCTTGCGACCTCAGCACGTCTACAACCTAGTAAGATTGATGCAGCCATAATACTTTCGGAAGACTTCCCTTTCAATGGTTTTTCATCATGACATAATTTGTAAGCCTCTTTAGCACAATCCTTAACAATCTTAGGCAACTCAGCAGCATCACAAAGCATAGTAATCTTTGCAAATGCAGCTTGAACTTCGTTATCTTTCTTATCTACAACATTTTTACCTTGAGCCCTATTTAATTCTTTGGTAAATCTCATATCTGTATTTTCACCTTGTCCTATTCTAGTAGATAAGTTATTACCATCTAATAGAGGGTTTGATGCTTCACCAACACGAGAAGGATCATCACCATTTTGATCATCATTAGAGAATGTACGCCACTCAGATCTTGTATCGACTAATTTATCAGACAATACCAGACCACACAACGCACAGACCACATCACCTTCACTGAATCTTTCCACAATCTTAGGTGGGTAAACTTTACATTCGGGACACGTTAAAACAATATTTAAATTTGGACCTCTTCTTCCATTTCTCATAGGAGCTGAAGCAATCTGAGACATTTTTGATTCAAAAATACTAGTAAAATAAAATATATGTATCTATGTGTCTATCTTCTCCTTCTAAGGACTGATGTATAATGTAAAATTTAAACCTATGTATAAGAGTGGAAAATTTCTAATCGTTTGGTTTTTATTTGTTCTTTTAGTTTAAAAAGATATATCTTGATAAACTTGCACTGCTTATATACAAATAAAAAATAGTTGTGCACTCGACTGACAAAAACGAATTATGACACTCAGCTATATCTATCAATATATATGAGGAGTGTTATTCAAAACGACCGTGATGGATGATGTCCTCTTTTTAACCTTTGAAAGGAAAACCCAACTCTGTTTTACTAATTTCAAGTTATAACTTTATCCTTTAAACTCCCAGTTTCTTATAAATGAAATATTCAAATTCTGGGAGACAACGGAAAAAGAGGCAAATGAGAACTTTTCTCATAGGATTGTTAGTAAGCACCCGTGCACCACGCTATTACAGGTCTCAAAAACTATAGAACATTCGAGGATATTTCTGAAGTGAAGAATCTATTAATCTATTAATCTAAATGAACATGAGTAATTATAACCTTTTATACCTTTCCTGCGCAACTATAATCATTAAAAATACAGTGAATGATGGTAAGATAAGGGATCCGGTTTATCTCTACTTCATATCTATAGAGAATAACATACAGTTCTTAACACTATTATTTAGCACTTGGTATCGTTAATACCACCGATATAATCTTGAATGTTCTAGTATATCCATGTCATATTCAACATCTTCTTTAGGTGAAGGCTCTTTTCAACCCTGTTATAGTTAAGACTAAGTTTGGGTTTCTTCCCTATCATCAAAAGAAAACTGAAAAATTATGAAAAACAAAACAAACAAAAACAAATAAAGCACAATAAAGAAATTAAGTGAACAAAACACATTGAATTTTTGAAATATCTAGAAGAACCGACCACCATCACGTAAACCCACATTGATTACTGGTGATATTGACAGCTGAGTAATTTTGACCAACTAAATTTAAGTGAGAAGGTAATCACAATGAACAGTGATAATAATGGGACCAAAAATGTGGATTGGTCAAACAATGGAACAACAAGTGGTATAGCTACGCCGTTATCGTCACCTACCAAGTTAGCACCTCATCACAATATATTCATGGCAAATTTACAGAGATCACCTACGGGGAAACATCAGGAGGTGTTTGGAGATGGTAATGGCACTTCGTTGTCGTCGTCCTCTAGAGTGATCGAGTCCCTACATGAACAAATAGAGATCTTATCTAGTACCAATTTACAATTGACTATGCAATCTCAAGGTTTGTTGGCCAAATTAGAAAACACACAAGATAAAGAATCGAATCTGGTTGAAACCTTGTCGGGGCTTAAGAATGAGAATAAAACTTTGAAGAACCTACTGACAAGAGAAACAGATCATCTGAAAGAATTAGAGAATAATTTAATCCTATTGAATGATTCTTGCAATGCATTGAATAAAGAAAATAGATCATTGAAACATGAATACAAGCAAAACAACGTGGGCGAGACATCCTTAAACGATGAACTACAAATGATAGAATCTCAGTATTCTAGTCTTATAGAGTCTCATGATCTAATGAAGCGTTACTATGATAAAAGCGTTCAAAAATTGCGAGATGAATTAAAGACCCTAAAACTACAAAGTAATAACACCCTAGAGTCGTATCACGAGAATGAAAACCAATTAGTTGAACAATTGTCCAATTTCAATGTGTCTGTAAAAGAATATGAGGAATCATATCAGAATAATAATGCCTCGATAGATAAAATCTTCAGAGAAGCCCTACAAAATATGACAACTGACAATGACAAGCCATCTGATCCATCTAACTATTCTACTTACAAGGAAGAAATGATCGAGTTGGGTAGCAAGATGGGAATAGCTACAGTAGAGAGGGATTTGAATGATTTACAAACTGTTAAAATGAGAAAGGTAAGGAACGTTTCTGGTAATGGTAGTTCCAATAGAACAAGTTTCTATGGTTCCATGGCGCTGGTGACTGACTCTAAAAACACAGACGTTCGCAGAAACATAAGTCCTATTGTAGGTCTACCTGGTGTGAAAAGGTCTACATCAGTTCGCAGAAGCAATATCACAACTCCATCGAAGATGGATCCAACATCTTCATCACCATCGCCATCTCCAAATCCAATGGGGAATGGCGTTAATTTCTGAAGCAACAGATACAACATACTCACATAATGACGTCATAAAATACATATATACATAAATAAACGAATAGATACACTTTCAAAATCTCTTTCTCTCTCTATATATAAATATTTGGCTCTGCTAAGGTTCATTTTTCATAAAAAGATCCCTTAATTAAAGGCATAAAAAAGTAAAACGATGCTAAATTTTCATTATAAAACAGAAAACACATGATGGTATTATACAAACAAAGGTTCTGAGGGACAACTAAAAACCCCCAATGATACTTGCTAAACTGTCACTATAACTATGCAATGCCAGATATGTCGCAACAATTCAGATAAGTTCTACTGTGCAAACTGTATTCGTACATCTCCACAATTAGCAATGACCCTTCGATTTAAGTTGTTAACAGTACAAGATGAGAATAAACGATTAAATAAGAAGATAGATAATATATTGAATGTATCGATGGATAAAAATGGTACCCAGAGGGAAGATATCAGTGCAGGAGAACGTCTCTTGAAAACACGAATGAGACGTGTCAATGACTTAAAGATGAGAAAGAAGAATGGTCAATTAAAAATCCGGATAAGTAATGTATCTAATTCCATAGATAAGAAAAGGATGTTTATTCAAAAACTAAAACAACATATAACAGATTTTCATATGTCAAAGATTAATCCCGTTCATCAACATAAAAGGATCATAAGGGAACATAGACATGAAGAGGACGATGAACGATTAAAACAAGTACAAATAGTCCTTACAAAGAGACAGAGACAAAACATAGAGTCATTAAACCAATGGTTTGTGATCAATAAAACATCATCTATGGACATTCCATATACTTTACTCTTTCAACCTGTGATCTCTACAAGGACAGCTAATAAATTACCTCCAGGGTTAGTGAAAAACTCAATTTTCACCATGTTCCAGTATCTGAAAATCAGAACGACAATACAATGTACACAATTACCGTATCCAACTATGAAACCGTCATCACTACTCCTTGAAGAAGGACAACATGACAGAGATTACATACTAAGGGACATTGTTGAAATGATAGATGAAACAGTCACTGAAAGCATTGTCATGTGGCTAACAAAACTTACTATTAATATGGTTTATCTGTGCCAGGTCAATCATAATTTACCTTCACAAGAGCATACCGACCCTGTATCCCTACTAGAACAGTTCGATGTCGATGGACTCTTCTACAGTCTCTATCTGGGCCAATTGCTACCGCTCACCAACAAGTCACAGCCAAACAGCTACATAAAACCCACCCACAGCTTCCAGAATATGTTCGATGCTATCACCGACCTACTGGAAGACTAACCGGCCGATAGTCACATCTAGGTAGGGTTCCCCATGTTGATATCTAGTCATCGACTCAATTTATACCAACTCCACATATAAATAAATAAACAAATAGCATTATACACATGGCGTTGCCCTAATACCCAACCCTAACTTGGCTGTAAGAAAAAAAACGAAAAAAATTTGGAAAAAACAAACGAAAACTGAGCAGCCATTTCCAATTTGAACTACTGGAATGAGAGAGGCAGCAGCTGCAACAGCAACAGATTGGGTGAGGAGCAGCAACCCTGTAAAGTCAGAAAGTTGCAACAACGAATGGTTAGTATATTATATATATATATATATATATACACATATATATATAACAACAGGAACTGTGCTTATTTGTTTTTAATTGTGCGTTAAGAAGGTTACATAAGCAGAAGTATACGTATATATACACACAAACACATATATATATTACAATTTAAAAACCATGGCTCTTTCAGACCAAGAATTATTTGAATTGAACAAGAAGGCCGTTCAAGAAGGTTTCAAAATCAAGCCTAGATTGAACTATAACACTGTTAGTGGTATTAACGGTCCATTGGTTATCTTAGAGAAAGTGAAGTTCCCATGTTTCAACGAAATTGTTAACCTAACTTTACCAGATGGTACTGTTAGACAAGGTCAAGTTCTAGAAGTTAGAGGTGACAGAGCCATTGTGCAAGTTTTCGAAGGTACTTCTGGTATCGATGTTAAGAAGACCACTGTTGAGTTCACTGGTGAGAACTTGAGAATCCCAGTCTCCGAAGATACTCTAGGTAGAATCTTTAACGGTTCTGGTAAGCCTATCGATAACGGTCCAACCGTCTTTGCCGAAGATTATTTGGATATTAACGGTTCTCCAATCAACCCATACGCCAGAATTTACCCTGAAGAAATGATCTCCACTGGTGTTTCTGCCATTGATACCATGAACTCCATTGCTCGTGGTCAAAAGATTCCTATCTTCTCTGCTTCTGGTTTGCCACATAATGAAATTGCAGCTCAAATCTGTAGACAAGCTGGTCTAGTGAGACCAACCAAGGACGTTCATGATGGTCACGAAGAGAATTTCTCCATTGTGTTCGGTGCCATGGGTGTCAATTTGGAAACTGCCAGATTTTTCAAACAAGATTTCGAAGAAAATGGTTCTTTGGAAAGAACTTCTTTATTCATGAATTTGGCTAACGATCCAACTATTGAAAGAATTATTACCCCAAGATTGGCTTTGACAACTGCTGAATATCTTGCTTACCAAACCGAACGTCACGTTCTAACCATCTTAACTGATATGTCCTCATATGCTGATGCTTTAAGAGAAGTCTCTGCTGCTAGAGAAGAAGTCCCAGGTAGAAGAGGTTACCCAGGTTACATGTACACCGATTTGTCCAGAATTTATGAAAGAGCCGGTAGAGTTGAAGGTCGTAATGGTTCTATTACTCAAATTCCTATCTTAACCATGCCAAACGATGATATTACACATCCAATTCCGGATTTGACTGGTTATATTACTGAAGGTCAAATTTCCATTGATCGTCAACTACACAACAAGGGTGTTTACCCACCTATCAATGTGCTACCATCTCTAAGTAGACTGATGAAGTCTGCTATTGGTGAAGGTATGACCAGAAAGGATCATGGTGATGTTTCCAACCAATTGTATGCTAAATATGCTATTGGTAGAGATGCCGCTGCCATGAAGGCCGTTGTCGGTGAAGAAGCTCTATCCATTGAAGATAAACTATCTCTAGAGTTTTTGGAAAAGTTCGAAAAGACTTTCATCTCTCAAGGTGCTTACGAGAACAGAACTGTATTTGAATCTCTAGACCAAGCCTGGAGTTTGTTAAGAATCTATCCAAAGGAAATGTTGAACAGAATCTCTCCAAAGATCCTAGACGAGTTCTACGACAGATCTAGAGATGCCGAGGAAGAAGACGAAGAATACGAAGATGCTGATGTGACCCCAGACAACAAGGTTCCAGTTTCTACTGAATCTTTAATCTAAGTTACCTCCACCCCTTCTGCACTCAAACTTTAAACTAAACACAATCATCCTTTCTCTCACAATGACATACATACACTTATATATCTCTCTACTAGTATAATATATTATAAATGAATTAAAAAATAAGATAAAATCCATGCTATAGAATCGATTATTAAACCCAAATTACTGGCGTATACATCACGTGCCTCCATGCCTGCCTAGAGGCATGATGGATCGCGTCCACGCACTACACGGCACGCACTGAAATCCAATACTTGAATTTCGGAACTTCTTTCTGTCCCCTCTCCCCTCTCCCCTCTCCCCCTTTTGACAATGAAAAGGAAAGAAGAACCAGTTTGACAAGGGATGACGAAATGAACCCTTTTATACGTAACAATTGGAAACCAAGAGAGGAGGATATATAAAGGAAAGACAATTGGGAAACTAATTAAGTGAGGAATTTAGAAGTTGAGAAGGGTAAGTCTAAGTAAAAAGTAACGCAATTGAACGAAAAATTATTTTATAATGACACACGCTGTGGATAGAAAACTAGATATACAAGGAAACGTTGTCGTGGTTTCTAATAGATTACCTGTGACCATCACCAAGAACAATGAGACCGGAGAGTATGAGTACACTATGTCTTCTGGTGGGTTGGTCACTGCCTTACAAGGGTTGAAGAAAACAGCCACATTCCAATGGTACGGGTGGCCTGGTTTGGAGATTCCAGACCATGAAAAAGCTAAAGTGAAGAAAGATTTGAAGGAGAAATTCAATGCTATTCCTGTATTTTTAACAGATGAGATTGCTGATTTACATTATAATGGGTTCAGTAATTCTATTTTATGGCCTTTATTCCATTACCATCCTGGTGAGATTAATTTTGATGAAAACGCATGGCTGGCATATAATGAAGCAAACTTAACTTTTGCTAATGAAATCATCCAAAACATCAGCGATAATGACCTTGTGTGGGTCCATGATTACCATTTAATGTTACTACCGGAGATGCTAAGACATAATATCAACAGAAAGGGGCTAAAGAACGTTAAACTTGGATGGTTTCTACACACTCCATTCCCATCTTCGGAAATTTACAGAATCTTACCAGTGAGACAAGAAATTTTAAAAGGTGTATTAAGTTGTGATCTTCTAGGGTTCCATACATACGATTACGCAAGACATTTCTTGTCGTCGGTGCAGAGAGTGTTGAATATTAATACATTACCCAACGGTGTTGAATACGAAGGCCATTTCGTTAATGTAGGTGCATTCCCTATCGGTATCGATGTGGACAAGTTTTCAGAAGGTTTAAAGAAGGATTCTGTTCAAAAGAGAATTATGCAATTAAAGGAGACATTCAAAGGTTGTAAGATCATTGTCGGTGTGGATAGATTAGATTATATCAAGGGTGTCCCTCAAAAGTTGCATGCCATGGAGGTTTTCTTAACCGAACACCCTGAATGGATCGGTAAAGTGGTCTTAGTACAACTCGCTGTTCCAAGTCGTGGTGACGTCGAAGAGTATCAATATTTAAGATCCGTGGTCAATGAACTTGTCGGTAGAATCAACGGTCAATTCGGTACAGTGGAATTTGTTCCAATCCATTTCATGCATAGAAGTATCCCATTCGAAGAATTGATTTCTTTATATGCGGCAAGTGATGTCTGTCTAGTTTCTTCTACAAGAGATGGTATGAATTTAGTCTCTTACGAATATATTGCTTGTCAACAAGAAAAGAAAGGTTCTCTAATTCTTTCTGAGTTTACTGGTGCTGCACAATCTTTGAATGGTGCTTTGATTGTCAATCCTTGGAATACTGATGATTTATCGGAATCTATCAATGAAGCATTAACGTTATCGTCTGAAAAGAAAGAGGCTAACTGGGAGAAGCTGTACAAATACATTTCAAAATACACATCTTCCTTCTGGGGAGAAAATTTCGTTCATGAACTGAACAACACCTCTAGTACATCTGCAGTACATGGATCCAATGCCTGAGTTTGATGTTAATTTCATTTCTTCTTTTTAAATACAAATACTATTTACATACACTCATATATATATTTATCCCTGTATGCACCGATAAAAACAAACAAACAAAACAACAATTTTCAAGTAATTATTAATATAAATTTCACACGATTCACACATGTGTCGCCATATCATTATATTATAAACGTTTAATACTGTTTACCATATGAAAAGGGCACTTTATTGATAATGGATTTCCCGTTTACTTGTTTAAGAAACGAGGTGTGTCTCTCTCTGTTCCCAATTGACTTTCGCACTCCGCTTTGTCTCCCGTTCCTTTCTTGTATTCAATCTCGTAAGAATTTGAAATATTTGAAATGTGGAAATTTTGCATTGATTAAGAGGAACGGATTTGAAATAAAGAGGATTGTTAAGCAGTTTACGAGTATAAAGCACACATTCAATATATATATATATATATAACGAATTAACGAGTTTTACCTTCTAAAATTATAACCATTCTTTTTGTTTTCCATTATAATTCTTCTGAAATTAAACAAGTATCCATATTGAGAGAACTGAAATAATCATAATAAAAAGATAAATATCTTACTGATTCATTACTAATAACCGCACAAAATGGGCCAATTACTGTCACATCCATTGACTGAAAAAACTATTCAATACAATGACTATAAGGACCATAAACCTAGCACGCAGGTGTCAAGCCAATCGCCGCGTTTCTTTAATTGTATCGGCTCCATGCAAGGGTACAGACTGACTCAAGAGGATGCACATATGATAATTAATGAGGACGATAGTATACATGTTAGATTCTACAACCCATTTAAAGATCGTGTCGAGTTGTATATTTTGAGCCTTTTTGCAGTGTTTGATGGACATGGTGGATCAGATTGTTCGGCATTCCTTAGTGGGGGTAAAGATGATCGAGGTTATAACCCTAAGAGTGGACTAGCTAAATGGGTTACCTATGCATTTGAGAACCATCATTATGGGGCAATAGACACACACAAAGTAGGAGACATAAATTCCACAATAAGGTCTAAAGCGAAGAGTAATGATGACGATGGGAAGATCAAAAGGGTATTCAGGACGTTAGAAGGGTTATTAACACAGATATTCAAGGATTCATACATATTACAGGACATTGAACTTTACAAACATTTTGCTAATAGTACTTGTGGGTCAACAGCCGTGATGGCTGCAGTTGTTAATGGAGAGATGGTTTACGTAGTAAATTGTGGTGATTCTCGTTGCATTATGTCATCTAAGAGTGATGGCATTAAGACGATGTCCTATGATCACAAACCCCAACATATAGGTGAATTATTAAGAATTAATGATAATGGGGGTACAGTGTCTCTAGGTAGAGTAGGAGGTGTGTTGGCCTTAAGTAGAGCCTTTAGTGATTTCCAATTTAAGAGAGGTGTACAATACAATACCCAAAATAGGAGAAATGTGAAAGGAAACTACATAAACAACCTGACTATAGCGCCTCAAGAAGCACAGGTAACCGTAGAACCCGATGTATTAATGCATAGAATTGATTATAAAAAGGACGAATTCCTAGTACTAGCTTGTGATGGTATATGGGACGTCTACAGTAATAAACAATTGATACGGTTTATTAAATATCACTTGACCCAAGGTATAAAACTTGATGGGATCATACCGAAACTTCTAGATCATGGAATCGCTCAGGCCAATAGCAGTACGGGTGTTGGGTTTGATAATATGACTGCTATTATAGTGGTTCTAAACAAGAATGGCGAATCTCTCAGCGATTGGTACACCAAGATGAAAATAAGACTTGAAAGAGAGAAGGGTTTGGTTTAAACACCCTTCATGACGAGAACCATTCTGCCGTGTTTCAATGTGCCTGTTCTCAGCTTTTCCTGTTTACAGATGAACGTTCAAAAATATTGATTTTCTATGATTCCATAGTGTATTGTATAGTAAATAATAACTAATGAAATATCAAAAGTATATATTGTGAAAATGATAGAAACATTATGAAAACAACAAAACAACAACAGACAACTTATAATAAATCCAGGTGAACTTTCCTGTTTGTAGTACTCTCATTTATATCCCAATGTCAATATGTTTCGGAAAATAATAGAACTACGCGTCTCTTTCTTATTGAAGTAATATAAACAAATAATCGCTAACTACTATTTAAATTACTTTGAACTGGAGCATTAACGTGTTGGTTCAGAACGAAATAGTTGCGAATAGTTATACGTTGGTGAGGACAAATAGTTATACGTAAATAGATTTTAATTGCATACAAAATGACTTCGAAAGAGATAAGTACTGAACACCCCCTCCCTAAAAGTATCCACATAAACTTTCTAGACCAATCTTCAGATGATCCAAACCAAACAAATTCCAATATTCTTGCAAAGGAGTACACTTTAGATATTCCCCGAATTCCTTCAGTGGAGTTACCATTGTGTGTTTCAGGAAGACCTGAAAGTATCGCCAAAGCAGTAAGTATGTGTGGCGGTATAAATAAGATAAAAGATATGTTGAAAAAGAGTACCGACCCAGAGGTTGAAAACTACTTGGAATTATACTTAAATGATAAGGATAATAAAAACGATGGAGGCAGTAGTTTCTTCAATGAACACCCTATAATTGGTAAACCGGTCCCATATAGAGATAGTTCAGTTGTATTGAAAATAGTTATGCCAAAGGGTACCATGAAGAAACATGAAGGTAACGTTCAGAAGTCTTTGGCCTCGTTACATTCAAATGATTATAAAATTACCCCAGTTGCTGTGGTTGATAACACAATAAAGTTTAGAGAAATGTCTGATTTTCAATACTGTCTGGACAATGTTCCGGCTGCAAATGAATATGTTCAAAGTTTTGGTTCATTAGAATGGCAGAATATCAAACAATTAGTAGATTCTGTTCCTGTTAATGATACAAAGCCTCAAGAAAATATTAGCAACTTAATTTTTAACAGAGGACTAAAGTCTCCAAGTTCTGACTATCAATTAATACCCCCACCGAGATTATCTATGATTGGTTTCCCTCATTTGTACAAATATAGAAAGAATCCTTTAGCCGTTAAGAAAGCAGATGGTGTTTCTGAAGTGAAGGGTTCATACATTAAAAACTATCAACTATTCCTACACACATTAGGCGATAATGTCAAGGTACCTATAGAGCCGCACAACAATTTACAACATGATTATAAAATCGCCAAAGAGACTAAAATATACCCAGGTACAAAACAATCTTCTAAATTTTATGAGTCACTGGAAGAATGCTTGTCTATATTGGGACATCTTTTCGAGAAAAGACCTATATGGATAAAGAGACATTTAGATGGTATCATCCCTAAAAGAATACACCATACTCTGAAAATTGCACTGGCACTAATTACATATAGATTCACTATGGGACCATGGAGAAATACATACATCAAATTTGGTTGTGACCCAAGACTATCAAAAGTGTATGCCAAATATCAAACCGAATATTTTAAGATTGAAAGAAAACTACTGTCTTCACCAACTGTTAGAAAGAATATTCCAAAATTAAGCGAATCTGTCTTTGAATCGAACGTTCCTGGTGATATTGATACAAGATTCAGATTTGATGGTAAACAAATTCCATGGTATTTAATGCTACAAATCGATATGCTAATTTGCGAACCTAACGTGGCTGAAGTGTACGACAAAGTCCAATATTTGGATACACCTAATGAAATTACAGGTTGGTTTAGTGAGCTAGACTTGGTCAAAATAAGGAGAATTGTAAAATATGAATTGGGTTGTCTTGCTCAAGGTAATCTTGATTTTAACAAGTACAAATTAAAATACTTCAAGACGATGCAATATGTGAAAGAATCTTTAATAAATGAAAAGGATATTAAGGAATCCCAAGCAGTCGATGGAGATGGTGACATTGATATGGATCGTGAGTCGAATGAGAATAACACAAACGACAAAGAATTCAAAGATATTACAGAATCTATTATAGATGAAGATGAAGATGATGACAATGGGATTATTGCGGGCGAGGTCGATGAAGACGCCCTTGATGTTGATGAATCTGACTCCAACGAAAATATCCTCATTGCTGACGCGATGGAAGACGAAATGACTGAATCTAAAGAAGATTTTGATCTCGCATCTGCCAACTTTCAAGATGTCGTTGCACGTATCATGGAATCTGACCCAGTTACAGCAAAAAGGTTACAATTAGAATTGGAAGGGTTCGTAAATATAAATAAGATATAACAAATGTAGAAATATGTAGTAAGAATACTCGTACAACATGATAAAATTCGGGAATTTTGGTGCTAGGAAGGGGAACCGAAACAAGAAAACCAAAATCTTGACATCGAGCAAAAGACTGAAAGATAATAAATAGATAGGATGCTAAGGCTTGTAGTTAACATTGGTATGTATTTATAAGTTAGATATATCGAATAAGGGGAAGATCAAGCTGTTTGATATTATACATAACGAAAAAGAGAGACTCTATTTTTTTGGAAAACGTCATTTACGATAATTCCGAAATAAGACTATAAATAAGACATAATCTTAGACTTACTAGTTACATTTATGAACAACAATAATTTCAAGATATTATCGGCATTCCGTAGGCTAGCCTCTACGGGAACATATCCCGGTTCACAAAGAATGACCTTACCTAGGAGACCAATGAAAAAGATTGGGTTAGGAAGGGCCAGACCTGCTATATATCATCAATTTGAGGTCGCTGTAGAAATGAGTGATGGCAGTGTTGTAATGAGAAAGTCGCAATTCCCCAAAGCTGAGGTTAGATTAATACAGGATCAAAGAAACAATCCATTATGGAACACCAGTAGGAGTGATCTTGTCGTCGTTGATGCGAACGCAGCAGGTAGTATTGATAAGTTCAAACAAAAATATTCATCAATATTTTCTGTTGAAGAAGAGGCAGTAGCTTCGACGTCTGATGCTAATGCTAAACTTACAACCGAGGTAGAAAGGACAAAGGAAGAAACTAAGAAAAATTCAAAGGTGGAAACAGCTGAGAAATCGGAGGACCAAGCACACGATAATTTTGGTATGGATGACTACTTATCGTTACTAGATGATAATTCAAAGCAGATAAAATCTGGTAAAATTGCATCCAAAAAGAATTCGTCCAAGAAGAAATAGTTAAACGTAGATCCCAAAATTTCGTTTTGTTATTAAAAATAGAACAAAAGTGCATCATCTTTCTTAATGTTCCAACCTTTTTGTTTTTGCTCCAAAATTTTAACGAAAACATGTAAATATACACTTGCGTAGCAAGGACATGCAAATACTTCACAGATCGTACCGGGATGAAACTTTACATAGATGTAGATATTCATAATAACAATAATAATAATAATAATAAAATGTATATATAAAGAATAAAAGAACCTTAAAGTCACGTGAGTATCCTTCTCACGTGATCCAAAATATTTTTTGTTTGAAAAAAAAATTTTCAAGAAAATTTCATCTCATCGCTCAGCAAAGTTTGGAATGCTTACCGTTTCTTTGCAGGGAACACAACGGTTGTAAGGCGAGCATTATTGGTGCATCTTCTAGTACTAATTGTTACCTTTTGTTAATCACTACTAACTGTGGCATTAGTGAGAGCTTCACCATCTCCTATATATTTTTAATTTGTACTACTGTTTTTCATTTAACATTAAATTTTGAAACAGGACAACATATTATACATATTTCTTTAGTATTCTGTATTTTTTTTCATATTGCATTTCTTTTAGTGGGATTCAAATATATTCTTTTATTTATTCTTTAATTCGCCTGTTTCTTCTATTTTATCATTTACAAGTTGTTGTTTGGTAATATATTTCAAAAGAGACTCTATTCTCAAATTATCAAAAAATCAGTTCATATAACAAGGATGACTGCTACTGAAGTTCAAAAGGCTAGAGCCGCTTCTGTATTTAACAGAGAATCTCTAGAAAGTATTTTAAGAGGTAGATTCTTTTATGCCCCAGCTTTCGACATATATGGTGGTGTTTCCGGCCTTTATGATTACGGTCCACCAGGTTGTGCTTTCCAAGCTAATGTCGTTGACACTTGGAGAAAGCATTTCATTTTAGAGGAAGATATGTTAGAAGTTGACTGTACCATGTTGACTCCTTATGAAGTTTTAAAGACCTCTGGTCACGTTGATAAGTTCTCTGATTGGATGTGTAGAGACTTGAAGACTGGTGAAATCTTCAGAGCTGATCATCTTGTCGAAGAAGTCCTAGAGGCTCGTCTAAAGGGTGACAAAGAGGCCAGAGGTATCGCTGCTGATCCAGAAGAAGAAGAAAGTGCTGACAAGAAGAAGAGAAAGAAGAAGGTTAAGCAAATCAAGGCCATCAAATTGGAAGATGATGTTGTCAAGGAATACGAAATGTGTCTAGCAAAGATTGATGGTTACTCTGGTGAAGAACTAGGTGAATTAATGGTAAAATACTCGATTAACAACCCAGCTACTGACGGTCCATTAGAGCCACCAATGGCCTTCAACTTAATGTTCGAAACTGCCATCGGCCCTTCTGGTCAATTAAGAGGTTTCCTAAGACCAGAAACTGCCCAAGGTCAATTCTTAAACTTTAACAAATTGTTGGAATTCAACAACAGTAAGACACCATTTGCTTCTGCTTCCATCGGTAAGTCCTTCAGAAACGAAATTTCCCCAAGAGCTGGTCTATTAAGAGTTCGTGAATTCTTGATGGCTGAAATTGAACATTTTGTTGATCCATTAGATAAGTCCCATCCTAAGTTTGCAGATGTTAAGGACATTACTTTGTCCTTCTTGCCACGTGGTGTCCAAGAAGCTGGTTCCACTGAACCAATTACTGAAACCATCGGCAAGGCTGTTGCAAGTAAGATGATTGACAATGAAACCCTTGGTTACTTTATTGGTAGAATCTACCAATTCCTGGTCAAAATTGGTGTTGACAAGACTAAGTTGAGATTCCGTCAACATATGGGTAATGAAATGGCCCATTATGCTACTGATTGTTGGGATGGTGAACTATTAACTTCTTACGGTTGGATTGAATGTGTTGGTTGTGCTGATAGATCTGCTTTTGACTTGACAGTTCACTCTAACAAGACTAAAGAAAAGATGGTTGTCAGAGAAAAATTAGAGACTCCAATTGAAGTTACTAAGTATGAAATTGATTTGACAAAGAAATTGTTTGGTCCAAAATTCAGAAAGGACGCTCCATTAGTTGAAAAGTTCCTAGTAGAATTATCTCAAACAGAGCTAGAAGCTAAGGCTTCTGAGCTAAAATCTAACGGTAAGGTTACTTTCCAAATCAACGGTATCGAAGGTGATGTCGAATTAGATGACAAGTTCATCAACATTGAAAAGAGAACCAAGGTTGAACACGTTAGAGAATATGTACCAAATGTTATTGAACCATCTTTCGGTATTGGCCGTATAATCTACGCTGTATTTGAACATTCCTTCTGGAACAGACCAGAAGATACCGCTAGAGGTGTCTTGTCTTTCCCTCCATTAGTTGCTCCAAGTAAAGTTCTATTGGTTCCATTATCCAACAACAAGGAACTGCAACCTATCACCAAGAAGGTTTCTGATATTCTAAGAAAAGCTCAAATTCCATTCAAGGTTGATGATTCTGGTGTCTCTATCGGTAAGAGATATTCTCGTAATGATGAATTAGGTACTCCATTTGGTGTCACCATCGACTTCGACTCTGTCAAGGACGGCTCTGTCACTTTGAGAGAAAGAGATTCTACACAACAAGTCAGAGGTTCTGTCGAAGATATTATCAAGGCTATCAAGGACATCACTTATTTCGGTGTCTCTTGGGAGGAAGGTACCAAGAACTTGGAAGTCTTCACCTCTTCCCAATAAAGTAAATAAATCTAATTCTGATTTTCCATTAATTAATTATAAGTAAAGATAATGTGTAATTCTAATGTATAACTTTACCTCTTCAATTATTGCATATATATCGATATTAAATATCTGTAAGTGTATTTGCTGATTGATCTTGCTATCGTGTTTTGGATTTGATGATTCTTCTAGTATAGCCGGAAATTTAATGAACAAAGCGAAAAATCCAAAATTTCAATGTAAGGAAAAGGTTGAAGGGGTCAAACCATTATAAAGATCTATATTACAAACTATGATTGTTAACAACATTATTAACATATGTTTATACTCCAGAATACAAGGAAATCGACATATATTCAAACTTACATGAAATGTCATCGTACCAAACAGTTAGAGCAGGTGCTAAACAAGTAGTTAAATTACTAGAAAAGTTCCCAGAAGAACCTTTCAAATATTTGGTTTCATTCAAGACTACACAATTAGAAAGATTCAGTCGTATAGCTGGTCTTCCAATTTCTCAAAAGGATAGTTCTGAATTATCTAATAAAGCTTCAATAGATACAATTAAAGATGTAGTGAACAGAACGTCTGGTCCATTAGGTCTTCAAAAGGATATGTTAAAGAAGATGCAAGCAGCTATTCCTCACGATCAATTTTCAGAAACGTCCATGAAAGAACAGGTCAATGCCTTATCAAATCTAGTTGGCAACAAATATAAAACTTATTATGACGTTGGTGATAAACTTTACAAACCAGCTGGGAACCCTGAATATTACCAAAGAATTATAGATGACATTCAAGGTAAAAAGAAGGAAAATATTCTTGATGGGTTAAGAACTGTCTTCATGGGCAGATAATCATTATTATACATTACCATTATTTAAGGTATATACAGGTTCATATAACTGAACTGCATGTAAATATAAACATTTCGAATAAATAAAAAAAAATGCATATTCATTTTATTAAATTATTTAGCAAATGTTATATATATGATCGAACCTTTCCAGCTAGGGTCCTTTCCTAAACTATCTTTAACAGCAGCAGCTTGTTCAACAGTATCATATTCAATAAATGCCACATTACGTACTGAAACGAGTCTGATTCCTTTAAATCCTTCACCTTTGAACAGCTCTTCGATTTCCGTTTCAATGGTTCCATTTGGTATATTCTGAACTAGTAATCTGTTGTTAGGTGGATTATCAATGATTTTATATGTCGATCGTTTCTTTTTGGTTGGTTTATTAGATTGTAATTTTGTATTGAGTTTTGCTTCTTTTGCCTCAGTTGTTACATCTTGGAATTCCTTAATTTTCAATGCAATCGCCTCCTCATCGAGACCTTGTTTTCTTAATTTACATCTCAATCTTCTAGCTTTCCTTCTCATTGTATGTATCTCTTTTTCTTTCTCATCTAACTTTAATAACTTCTGTTTATGTCTTGTATTGAGAATCTTCTCGAATAAACCAGGTTTAGATTCGTCTAAGGCAATCGCCAACAATGATTCTCTTTTGGCATACTCCAAACCTATGTTCCTTCCATTTACCATTAAAGGTTTGGATTTATAAGTTTGTAAAAAAGTTGATGCATTTTCAACAGTCACAAATGTAATAAAACAAGTAGATGATAAGTTTTTGGAATGTGACCTTGAAATACCAATAATATTGTATTTTGTATCCAATAATTCCAATTCAGCAGGATATGATGCCGTTGTATTCATTGGGAGATCTATAGACGGCCTCAAAACATATTCATTTGTTGGATTGATAGACTTTAACAGTAGTCGTATAAAATTTGGTGTCGATTTGGGACGACTTGGTAGATTTGATAAATGCAGTCTATAAGTATATAGCTATTCTTGTTAGTAAAACGTTGGAAAGGACTTCAAAAAAATAGAAAAATAGATAATATATCTGTGTTTCAGAACATACGTTTTAACGTTTTCAGTCATAATTGGTGTCTTGTGGAGTTGTATTTGATAATATGGCTAAGTTTACATAACTGATTTTGACATTTCAAAGTTTTATAATATTGAAAAAAAAATAATTTAAAATGATCACACATTAACTTGCAGACGTTTGAAAACTTTAATTATTTAACCTATTTAATTTACATAAAAGACAATATTTGTAACTTTTTTTTTAATAGTGAAAACATGGATTAATAATAAAAGCTAATTACAATTTACATAGAAATATAGATAGAGTTAATTGTTATTAATAATCTTATTTAGCGGCCTTAGCAGCAGACTTGGTAACCTTACCAGCAGCGGCGGACTTTTCAACAGACTTGATGACACCAACAGCAACGGTTTGTCTCATGTCTCTGACAGCGAATCTACCTAGAGGTGGGTAGTCAGAGAAAGCTTCAACACACATTGGCTTGGATGGAATGAACTTAACAAGAGCAGCATCACCGGACTTTAGGAACTTTGGATGGTCTTCTAGCTTCTTACCAGATCTTCTGTCGTTCTTTTCTAGAAGTTCATCGAACTTACAAGCAATATGAGCAGTGTGACAATCCAAAACTGGAGAGTAACCGGCAGAAATTTGACCTGGATGGTTTAGGACAATAACAGTGGCGTTGAAAGAAGCGGCGGCCATTGGTGGATCGTTCTTGGAGTCACCACAGACGTTACCTCTTCTGATTTCCTTAACGGAAACATTCTTGACGTTGAAACCGACGTTGTCACCTGGAACACCTTCTTCTAGTTGTTCGTGATGCATTTCGACGGACTTAACTTCAGTAGTAACACCGGCTGGGGCGAAGGTAACAATCATACCTGGCTTGATAATACCGGTTTCAACTCTACCGACTGGCACAGTTCCGATACCACCAATCTTGTAGACATCTTGTAGAGGTAATCTCAATGGCTTGTCAGTTGGTCTGGATGGTTCTTCAATGGCGTCAATGGCTTCTAATAGAGTCTTACCCTTGACGACACCGGCCTTGGTTTCCTTTTCCCAACCCTTGTACCAAGAAGCGTTAGTAGTAGCTTCAATCATGTTGTCACCGTTCCAACCAGAGATTGGGACGAATGGAACAGTCTTTGGGTTGTAACCGACCTTCTTGATGAAGTTAGCAGTTTCCTTACAGATTTCTTGGAATCTGGATTGGTCCCAGTTAACGGAATCCATCTTGTTGACAGCAACAATCAATTGTCTAACACCTAGGGTGAAAGCCAATAGAGCGTGTTCTCTAGTTTGACCATCCTTGGAGATACCAGCTTCGAATTCACCGACACCACCAGCAATGATTAAGATAGCACAATCAGCTTGAGAGGTACCAGTAATCATGTTCTTGATGAAATCTCTGTGACCTGGAGCGTCAATAACGGTGACGTGGTACTTTGGAGTTTCGAACTTCCATAGAGCGATATCAATGGTGATACCTCTTTCTCTTTCAGCCTTTAACTTGTCAAGAACCCAAGCGTACTTGAAAGAACCCTTACCTAATTCGGCAGCTTCCTTTTCAAACTTTTCGATGGTTCTCTTGTCAATACCACCACACTTGAAAATCAAGTGACCGGTAGTAGTGGATTTACCAGAATCGACGTGACCGATGACGACGACGTTAATATGAGACTTATCTTTACCCATTTTTGATGATGTGTTTAAGTATGTTTAGTTATCTGAGGATATTAGCAAGTAAGAAAAAGAAGAAGAAGAATATATAAAATAAAAAAATACAAAAATTAATAAATATGAGAATAAATTAATTGACAAAAAAATAAATTAATCAGGGCTTATATATATATGTGCGTTTAAAAGGATAAATTAAAATAGAATAAGAAAGAAAGAATAAAAGAGAATTAGAAATGAAAATTTTTCTCTCTTTGTATCATCCATCATTCTTTAAGAAAGTGAAGAGATGCTGATGAAATTTTGCGATGGGCAAGCTTAAATTCAGTAAAAAGGAAAGAAAATAATGGAAATTAGTTACTGTTGTCTAGCTTGTACGGTGAGTTTATAGAGCATAAGTCATATGAAGTTGATATTTTCATTTTTTTGGCCAGCAAAGCGGGATGTTCGTGAATAGTGACAGCACGTGCAAATAAATGCTGCGAACGTTCGTTGAAAGAGATATTTTGGCAATTTCAGTTTCTTGGTTCGGTTTCGGACAGGGAAGTGGGCGGTTGGGAAATATGTGAGAGATGAGATTTAGTTTTGGCAAAGAGAAGAAAGAGAAAGCTAAGAGTGTGGGAAGCCGGCTGGTGTACGGATGTACAGGGTGTGAATTTATTATGGGTGTACGGATGCATATGGCAGTCGTAAATAAAGTGGAGTGCATTATAACTTTCCACGAAACACTCGAGATATTTATGTTGTTTCGCTTCGCATTTTGCATTTTGGCGCAGTTCTAAATAAGGAAATATATACAGAGAGGCAAGCAGTGGGGACAGAGCGATTAATGCTGACAACCTTACAAGGGATATTTAAAAGGGAAGGGACACACACATATATACATATATATATGTATATATATGACATAATATATTTTCACATACCGTGGAATACCTTTAATTACTAATAATCGAAACTGATAACAACAGCAATAACAATAACAATATATAAATAACAATGCTTGGAGAATTAATAAATTATCACGACGGTTGCAAGTGTGGGGATAAGTGCCAATGTGGTTCTGTTTGTAAATGTGGTCACAATACCGAAACTACTGATAAAGGTTGTGCCGCTTGTGGTGAATCCTGCAAATGCACTTCTGGAAGTTGCTGTGGTAAGGATACTTGCACTTGCAAGCACTAATGATGTTGACAATATTTAAATATAGTACCCATACATACATACATATATATATCTAATATTTAATATTAAATATACATTTTTTTATTCTATACTGTATTTTTTGTTTTTTTTGCTAAGGTGGGGAGGTAACTATATGGCACGACTTCAGCGGCTAAAAACATCCTTTTTTTATTTTTTGCCACTTGGATTTCCCTCTCGAATCAAAAAATAAAGAAGCCGGTTAGTTCTTTGATACCTTACGTCTTTATAACAAGTTACACCGTATCGCTATTTTAAATGACTCGACAATAATAAAGTATATATATATATATTTGGATTGCAATAGGTAAGTGGACTTGATACTACCCTAGTGTCCTTTTTGTTGTTAGATGCATTCATTCTTAAGTCACAATTATTTTATACCTGGCGTTCACTAAGCTGCCATAACTAATTATTTTTTACTATGATCTATTTTTCACCTGGGAATTAGTCTCCTTCTGTCTACTTTATTTCACACACATATATATTTTTGCCGCGGGAGAGAAAGCGAAAGACTGGAATTTTTAAAAGCCATGCACTAAATTAAGATTTTCCCACCGGAATAAATCATTTCGCATTGGAAACTTCATATTTCACGGGCTTTCCCTCTCTACTTTTTCAGCTTTTGCGTTTTAGCTTGAGTCACTGCTATTACTATAGAGGTCATAAAGTTAACTGGGATCCCCTACCAGATATTTACTTGCCATGTAACAGATTCCGATCATAAGAATACTATTAAATTGAATCATTTCAGTATTTATTCAAATTTTATTTAATGAGTCAATTTTCTTTAACAACCAATTAGTTCACACACACATATATATAAAGGTATTGTGCTGATAAGTCGAGACAATAAAGGGTTACTGTTTTTTTCATATTCAAAATTATTTTTTTCGCTAATTTCCTTTTAACTGAACAAACCAAACCAGAGCTTTGCTTTTCTACTCATTTTAGTCTTTCAAAATATGTCATTACTTGACCAAATATTGGATAATCCAACTCTAACTGTCCTTCCAAATGACCATTTACGTCCACAGCAAGAACCTTTTTCTAAGGATTCTGAATTTACATTAAATTTACCACAATTAGCTACAGTGGATCAAAGCACTGATCCATACATCTTAGCTGTTTCTGCTTGGGCTTCTTTGATCTATAGACTAAGTGGTGATGACGATATTGTGCTTTACGTTTCTGGTAATAAAGTTCTGAGATTCACAATTCAACCTACCTGGACATTTCAACAAGTCTATAGCGAAATCTTTAAAATTTTACAAAATTTAGAATCATTAAGTGATGTTAATTATGACACACTCTCTGAAACTTTACAAAATCAAAACGATTTAGAGAAACCACCAAGATTTTTTTGTCTTGGTTTCTTAAATGATAACACTAGGGATATCTCATTGAATCATTTTAAGCATCATCCATTCGATATTTTATTGAATTTACAATTAAACAGTCATACTCTTACATTTAAATACAATGGTCTACTATTCGATGAATCAAGAGTACAAATCATTGCGGATCAATACACACAATTATTATCTACATCTTTATCTAATCAAGATGAAATCATTACTACTGTTTCCTTGATAACTACTAAATCTAAAGATATTTTACCAAATCCAACTAGTAATTTAGACTGGCCTGGGTTTGTAGGTTGTATTCATGATATCTTCCAAGATAATGCAGACAAATTCCCAGAAAGAACTTGTGTTGTAGAGACTGGAGAAATTGATGATCCAAACCCCGAAAAGAGACGTGAATTTACATACCAAGATATCAACCGTGCTTCTAATGTTATCGCCCACTATTTAATCAATACTGGGATTAAAGTAGGTGATGTAGTCATGATTTATTCTTCTAGAGGTGTTGATTTAATGGTCTCTGTGATGGGTGTCTTAAAGGCTGGTGCAACATTCTCCGTCATCGACCCTGCTTATCCACCAGCTAGACAAACTATTTACCTAGGTGTCGCTAAACCAAAGGGTCTAGTAGTTCTAAGATCGGCCGGCCAACTAGATCAACTAGTTGAAGACTACATCAATAAAGAGCTCGACGTTATCACAAGAATCCCATCAGTAGCCATTCAGAATGATGGTTCTATACAAGGTTCACTAGGTGTCTCTACTGATGTCTTACAACCTTACCAACACTTACAAGATATTCGTTCCGGTGTCATTGTTGGTCCAGATTCTAACCCAACTTTGTCATTCACTTCAGGTTCCGAAGGTATTCCAAAGGGTGTTTTGGGTAGACATTTCTCACTTGCATACTATTTCAGTTGGATGGCTCAAAGATTTAACCTATCCGAAAATGATAAATTTACAATGTTAAGTGGTATTGCCCACGATCCAATTCAAAGAGATATGTTTACTCCATTATTCCTTGGTGCTCAACTTTATGTTCCAACTGAAAATGATATTGGTATCCCAGGTAAATTGGCACAATGGATGGGTGAAACTGGCTGTACTGTTACTCATTTAACTCCTGCCATGGGTCAATTACTAACGGCTCAAGCTACTACTGAAATTCCAAAATTACACCACGCCTTCTTTGTTGGTGATATTTTGACTAAACGTGATTGTTTGAGATTGCAAACTTTAGCAGAAAACGTTAGAATTGTTAATATGTATGGTACTACCGAAACTCAACGTGCTGTCTCTTATTTTGAAGTTCCATCTAGAGTCGATAACCCAACTTTCCTACGAACTACAAAGGATGTTATGCCAGCTGGTAAAGGTATGAAGAACGTTCAATTATTAGTGGTTAACAGAAATGATAGAACTCAAATTTGTGGTGTTGGTGAAGTCGGTGAAATTTACGTTCGTGCTGGTGGTCTGGCTGAAGGTTACAGAGGGTTACCGGATTTAAACAAAGAAAAATTCATAAATAACTGGTACGTTGAAGAAGGTCATTGGAATAAACTAGACATCGATAACGGTGAACCATGGAGAAAATATTGGTTTGGTCCAAGAGATAGAATGTACAGGACAGGTGACTTGGGACGTTATTTGCCAAATGGTAACTGTGAATGTTGTGGTCGTGCCGATGATCAAGTTAAGATTAGAGGTTTCAGAATCGAACTTGGTGAGATTGATACACATATTTCTCAACATCCATTGGTTAGACAAAACATTACCTTGGTACGTAAGAATCAAAATAGCGAACCTACGTTGGTCACATGGATGGTTCCAAGATTCGATATGCCAGAACAATTGTCTCCATTCCAAGTTACAATTCCAGAAGACATCAAAGAAGATCAAACCGTAAGTGGTTTAATTGGTTACCATTTATTGGCTAAGGATATTAAGAAATTCTTAAAAAAGAGATTGGCTAGTTATTCAATTCCATCCATGATCATTGTCTGGAACAAATTGCCACTGAATCCAAATGGTAAGATCGATAAGCCAAAATTGCAATATCCAACTCCAAAACAATTGAACTTGGTTGCTTCTCACAGTTCAACTGATCTAGATGAAAACGACTTCACAGAAGAAGAACGTGAAGTATTGAACGTTTGGTTAGAAGTTCTTCCAAATAAACCAGCTTCTGTTGCTGTTGATGATTCATTCTTTGACCTTGGTGGACATTCCATCCTTGCTACAAAGATGATTTTTACGTTAAAGAACAAATTGAACATAGATCTTCCATTAGGTACTATTTTCAAATATCCTACTTTACAAGCTTTTGCTGCTCAAATTGCTAACATTAAATCGTCAGGCTCTTCTGATTCTGCTCCTACTGTTGCCACTGTTGATTATGCAAACGATGCTAAGAAGTTGGTAAACACATTACCTGTCTCATATCCATCTCGTGAACCATTCAATATCAAAGAGAGTCAAACTATTAATGTATTTGTTACTGGTACTACCGGTTTCTTGGGTTCCTATATTGTCTCCAATCTATTGAACCGTTCAAATTCCACAACCAACTTCAAGGTATTTGCTCATGTACGTGCTAAAGATGAAACTGTAGGTTTAGAGAGAATTAAGAAAGCCGGTATCACATATGGTAATTGGAAAGATTCATTTGCTCCTTGTATCCAACCAGTTTTAGGTGATTTATCAAAGGTTAACTTTGGCTTATCTAATGAGACATGGGGTACTTTAACCAATACTATCGATGTGATTATTCACAACGGTGCTTTGGTTCATTGGGTCTATCCGTATGCCAAATTGAGAGACGCCAACGTTATTGGTACCATTAATGTAATGAATATGGCTGCTTCAGGTAAGCCTAAATTTTTTGACTTTGTATCATCTACCTCTGTATTGGACACTGACTATTTCTTCAATTTGTCTGATAAATTAGTATCCGAAGGCAAAACAGGTATTTTAGAATCCGATGACCTTCATGGATCAGCAACAGGTTTATCTGGTGGTTATGGTCAGTCAAAATGGGCTGCAGAATATATCATCAGACAAGCTGGTCAAAGGGGTCTACGTGGTTGTATTGTTAGACCAGGTTATGTTACTGGTTGTTCCGAGAATGGTTCTTCAAACACAGATGATTTCTTATTAAGATGTCTAAAGAGTGCCGTACAATTAGGTAAGATTCCAGATATTTCTAACACTGTTAATATGGTCCCAGTTGACCACGTTGCTCAAGTTGTTGTTTCTACTTCTCTAAACCCTCCAAAGAATACCGAAGTTGCTGTTGCTCAAGTTACTGGTCATCCACGTATTTTGCTCAAGGATTACCTATATACTCTTCACAAATATGGTTACTCTGTTGCAATTGAAAGCTACACAAACTGGAAGAAATCTTTAGAGATTGCTGTTATCGATAAGAATGAGGATAATGCCCTATATCCATTATTACATATGGTTCTAGACGATTTACCAGGTAACACAAGAGCTCCTGAATTGGATGATGCTAATGCAGTTGCTTCTTTGAAGGAAGATTCTAAATGGACCGGTGTTGACAAATCTGCTGGAATGGGTGCTACTCCTGAACAAGTTGGTATTTATATTGCCTTCTTAAATAAGGTTGGTTTCTTACCATCTGCAAGCTCTTCAATTTCTACTGCATTACCAGATATCAAACTTTCTACTGAACAAATTGAATTAGTATCTTCTGGTGCTGGTGCACGTTCAAGTTCTGCCAAATAGATATTTTAAAAGTCGTGTAATATATAAATAACAAAAAAAGATAACGATGTAAAAGATTTAATCAAAAAGTCTAAATATATAGTATTTACATTGAAACTAAGTACTGTTAGTAACACCTAATTGTTAAACAAAAACTGTAAATCTGCAGGTGTAAGTCTACTAATAGCAGCTTGATCCTGATTTATAGTTGCGTGGATCATGTTGGCCTTCTTTTCTTGTAGCTCAATAATTCTCGCTTCAATACTATCTTCAATACAGAACCTAGTGATCTTCACCGGTCTGAATTGACCTATTCTATGTACTCTGTCACCACTTTGCCATTCGACACTTGGGTTCCACCATGGATCCAATAAAAATACATGAGATGCTTCACACAAGTTTAAGGCGACACCACCAGCCTTTAAACTAACCAAAAATACCTCACATTCAATGTTATTCATAAAATATTTGATTGTTTGATCTCTTTGAATTGGCGACATGCTACCTTGTAGTTTCACAGTTTTGAAACCTGCTCTTTTTAATCTCCATTCAACTAAATCCAACATACTTGTAAATTGAGAGAAAACAATAGACTTAATAGTTCTAACAGGACTCCTTAGTTTGTACAACTCTTCTACAAGAGCTTCGATTTTAGTCGATGATCTCCAAGTTCCCTTCATATTTAGTCGACTTACAATACTTTGTTTTTTAAATTGATCTATATCGACCTCCAATGCAGGTTGTGATAAATCTATACTTAGACCAATATGACAGACAGGGCAAGTTAGATTTTTTTCAGTCTCTAAATATGATTCCACATATTCTTTTATGCAAAGTCTACAGAATTTGTGATGACACTTGGATTCGATAGGTTCTTCCGCCTCATCATCACATAATTGACATACAATCACACCTTCGACGGATGCTGTTTTATTTGTCATACGTTTCAGGACTAAATCAGGATGATCAGCCAATTGTCTCATTCTAGTAATCAAGGAGAAAATATTAGCATAATTGTTTAGCACCACACCTTCTTCGACATACGAATTATATTTTCTCGTAACGTCGGTATATAAACTTCTGTACAGATCCTTCTCTTCTTCATTGAAATAATCTCTTCTGATGGTTACAATTCTTGGCGGTAGACCTAAATCGTCTGCTCTTTCGACTTTTGTTCTCCTCAACATGACATTTTTCAATAGTATCTGAATGTTATTGAAGGATTCAAGACCTGGTCCCTCAACACCAAATTTCTGGATATTCTTTAACATAAAATGGTTGAAAAAATTTGTATGTTGCATAACAACATGATTACAAGAATCACAATGCATGAAATCTGAAAAATGCCACTCCTTAGAGGCACATTCACATTTAGTACAGAAATATTTTGAGAATGGTTCAACGTCTAAAAATCTGATCAGGGAATACATTTCACCAATTCTGTTTTGTAATGGAGTACCACTCAAACACCATCTTTTTTCAGTTTGCAGATTATTAACAGCTTTAGCTGTGTTACTTTGTCTATCTTTAATATTATGAGCTTCATCTAGAATCACTCTGTAGAATTTCATATTGTGTAATGCAGAAGGTTCTTTAAGCAATCCCGACTTTCTTTTGAAACCGTATGTTTGTTTCCTATAAATGGATTCTAACACTGAGTACGTCGTCAAAATGACATCGTATGGTGCTAAATCGGCAATATTAACTGTTTTGGAAGCACCATGATAGGTGTAAATTTTTAATTTTCCATTAGTATGTTGATCTATTTCATTCTTCCACTGCATCAGAGCCACAGTTGGAGCCACTACTAAGGAAGGTCTTTTGGTTAAATCGTTCATCAATAGTGCTATTGTTTGTATTGTTTTCCCCATACCCATTTCATCTGCTAGGACACCACCTCCATATTTACCATTTTCTTGTTCTAACAACCAATGAAGACCTTCCAGTTGAAACGGTAACAACCTAATCGATAATCCACTAGGTTGAGGAGCTCTCTGTGCGACATATTTTGGTGAATTCTTTAAATCTGGGAACACATTTACCAACTCCGGATGGTTTTCGAACAGCCGCATGGTATTTCTCTCATAAGGGGTTGTCTTTGGTGGTTTTCTCTTTTTGCCCTTAGCAGCAGGTTTCCGTTTAGTCTTTGTCTTTGCTCTGGTCTTTCTTTTCTTACTAAGGGGTTGATCATCATCATCATCTTCGTTCTCATCCTGAGATGCAACAGTTATGGATTCCTGGTTGTATTCAGAATCCTCACCTTTAATCTCGATGGACTCTTCTTTGACACCCATTGTTGATTCACTTGCAGAATAATACACATCACTATCATCACTTTTGTTCTTCCTTTCAACAAATGGTTCATCTACTTCAGTCGATTCATCCTTTAGTATGGTATTATTATCTTCATTATCACTATTCTCCTTATAGTTTACTTTTTTCACACTGGATCTAGTCCTTCTTTTGCGAATAAATCCGCCTGCTTCCTGTGCACTCATATATGTAGTTCTCCTAATAGGTATATATCTGTATGTAATGTTGTACCTTGCTATTACAAATTTACCTAGTTACAAAAAACATGCAAATGAGTTGTACATATATGTATATATATTACTCAGCTTAGTCATCCCTTTCCTCATCGCAGCACTGAAAAATTATATAATCTGATAGAAACGTACTATTTAAACTCAGGCACTGAAAATTTATTTCTTTTTTAAGAAAACAGAATAAAATGGGCTCAGAATATACCGTAGGACCCTGAATATTTTAGTTCAAAATTAGAGAATAGTTAATTGGTATTAATGTGAATGTATGTAAATTATATATATATATATATATATTATTTATCTTTAAAGTTCATTCTGTCTCGATAATGTCCTCTAGGAATGCTTTGATCTGAACCAGGACGTCATCTCTAGTTGCTTGATCCACAAGGTCTGCAAATAACATAAAGGTTTAGTTATTGGAAACGAACAATTTAATATGTTAGTAAATAGGATTTTAAAACAGGGGATAATAGTAGGATATATATAAAAAGCATCAATGCGATCTAATAGCGTTACATACTTAAAGCTTGGGGTTCTATCTTGGCCAGAATGTCAGCATAGTTTGTAGATTTATTTGAACTGATTTCGTCCATAGTCATTCGACGCACTTCGTCCATCCAGCCATCTTGTAATAATTTTTCATTCAAGTTGTTAGAGATCCTGTAAAAAGAATATTTTAATGTTAGTAAAGTTCATGCATAAAGAGATAGATAGTGTTCCCTGTAAATAAAGCAAGGAATCCGTCCTATTTGAAAAAAAAACTTGTAGCATACTTTTCATAATTACCAGACTCCACCAGATATCTCTGTATCTGCGTTTTTAACGAGCTCTCCATTTGATGAATAGATATGTGCCACCTTAAAGAAATTCTATAGGTATATTACTATCCTTCGAAATAAGCACGGTATGCTTTGCAGATTATTGCTTTCTTAGCAGAACTTGACTTGACTCTCTGCTAGTTATTTTAAATTTCGTTGTTGTTAATTCTATTGCAAAAACATAGGGCTTCACAACATTAGGGTTTTAGGGTTGTTCCCCGTGGTTAGGGTTTTGTAAACTGTTCCATCGGGCTTTCACTGCGGAATTTTTTCAGGTGCTCGTAGCCCATAATAACTGGAATAATGGAACTGGAACACAAGTATGAACAGATTTTGTTTGGAACAAGGGGATACACACAGAGTATATTATCTATTTACTCATTCCAGCTTTAATATTATTATTTTACTAGTTTATAAAAGGTATGTGTTTTGCAAATACGTTAATGTAGTTTGTTCCATGTCATTACTTAAAAACTGTTTATTTTCTGTTTGCAAGAGGACGATCATATCAAGAAATTATATAAGGATGACTGCTACTAAATGTTCTCCAGAGAAGGCTAAACTTATCTCATCTACACCTGTGAGCAACTCAGATGATTGCAAATGGATTGGGTTAGAGAAAATGGTATACAGCGACCCTAATGGTGTGAAGAGAGAATGGGACTGTGCTGTTCGTAAGACCAGAAATTCTGGTGGTGTTGATGGTATTGGTATGCTAACTATTATGAAATACAAGGACGGTACTCCAGACCAAGTCTTATTGCAGAAACAATTCAGACCTCCCGTGGATGGTGTATGTATCGAAGTTCCAGCAGGTCTTGTTGATGCCAATGAATCCTTGGAGACAGCTGCATTACGTGAATTAAAGGAAGAAACAGGTTACGTTGGGAAGATCACAGGTAAGAGTCCAATTATCTTCAACGATCCTGGTTTCACCAATACGAATATGTCATTAATGACAGTTGAAGTTGATATGTCTTTACCTGAGAATCAAAGCCCACAAACTCAATTGGAAGAAAATGAATTTATTGAATGCTTCCAAGTACCTTTTGCCAGTTTGAACGATGAATTGGAAAAACTGTATAAACAAGGTTATAGACTTGATGCCCGTTTACAGAATGTTGCTCATGGTATTGAGATTGCCAGAACGTATGGGTTATAATTATAATCGACATACCAATATATATATATAGAAATGTACTTTAAAACTATATAAACATGTTGATAAATAGGTTTATCTATCGTTCAATGAAATCGACGAATTCGCGATGAGCTTTGCAACAGGGTGAAATTTCTGAAAAAAAAAAATTTTCAATCCGGCAGGGGAAGAAAGGCTTGATTTTGTGAGAGGCTCATCATATATAAGAGGGATAAGGAACATAAATTTAGTAAAGACAACAGATAAGCTCTGCATTGGTATTTCTTATCGATTTAATACAAGTAGATAAAACAAATATCACAATTCAATTAAAATGTCTAACGCAGAAATCACACATCCTACCATTGTCGACGGCTGGTTCAGAGAAATCTCTGATACCATGTGGCCAGGTGAAGCTATGACTTTAAAAGTTGACAAAGTTCTACATCACGAAAAGTCTAAATATCAAGATGTCTTGGTTTTTAAGTCCACTGATTTCGGTAATGTTCTTGTCTTAGACAATGCCATTCAAGTCACTGAACGTGATGAATACTCTTACCAAGAGATGATTGCTCACTTGGCTGTCAACTCTCATCCAAACCCAAAAAAGGTACTTGTCATTGGTGGTGGTGATGGTGGTGTTCTAAGAGAAGTCGTTAAGCATGAATCTGTAGAGGAAGCTGTTCTTTGTGACATTGATGAAGCTGTCATTAGATTATCTAAGAAATATTTACCAAACATGTCCTCTGTGTATAACGATCCAAAAGTCAAGGTCCATATTGGTGACGGTTTCCAATTTCTAAGAGATTACAAAAACACATTTGATGTCATCATTACTGACTCCTCTGATCCAGAGGGTCCAGCTGAAACTTTGTTCCAAAAGCCATACTTTGAATTATTGAACGATGCTTTGACTGAAAAGGGTGTCATCACTACTCAAGCTGAATCCTTCTGGATTCACTTACCAATCATCAAGGAACTTAAGAAAGCTTGTGCTGAAGTATTCCCAGTTGCTGAATATGCTTGGACTAGTATTCCAACTTACCCAACCGGTATGATCGGTTTCATGGTTTGTTCCAAGGATAAGACTGCTAACGTTAAGAAACCATTAAGAACTATTTCTGATGAAAAGGAAGATGAATTATACAAGTATTACAACAAAAAGATCCATGAAGCTTCTTTTGTTCTACCAAACTGGGTTGCTAAGGAATTGAAGTAAATCAATTGAATTTCTTTACGATTTGTATATAGATGATTTGAATTTCAAACTTCTGTAGATTCTTCATAATTTATATATTTATAAATGATTGGAAAAAGGTGAGGAATATATTGCACCATAAGAAAAAATATTGTATTCTTCTATTTACAAATAAGGAGACGTTATTTAATGAATTAAATTGATTTCTTTCATAGATTTTTCCCAGGTGGAATCCCATCTATTCTTAGATTCTTCAATAGCACCCTTTCTCAGAGTTTGGTAAATTTCTGGATCTTTCATTGCAAAAATTAATGATTCATGTAATTCTCTTCTATCAGTGAATTTAAGACCATTCTGTCCATGTGTGACTAATTCGTCAAGTACAGGATAATTCATAGCGATCACTGGTAACCCTGAACCAAACATATCTAATATTTTCATTGGTAAATCTAAACCTGAACTCGATGTATGCAATGATACACCGTAGTCACATAATCTTAATAACTTTGGGTAATCCTCAGATGATAGCCATACAAATTCTACGTGACAAACATTCCATTTAGTTTCTGCAACTTGTTTCATATATTGCTCTCTTAGTGGGCCTTTACCTGTAATAAAACAAAGGATCTTCGGTAGATTATTATCAAACTTCTCATAAGAACTTTCATATATTTTTAATGCACCTAATAAAATACCGATATCTTCATCAGGTGTGAAAGAGGTTGAAGTTACAATAATCTTATCACCTTTAGTTATATCAAAGCCTTCAGGAATCAAATCTTTAATAAATGGTTCTGTATGTAATGCCATATCCCTAGTTAATTCAGGTGTTTCTTTGAAAGGAACAAATTGAACAGGTGGCCTATCATGTAACACAACAATCTTCTTGTCATTGAACTTAAAACTATTTATTAAGAAAGCTTTCATGGCATCTGTCACAGTCAAATGATAATTAGCAAACCGTCCAAAGAATAATTCGACAAATATAGCGACAATGACTAAAGGATGCCATGAACTGCATTTCAATTTTAATTTCAAAATTGAATAAGCCAAATTATGCCAATCTATGATTATTTTACAACCAATGAGTCTGTAGAAAGTGATAATAGGGAATAATGGAATACTTGGTGGATTTTGAACCAACAGGTAATCGCTACCTCTTAATTCCCATAATTTTGAGACAATGACCAGGATCTGAAAAATGACTTTATGGACCATTCCGAACTGATTGATCCTTGGAATAGGGTGAATAGTAATATTATGATTCTTCGTAATGAAATTAGGTAATTGACTATCGACATAACCGCAAAATTCTACTTGGAAACCCTTCATAGCAAAGGACTGCGCATGGTAGCACATCCTTGGTGAATGTCCGATGTCGCCTAGCACATATATGATAATTCTTTTCTTTGTAGACCTATTACCATAAAATAGAAACGGAATAGCATAGTATATCACTATAGGTAATGACATATATACTAAGATTAAGGTCACCAACCATGGTGACAGAGTATCTGGGATTGAAAAGAGGGCCATTTCCTTTAGCGCAAAATTGGAATTAAAATTGCTCTTTGTCCCTAATTTGAAACTGGTACAGTCAGATTTATAAACCAGAACTTAAATCTTCTAATTTCAAAGTCAACAACTGAGTAAGATCCCACATTAATTACTTATATCTGTGGCCATCAAATGATCTTAAAGAGTTCCTCAAATTGTAAAAGTTATGATTTCTCTCTGTCTCTGCGTCGTATAGAGCGACCCTTCGCTATTTTGCAATTTATTCCTCTCTCCTTTTAATGGTTTTTTTTTTATAAAATTCGGGAATATGTGTAAATAAGAGAGAAAGCAGAGAGGCTTGCAATTTGTAAACAGAGGGACACATTAAGATGATTTATTTACAGGTAAGTTCTCTTTTGATTCGACAGGAAGAGAACGTAAATTATAACTAGATATACCAATAATATACACATATAACTGTCCTTAGTTTTTACTGAAACAAGACGTCCATATACTATGTCCTCTAATCTAACTGAAGAACAAATTGCTGAGTTCAAGGAAGCCTTTGCCTTATTCGACAAGGACAATAATGGTTCCATTTCTTCGAGTGAGTTAGCCACTGTTATGAGATCTCTAGGTTTATCTCCAAGTGAGGCCGAAGTTGCTGATCTTATGAACGAGATTGATGTTGACGGTAACCACAAGATTGAATTTAGTGAATTTCTAGCCCTAATGTCCCGTCAACTAAAATCTAATGATTCTGAACAAGAATTACTAGAGGCTTTCAAGGTTTTCGACAAGAATGGTGACGGTTTAATCTCTGCTGCCGAATTGAAACATGTCTTGACATCGATTGGTGAAAAGCTAACAGATGCTGAAGTTGATGATATGTTGAGAGAAGTCAGTGACGGTTCCGGTGAAATCAACATTCAACAATTTGCTGCTTTGTTATCCAAATAGAGTATTTTTTTAACGTGTTTTTCTCACGAACATTAACATTAGAAAGAATTTAAAAGCAACAACTATAGAATCGTCATTTTTACGTATATTACTACTACTACCTTGGAGATAATTTTTGAACATCTTCATTCTCACATTTCATGATTGATAAGGTTTGTTCAACAAATATGATTTACCTCCACCAAAAAAAAAGATATTACAAACAGCTAAACTATACCACTGTTAATCTATCTGTATATGTATTTATAAAATATATAAAAGTACAAAAAATTAAATAAATAAGAAAAGATATTTTTAAAAATAAAAATAAAATATTGATGTACATTAATTCGTTAATAAGAATAATAGGAGTTAAAATAGTTGTTTTTGGTTATCATCTTCTATTGTGGATTCTGTCTTCATCTAATGGAACTGCATCCTTCTTGTATATCGCAAAAGGATTTGATTCATCTTCAGTTTCATTTGAAGCCGAGCTTGTATTTTTCCCATGTTGTCTACTACTTGGTACTGGTGGACCTACATGGGTGTGTCCCAAATTAAATGAGTTTAGCTCATTAGTGATCTCATTCATAGGATTTGTATTACTTCTAGAGAGATTTTTAGGTTTCGGCTTAACTACAGGTGGTCGATTCTTCTTACCAATACTTGAAGTTGTCGAACGTTTTTCAAGGGTGTACCCAGGTGGTGTTAACGAAGAACTTGATCCATTATTAAAACTATTACTGGCACTCAGCATATTTGGTTTCTTAGGCTTGACCGGTGGCGGTGCTTTCTTCTTAGTTACTAATGGATGACTTTCGTCATCAACCGTACTTGAACCACTTTCAGGAAGTGATTCCGAGTGTCTGAAAGGTTTTGGAGGAGGTAAAAATGTCGATGGATCTTTCATAGTACTGTTACTTGGAGGAACCATTGAAGGTTTCGGTTTTACCTCAGGCGTATTTTTTGTTATAGGTGTACCATTGTTTGTTAGTGGTGCACTAAGAAGTGGAGGATGTGGACTGGACACTGTCGAGGTACTAGGAGGTGGACCCGAACCCATATTATTATGGTTTTTGTTGTTCCCAGATTCTACATGTCTAAATGGTTTAGGAGGTGGTACAAATTCAACAGGTTTTTCAACATAGGTACCCAAGATAGGAGCCTGCAGCTCTTCAGATCCCTTTTTATTATTAGATGGCGTAGTTTGTCTTATATTCCTTGTAGTAGTATCCAATGATGATGCAGTGGATCTTGTTGGTAATGAGGGTCTTTCTGGTACAGATCTTGGATTGCTGTGTACATTATTTGTACCAATTTTGGATGTACTCGGTTGTGTACTTTTGGGTGCTACAGAAATTCCTCTTGGTTTTGGAGGTGGTGCAAAACTTGTTGTTGGTTCCTCATATGATCCTAGCACAGCAGCTTTAGGAGGTTCGTCAGATTTAGTCTCCGATGAATCCACATTTGCTTCAGATTCAGTGGTGGGTTCATCGATACTGCCACCACCTAGATTTGGCGGGCTATCTGTTGGACTCGCAGTATTCGCCTTGTTTTTCATTTGTGATATACTTCTATTGCTTGATGGCAAGGAACTTGTTGAGTTGCTAGTGTTTATTGTTCTTTTAAGTCTCATATTTGCATCTCTATCTCTATGAGAAGGTGGTGGAGCAAAACTACTGATATCAGTTTGTTTAATTCCAATTTTATTCTTTTCCTTATTTTCTTCGTATGCTACTTGATCAAATGGTGTAACTTCATAATGTGGGCCAGGTTTAAAATCTTCGGGCTCTTCCTGAGTTTGTTGATCTAGTCCAGTTGTTTCAGGCATAGTCGAAATCTGTTGAATACTACTCATTGAACTATTATTCCCCCTTGGAGCCATATATTCTGACTGAGGAGTAGTGGTTCCTGTATTTGGAAGAGACATAGCTTGTCTTGAGTAATCACCTGGACGAGAAGACGCCGGTAATGGAGGTTGTTGCATTGGTTGCTGTCCCTGTATCTGTGGTTGGCGCAGTTCCGGTGGAGGCATTGCTTGGATTTGTGCTGAATGTTGGCTTTCCTGCTGCTGCTGATAACCCTGTTGCTGTATTGGTTGTTGCTGCACAGGTCGCTGTGGATATCCTTGTTGTTGTGGCATTGGCTGCTGTTGCATTGGCTGCTGTTGCATTGGTTGCTGTGGATATCCTTGTTGTTGTGGCATTGGCTGCTGTTGCATTGGCTGCTGTTGCATTGGCTGTTGTTGCATTGGTTGCTGTTGCATTGGCTGTTGTGAATATCCTTGTTGTTGTTGCATTGGTTGCTGTTGCATTAGCTGTTGTGGATATCCTTGTTGTTGTGGCATTGGCTGCTGTTGCATTGGCTGTTGTTGCATTGGTTGCTGTTGCATTGGCTGTTGTGGATATCCTTGTTGTTGTTGCATTGGCTGCTGTTGCATTGGCTGTTGTTGATACCCTTGTTGTTGATACCCTTGTTGTTGGAACCCTTGTTGATTTGGAATAGATACTATTGGGGACGAACCATCACCAACTACCATTTGGCCGCCACTTACATATTGAACTTGTCCAGCTTTTAAAGGTGGTGGTGGAAAATTCGCAGGGTTTTGGAAACTTTCTAAGCTTCTCGATGGTGTTGTTGTGTCATCTAAATCAGAATATTCCGATTCTGAGTCACTTCCATTTTTACTTTTCTTCTTTTTCTTCTTTTTCTTACCATTCTTACCATCTCTTTTGTCTTTACTATCATTATAATGTTTCTTACTAGCGTTATAACCTGTCTTTGCTACAAATTTAGTCCCCTGATAACTATATTTCCCAGCGGAAACCAAACCAGACTTGATGGAGTCCTTGTTATTATCCCAGAATGACATTTGTACAATTTACTCTGCTTCTAAATAGAACTGATTTAATTGGATCGTCGATATTATTTGGTGAATAAAATGTGTATCTTTTATTTATCCAGATGACTCGTTTTGATATATATATATATAGTTACAATTTGTCTTTTTTTTTTTTGACGTGGGGTGGGGGAGATAAAGCCCCAGATATTGGAAAACTCGAAGCAAAACAAACAATACTAAATGATGATAATTTGCAATTGATAAGACGAAGAGAGGTAGCAAACGATTACTCACAGTTCAGGGAGACGTGGTATGGACAGAAATTATAGAATCGAATGTCACATCGCTGGACATTGTATGGTTTAGACAAACTAATTGATATTGAGCAATTGGATTTACCGGAACTTGAAGAACAGTTGGATGATGTGGTGATATGTACTTACAACGATACCATTGACCGTACTGGCCATGAAATAAATCAACAACCGACACAAAATAGAGAAATTGATGAGACGTTTAATTCAATTAAATTAGAAGGTACTGACTGGCAAGTGCTGATTGTGGTGCCAAATGTGGATATTCAAGATAATAGCACCCGATGTAGTGTGATGAGTGGAAATTTCAATAAAGAAGACATTCAAACACAATTTTTCAAATATTTTAAAGATATATTTGGTGTAGTGGTATGGCCATTAATGTTTGATATAGATTCTATGGTTAGCATATTAGATTCAGTGGTGAATAAAACACGTTGGTATGATACGGTTGTATATTTTGAGAATTCGCGACAAAACAAGAATGATTCTGATGATGAGAGGCGATTAGCACAATGGACTATTAACATAAGTCGATATGATTGTGAGACATTAGTTGGAACTCATTCAGATGGTAAACCGTATCGTAGAGTAATTTTCCCATATATTGAAACTCAAACTGGTTTTTCATTAAGTCAATTACCAATTAAATTCATTTCATTAAGAAATTTACTGAGAATTTCAAGAAATGGAATACGAACTGTAAGACCTTCCATGGAATCCAGTATATTAATATCTCAATTACCATATATTTCAAAGTTAATAAAGAAGTAGTTTGTAATAGTAAAAAGTATTTGTATATATATGTATATAAGTTATGTGTCTATCTATCCTAGTTTAATTCTTCGATTCTGTTAGAGGTACCAGTAGTAGTAGCAGAAGTTGAAGCAGCTTCGACAATTTGATCTTCAGTTTCTTCCTTCTTTGCAGCAGCGGTGTTACCCATCAACCCATCCAATAGACCGACAGTCTTGAAAGGTCTCTTTAAGTCACCTTCAGCTTTGTTACCGAAAAGATGAATTTTTGCTTCATTATGTTCCAATGCACCTTTAATTGGGTTAATAGTTTGCATGAACAATGGGTTAGTATATTTCATGTATAAATGCATGAAAGCCATCATAGCCATACCACTTAGGATAGATTTCATAGCAGAATCCACTTCTCTCAAATCATAATCCTTTGTGGAGATAATTTCAGTAGTTTGTGGTTCTTGTGGTTTCATTGGATTCTTAGCAGAGACGATTTTAACAGGAGTTTCATCGTTAGCAAGGACAATCTTTCTCTTGATTAGCATATAGATCAAATAAGAAGTAGCAATGGAGACGACGTAAGCAATACGAATATAAAGAATAGTTTGTTCATTTTCCATATCAATTCTACGTGATGCTTGCATCATTAGCAGCATCACTGCAATATTAGAGACTTGAGGGCTTATCATTGTGTATATAGAGGTATGTTTGTCTGTCTATGGGGGTCAGTGTTCTTTTGGATAGCAGAAAGTACAGCCGAAGTCATACCATGTAAGCTGTTAACTCTTTTATATATTGGCTTGTGTGTATCCAAAGTTGTAATAGTTTCACCACGATAGAGAGATTATCGATAATGGCAAGAGGAAAAGACGCCACGCGAATGGAATGAACGAATCGGTCTTTGCCATTTTTTTTTCTGTTGAACAAACAGAAAAAGAATCTGAAAGAATTGGAAAGAAGCTGCTGCGAGGCGTGAATGTCCCGGTGGCGCGACGTGACGGGACATCTGGTTCGTGTGCAGGCCGTGTGCGTGCGCGCGGTCACGTGGCGTGGCGTCGTGTGCGTGTCACAATGTACGGCCATTGCCCGGTATCACTCTGCACGGCAGCTACGCTGAGAACAACAAAAATTGCTTTTTGTTCCCCCTCCCTCTCAACAGCACGCAGGCAAAGCGAAAGGAATAAAAAGCAATTCACACGCACACAGACCTCCGCAGAACGCACCCACTGCCATCCTGGGCAGTGGGTGCCATGGCATGCCTTCCACACTCAGACAGGCCAGCAGGAACCACCCCCTCCCCACCGCTGCTGCCGTCGCCGTTGCTTTTTAGCATTCCCCGTGCTTAGTTAAAGTCTCTGCTCACCACAATCGATTTACAATGAAAAACTGGCGACAGCCACTAAAATAGATATCCAAACAGGAATCTTCCGGGTGAAAAACATCTTAGTTATTTTTGTTGCGATGGCCTTGGTTTAGTTCAACATCATCATCATTACCATCAGTCTCTTTTGTTTTGTTTTTGTTTGGGTTTTGGCAATATTGACAGTACGGCGATCTCACAATGCATTAAGCAAAGGGGGTTACTTTTTCTTTTTTTCTTTCTTTTGCATGATGGTAATGAGTAATTTTTGGGTAAAATAGATCACCTATATATATATATGGATATATTTATTATAAAAAGTCCGTTTGAGTAATTTAAACATATCTTATTACTAAACTTATTACTAGACTTCTATATGTATGTAGATAGACATCTCATAACAAAACATTTATTAATAATACCAGTTCGTTTGTTTGCTTGCTTGCATTAACAATGATTAACGAACCTGTTCAGAGTAAAAAAATTGCTATTCCATTGCCTGAAGCTCTAAGAAATTCATTAGACGTTTCAGATGAACATCACAATAAACAAAATCGTCTAGTGACTTTACTGCAGGACAGGAACACTAATGAAATCGATTCATCCTCTTCCTCTTCTTCTTCTTCAATCTATAAGTGTGAGTCACGTGACTCCCTGCCATCATTACAAGGGCTGGCTCTAACGCCTACTTCACACTCAAACGTAACGCAAAAAAGGTACATTGATGATGACCATTCCATATATTCCAATAACAAAAAAACATTTCATAATGATATAACAATGATTCCTGATTGTTTAGAATTACCTTGGTTACGTCCCAGAACAACATTTTCAGGGTATCAAATCTCGGGTTATAAAAGATATAAAGTCACCGTGACATTACATTCTGTTCAAATGCCATCATTCGATTCAATGATGATCACAACGGGTCCACATCTATGCGGTACTTTAACTATTAAGGGACTCACTCAGGCAAACCCTCAGATAAGTACTTTTTTCGAAGGGTATGCTGTGACATCTAAGACAAACCCATGTGGGTTTTTAAGTTCAAGTTGGCCATCGGATCCACAATTGACACCAATGACAGCTACAGACTCCATCGATATGGAACATTGGTTGCATTTCCCATCTTTTAAACAGAAATCTCTAATGGATTCACAAAAGGAAACTTATGATGGTCAAAGATATATATATATGCGTTGGAAGGAAAGATTCATGTTACCTGACCCTTACGAAGATGGGATCGAAGGTGCATCATTTGACGGGTTTTATTATATTGTTCATGATCAACAATTAGGTACCATACAAGGATTTTATTATCAAGAACAAGCTGAAAAATTCCAACAATTAGAATTGATTCCATCAAAAGAGACTTCAACCATTTCAAATGGTTCATGTTCTTTTGAATACGCATAAATAGATAGATATACATAAACACTTACTTATACACACATACACACACAATTAATGACGATGCATAATTACTTTTTTCTTCTTCTACAGTATATATATATATATATAAGTTATTAACCCATTAATCTCATTGCACATTCAAATGATAAAAATGTGGCTGCATTCACAGGAGAGGCTCTCAATATAGTTGGTACAAATCCTTTAAAGAATGCCATAGCACCTTCTTTTGCATATAATGATTTGGCGACTTTCACCATAGAATTCTTGTAAACAGGATTTTTTAATTTATCGGTCTGTATAACTGATTTAATAACATCTAATGGATATATAGCTACCCATAATACAGTTCCTGCAATTGCACCAAATCCACAAAGTTTCCAAGCAGGAATCTCTATACGTTTTATTCCATTATGAATTTCTCTTGAGACTAAAGCTTCATACACCAAAAAATAACAGCCAAGTCCATGACCTGCTCTTAACATCATTACCGGTAACCCACGCATCAATGCACCATTTTCAATCAATTTTTTAATACAATCCACTGGACCATTAAAAATCTTTTGATTTCTTTGAGTTTGCAATCTAATCCTAACATGTTCAATTGGTGAAGCTAAGAACGAATTGGTAAAACCACCAGTTAAACCACAAAGATAATATTCTGGTAAAGATAAAGTTGTACGATTTGGATGTCTGGAATGTAAGAGACGTTTCATGGATTCATTAACACCGAATTGCACGGAGACACATAAACCACAGCCGATCAACGGGGTCAATGTACCTTTATAGAAGGCTCTAGGGCCTTCTTCACGAACCAAGTTTCTAATTACATCTAGGACACCTGTCGGCCTTGTAGAGGTTTGTAGTCTAACTTTTGTAGTATCGAATGGTTGACCTACTAATACTTGGGCGATACCACCTGTGGTACCTGCAAGAATATCTTTAGCTATACGTTGAGGAGACGATTGAGGTTGGTTCACTGGGAACTCTTCCATCGATTCCAATGTAGTCAATTGTACAACTTCGTCGGACATTTCTCTATATCTGTTTCTATCTATTTTCTATCTATTTCTATTATTCACAGATCCACTGTATAAAAAGAATAAAAAATAAAATTCAAATTCAAAAAGAGAGCTTTGATGCTATTAGTATATTCTACACAACGACAACAAAACTTTCCTATATATATTATAGGATACTATATAAATCTCGACACTCAAGACTCAGATCTACATATGTAATAAATATGTATTTTGCAGTCTTACTTAAGAATAGATAAAAGGAGATAATGTGTAGTGGCATAGACGTAGTGAGAGGTGTGACTCTCAGTCTGCGTGACGTTCACGCTCTCTTTCAGACTGATTAACAATCTATCTATCAATCAGCGACGAAATATTTTGCGATGCCTTTCTCTGTCTACTTGAAGAAAGATAAACAAAGACGAACAAATTCGAAGCCAAGCCAAGCGAAGCAAAGCGATTCAGGCGGTGAAAAATATTCAAAAATGAAAAATTTAATTACCGCGTCACTTTGCTGTGTGCTGTTATTATGGCAGATTAAATTGTATAGGGTAGTATAGCATAGCATAGTATGCTACGGTTGAAATTATGGTGTGATATACCAAAGAGTAATATATATATATATATAGAGAGAGAGAGAGAGGATGGCGATCAATTCGAAGAATTACGTCAAAGTGGGTAGATTTCACAGACGAACAAGTGGAGTTAGTTAAATGGCAATGGTATCGATGTGAGATATACTATAGTATTTCTTTCTCTCTGTTTGTCGTTGACAGTGACATTCCGGCGTATTCTATCGCCTCTCTACTCATTATATTAAAGTTCTCCGCCCAGAGCATTCTTTCGCTTTGTACTAAATATTCATATATATTTTTCACCGCCCTTTGCTAAAGCAATTTTAACGGTTATGGAACGGTGGGAGCCCATGTGGGCCTGGGGTACGACAGCAGTTGGGACGATTAGTTAATTATATTTATATATATATATATAAACTTGACAGTTGACAAGGTGTTAATTCTGTATGTAACTCTTTTGAATTATACAGAGGTCTATAGAAGTTAGAAGATACTTCCATATATATACACCACACCTTCGTTGTATTTTTTGATTTGTTATAACCATGAGTAAAGACACTGAGGTCAATGTTCCTACAATAAAAGTGAAGCAAGTGGATGCTTCTTTAGATAAACCATTAGATGCAGATGCTCCACCCACTATATACCAAACAAAGCTGACTCCCGAATTAGCATCCGCTGCATTAAATTTGTCTGTGGATTTTTTGAAACAACAACAATCATTGTGTAATTATTATTTGATTAAGAGTCCCATTGTTATAATTATCGATTTATTATTCTTAATAATTTATTTGGGTCCACGTTTAAATTATCCTCCTTTGAATTCTTCTAATGACTCCATGGTTTCAAGATTTAGTTCCGTCTCAGGCTATTTATATCATATCTATATGATGAACAAATTTACCCTATTATCTGCTGCTTTGTTCACTGTAATGTTAACTTCATTTGTATTCACTCTAGTATCAAGATTATCTGATACTTTCTTTAAGACCAAAATTGAACAAATTGTTAAAGGTGATGGTGAAATCATTTTTGGTTTTAAATTAACTGATATTGTTAAAATTACAAAGACTACTCCAAACTTATCGGAAAATACTAATATCGTAGTCTATAGAAATACCCCAATCGCACTGGTATCAGTCAGTGAAAACCAAGTATTGTCCACTCCTGATTCTTTAACTATGACCATTAGTACCATTGGTTGTCGTAGAGTCTATGTGAAATCAGGCATTTTGGAAGATTTATTAGATTGGACTATGCTTAGAACTAAAGCAATTGGTGTAGGTAAGAATAAATTAGATAAATCAATGAAAGTGCTTATTGAAATATATTCCTTCGATGATGCTATGAAGAAAATCTTGAAAAAGAAAGGTTATTCTTGCATCTCTGTAGGTAAAGCTCAAGAGAATAGATTATTAAGTGGATTGTTTGGTGTTAAGAAAGAACTTTGGGGTGTACAATTCCATGTAAAGAATCCAGAATTGTAAAACAACTCTTTTTTTTGATTTTGTTAATTGCATACTTACCGATGTATATACTTCTATATTATATTATATCAGATAATGAATCATATTGATATTTTTTGTTTGTTTATTTGTTTGTTTGTATGTTATTTTTATTTAGTGTGACACTGACATCGCGCCACACCATGAACTATAATAGTATAACAGAAATATAGCGAATATATATAGAGATTTTATATAAAATTGGACGAATGAAGAACGAATTTTGAATGAATAATGAATAGCAGTAAAAATGTGGGGGGTATCATCAGTAAGAAAAGATCTTAAAAATATAAAATGTCCTTTGAACAAATTTTATTTTGTGTGTTGTTTGATTTCATAAAGATTCATTCGATGTATCGTTATTTTATTTAGTAGAATTGGAATTCAGCAGAACCTGAAGTTACACTAACAGTGCAACCACCATCGGTTGAAAATTCACCGTTTTCGAATGAACAATCACCGCTAACGGTAGAACCGTCAGTGGCAACGATCTTGACATTGAAGTTAGCGGAAGTTGCGTCTTCATTGTTTGGGTTTGGAATCAAAGATAAGTAAGTAATACCATCAGCAGAACCAGCACCTAGCACTAATGGAGCCCAGTTACCGACATCGGAACCTGAAGAACCCCAGATACAACCGTCTTCAACAGAGACACCAGCATTATTGACATAGTATTGAGCAGAGGTTTGCTTACCTTCCCATTGGTAGTAAGTCTCCTCATTGACAACGGAGATTTGCTTTGAAGAAGAACCAGATTCTAACCAAGTTGGAACGACCATGGCTTCAGAACCTGGGTAATCGGTTCTACATAGAGCAATGCCACCGTTACTATTGGAGTTAGAAGCAGAGGCAGTACCTTCGCCCCATCCACATAAGTAATCGGTGTCAGTGTTGGTTCTAAAGAGATAGCCGTCTTTACAGACTAGACCACCTAAGGAGGCACCACTGTCTGGTTGAGAAGAAGGCCATTGAGTCTTGGACATACCAGCTTGACAAGCGTATGAACAATAACTACCGTCTTCACATGAGGTGACACTGTTACCGTCGGAGTCCTGGATGGAAGACCAACCAGATAGACCTAGCCAATCAAGACTGATGACACCGGAACCAGATGGGAAACTAGAACAAGCAATTGTACCATCTTCAAATTTGGAACCGGTAGAAGAACCAGTTAAATCACCGGAGTAGTCACCACTTGAAGAAGATGATGACGATACACCAGTAGAGGCAGAAGGTGATAGAGTTGTCGTAGTCTTTGATGAAGCGGTAGAAGCACCTGCTAAAGTAGCAGTAGCGACAGCAACGGAGGAAGTTTCAGATGCAGATGCACCTGCACCTGGAATAATAACAGCACCGTTTTCGTTGACGTATTGGGTGACAGTGACCATACCTCTCTTGTCGAAATGAACATCGGAATGATGATCACCTCTTGGAGCAGCAATAGCGACAGAGGCAATTGAAGAAATTGTTAAAGCGGTAGAGAATTTCATAATGATGATAATAAATATGTTGTTTGTTTGTTTTTTAAATTAATAAGGAATGACTTAGCGGTTAGGATATAAATCTATAATGAATGGATGAATGCACAGAGGGCAATGGATGTTGTTATACAGAATCGTAGTAGTGTGTATTACCCTTTTTAAAAGAAAACTACAACAAGAATATTTAATAAGATAAGAACGTTATGAATGGTTGGTAATGATATAATGATCAGTTCTTACACACATATATATATCAAAAAAAAAAAGATCAAATCATTTTTCTTCCTTTTTCAGTTAAAACCTTTTTTAATAGTCTTTGGTCTTAGTTTTGCCACTAAGATGCAAGGTGTCTATGTCTTTTGCCCTGGATACCCTGAAATCTCAAAACATCCAAAGACAAGTAAGAGTTGGAAGAGGCAGATGTAAAACAAGGACTAGAACTATAATGATAGTTTAATTTGCAACATTAAACTTCTGTAGAAGTTACTAGGAGAGTAACAAAATAAATCTATTAAACTTGTTGAAAGAAAAATAAAGAGATAATAGTACCACGAAGAGGTAGTCTTGGTGTTATAAAATTTCTTTGCTTCTTTAAGAATATCAATTATTCTGATGTATGTAGTGGGTATGAAATATTTGCATATATTATTGTATTGAAAAAATGAGAAAAAGAAAAGTTAGCAAACGTCTCAAAAATATAAGATAGTAAGTAATAGAGGCTGTAGAGGCTATGGAAATAGATAGGTATTTAAATTGAATTAAGTTTCATACAAGAAGACCGGTATTGAATTTAATGGAGGAATCGTCGAAAGTAATTGTAGTGTTTATACCATTATTCGCCCAGAATGCTAAGATAAAAGCCCGAAACCAATCTGTGACGACACTATTAAGTTATACATTGTATATTATATAATATGCTTCGGAGGTTAACAAATAGACAAAGAAAGTTCTAGGTGAATGGCATTACACCCACGCATCAAGTACTTGCCCTCGCACTCAAAGAGAGACATTGTACTTACAATCAAAATTCTCGAGACCTGCATTAAAAATATTTTTATAATGTTTTAACTTAAGATATAGATACTTTAAAATACAGGGCAAAGTGCATCGATAAACTTTTCATCTCAGAAATGGGAAAAAGAAAGGGCACAGTATGACATTTCTTATTAATTTGACAACCAAATAGGGAATTATCTCGATCTTCCGTTCTCATTGAAATGAATTGATTTTATTAATAATTACCTCAATGGGTTAACAAATTGGAAATTATAATATACATTTTCTATGAAATCGTTTACTTCTTCCATCTATTTCTTTGTTGAGTGAGTTTGCGCCTCCCCTTTATCTTTTCTTTTGAAGGCCTATTTAAATCGTTTCTTCTTTGTACTCTCTATTATTATAGTTGGATGCTTTATCACTTGGCACGTTGCGGGAAAATAAACTATCTGTTTCATTAACTAGAGCATATATTTCTGCGGGTGTTTCTTCAATTTTCTGTGGGGAATAAAAGGTCTAGAACTTCTGTTGGGGCGAGGGGAGTGGGCCTGGCCAAGGGGTGTTTTTTTACGATGAACTTAATGGAAGGATATAGCGAGGTGTCGCACTATCCGCTTTTCTTTTTTTTCTCTCTGTATCGTTCTTCATTACCGTGTTTTAAAATCGCTATATTCATGTGGTGTATGGGTTTGTGTTTGCTAGTGAACTTCATTCAATTTGTTGTTCCAAATATCAATCAAATGTATAAGAGTAGTATAGCCCACGCACCCCTAATAATAATAAATGGGATATAGTAGGAAGAGAATTAAGCATGTAACATATACAAACTAGATCAAATAGTGAAAAATTTTGGTATAAACAAACAAAACATTTCAAGTCCCCTTTTTTTATCAACTTAATACTTGAAGTTTTAATTAGTGTTTTCATTCGTTAATCAATATTTGTAGGTTCAGGTTCAATTGTACTTGTTTATATTGGTATAATTGAACCTATAAACATAGATATACTGGGTATCGACATCATCATTATGATATATGAATGTGACTGTATCCGGACGCATTTGACCTCATTCTAGAGAGGTCGTGATGTTTTAATGTCTTGAAATATGCTTCCATTATCATATTAGACATTCTTGTAATATTATCTTTATAAATTGTGATGGTTGCAATATCTGATTGCACAAACATATTAAAAAAAAATGATAGTCTTTTTCAGTTTTCACAACACAATCATAGTTTCTGTTAATATAATGTTTGTGCAGGTCGTCAACAGCTTTGGGGTACAGGACCCATTATGAATCACCATTATTAGGTTTTAATTTATCATAGCACATCCGATTATCATTCAAAGGCATCCCTTAATTCGTGAATAAATTTGTTTGGATATTCTTCTGATATAGCGGGAAGATTACTTGTTTCCCTTTCAATCAAATCCGAGACGTCTCCTTCATTAAACGAAGAGAAAGTTCTTAAATAACTTAATAAGGTAGATGATCTAAGTTTGTCATTTCTCTTGTATTCTCGGATATTCTTGAATATATGTTCAACTACACATCTGACGTTTGTCAAGGTCATTTATGTGGAAGATGGTGTTTGTATTTCTTCAATCACCATCTGTAGTGATGTATTTGCAATTGTGCTATAACTCTATGATGGCCCTAAAAAATTATTAGATAACAAATTCAGACATATCATTTACTTGACAGAAAGGCATTGTTATAGTGTACCCTTAAGCCTCATATTCACCTAGAATGACATATTCCTGTATTAACAAATTAGTGAGTACAAAATTTTATATCTATTCCAACAGAAGGAACTATTTTTTGGCAGGACCTTCATAAATGAATTCAAACGCTAAATTGCAGTCTTGGACGTCATCTTGCAATGATATTCTGACCAGATGATAATGTTCGTGAATTCTTCATTGAAAGTTCCTTTAGGGTATTGATATCGGCTGATTGTACAACAAGACTTTCACAGTTTAATGTATCATTATATTTGTTCCAATGTGGCACTACAACATTTTCCCATATAGAATGGATAACACTATACGCTGAATATAATTTAAATCTCTTTCTTTATAAAGCAGGTTAAATAATACACTTGAACATATTGATGTTCATCAAATTATGAATATTTTGAGGCGATCTTGAATAATTGTTTTTTAAAGAGTTATTTTATTAGTTAGAAATTTACTAGAATATTCTTTAAAATATCGATGTTTTAATGGTGAAAGTAATAAAAAAATGAAGTATTGGAAATTTTTAATTGTTTCAGATGAAAGCTTGCAAGTTACTCACCTTTGAAACATTTGTCTTCAAACGATATATGTATACATTGTATATGGCGGTTAACGTTTTCAAGATCTACATAACGGTTTCCCTGAGAATAATGCACAAACTAAGATTTCATTTAAACATGAAAAGTTTACCTTTTAAATAGTTCACATATATTCAAATATCTTTGTTTTTAACTTCGAGAGAAGATGATCTGCACTTTAGTAGTAATAATATGGACATAAGACTATCTCTATATTTGACTGGAAGGTCTTAAAATACATTTATGTGGTATGTGTCCTATTCTTCTATTTGGTATTCAACCAAATAAATAATGGTAATCCTTATATTCGTATTGGATGACTGGTAAACTAACGTTTTGTTGTTGTGAGTTACTTGTTCAAAATAAAACTGAATATCTGTCTTTTCTTTTGCGACGCGTAAATGTTTCGCGAAATTTTAACGAGTAAATTTTAAAAAGAAAAATTTAATCAAAACAGTAATACAAATAACAAGAAAGAAGAAAAATCAAAGTCAATTGAGTCTCAGGTACAAAAGGGTGGTTTTTAAATTGATAATCAAATTGTATTCAGTAGACAAAAACTAAGAAGAAGTTTGATAATTAAAGGGAAAGTCAAAAATAAAAATAAAAAAAGGAAAATGTCAATTGTATCTTTGTTAGGTATTAAAGTATTAAATAATCCTGCCAAATTCTCAGATTCATACGAATTTGAAATCACATTCGAATGTTTAGAGCCATTGAAGAATGATCTAGAATGGAAATTGACTTACGTAGGTTCATCTCGTTCTTTAGAACACGATCAAGAATTGGATTCCATCCTAGTAGGACCCGTACCGGTTGGGGTAAATAAGTTTATTTTTTCAGCAGATCCACCTTCTGCAGAATTGATCCCTGCGAGTGAATTGGTCAGTGTCACAGTGATACTTCTGAGTTGTTCATATGATGGTAGAGAATTTGTTAGAGTTGGATATTATGTGAATAATGAATACGATTCTGAAGATTTGCGAGAGAATCCTCCAGCAAAGGTTCAAGTGGATCATATTGTAAGAAATATTTTAGCGGAGAAACCTAGAGTTACGAGGTTTAATATCGTTTGGGATAATGAAAATGAAGGTGATTTTTATCCACCAGAACAACCTGAGGTGGAAGAGGAAGAGGAGGATGAAGAGGATGATGACGATGATGAAGAGGAAGAGGAGGATCAAGATAAGGACAACGATAATGATGAGGAAGAAGCTGTTGTAGAAGACAATGACAATGCAAGTGCAGCAAATGCTGACAACCAAGATGAAGATGAGGGTGATGAAGGTGAAGATATAGGAAACAGTGATGACGAAGACGACGATGAAGATGACGATGAAGATGAAAATCCAAAGAAAAAACGTAAAACTGATGAATCAGCTAATATCACTAATAAAGAAGTGGCAAAGACTGAAGATGAAACTCCAGGGACACCAAAGGATAATGAGGCTTGATGCATATATATCTAAATTTAAGTTATATGTAGCATTATAGCGAATAGAAAATGCTTAGATATCTTTTGAACAATTTAGACGAATTGGTTTTATGTGATAAACACCCATTAGTATATTTTTGAAAGTGATATGTAAGACGTTTATATTGTGCTGAAACAGACATACTGTGGTTAGACTTATATTCGTTCATATTATATAGTGGCAGGTAGAGAGATATTGATATTAGCTTGACAACGTGTGTTAAAAAAGCAAAGTGTATATGTTATACTTTTCTTTTATTTGTAAATGATTTTTTATATTGTATATATTTTATAGAACAAACAGAATCTAACTTAGAATCTAAGTTCAGAATTCCTTGTCTCTATATATTTTTTTATTTCAATCTCAATTGAGGTTCGAATTATGTTTTGTTTCATAATGCGATTAACTTTGTTTCTAATGGGAAAATTTAATATTAGACATCTTCTATTTAACTGAACTAATTTTATTATATTACAAAATCAACTTATAGTCGTCTGCTTTTTTTTTATATCTTATATAAAAATATATAAAGTAAATTATGGAAACAATTATATTCATAAATGAAATATTGTTCCATTTATATATGTTGGATTATCATTGTCGTGATTATAAACTCACTCGACAGTGGCGTAAGTAATCTATTATTAAGTTGTTGCGGGATGAACCTAGCATCAGATCATAACCTTGGCCATTATCCCTCTTATAATATATTTCCGACATTTATATACGGTGGTTTAGGTTGTAATTATCAGCTCATTAGACGGTGATTTATGTTATAATATAGAAAGTAGCAATACTTAGTTATTATAATTTTATGTTTAGTAAGAATACTATCAATATTTGGTAGACTGTTTTCCTTTCCCAAAAGTATAAAATGTTGAATATGTAGCGGCAGCACTAAAAAGGCTAACATTAGCTTAACCTAACTGAAGGTGAAGGTAGCTAATATAAGTAGAATTTAGAGTGTGCTGCACTGTCGTATATATAATAACACATGATATATACTGCATAATGTAGTATTCGTTCCCCCTACATTGGGTTTATTGGAGCTACATAGTCCAACGTTACTATGCACAAAAGATGAGCAGTTTAACAACAGCAACTCTGTTTAACAATTGCTACTTTCTATATTATAACAACATCTATTGTTAGTTCACTGAGGGGTTGGCCTATTGTTAGATTCTTATATTATGTTTTTAAAAGCTTCAGATATAATGAAGCCAATAATAAATATCCGTGATAGTTTAATGGTCAGAATGGGCGCTTGTCGCGTGCCAGATCGGGGTTCAATTCCCCGTCGCGGAGTTTTTTTTTGAAATATTTTGTAATGATCTAGTTACCCGATCTATATATTTTTTTGTTAATTATTAAACGGTAAAGCTTATTAAGATAGATGAAGTCTATACGTTGATTAAAGTTGTTATTTTATCCATATTCACAAGCTTTTAATTGATTTATAAGTTGCAAAGTTTTTATTTAGTTTATGCCTCTTCTTAAATTCACATTTTATGGTGTTCAATTATCCGCACTGTCATTGGATGGTCATCGCGTAATGCGCTTTGTGCTTAAGGGTCGCACTTTAAATATATAGCGTAACATAATAGCTTCACCAAATTCCATATGGAACTACGTACTTGCATTGCAATGCTTGATAAGATATCTAGGTAAGCTTACATGCACTGGACCCTTGAGAATAAGTTGTGAAGTTTGTCAAACCTCTTTTTTTGTTTTCTATAGCAGATCACCAAGAAAACGTTCCATCTGTTATAGTACTCCATATCTGATCCAGTTAGCTTAAAATATTAGACGCCAGTAATTTATATTAAGACCTCGACAAAAAAATGTCAAATAATGACACGTTTTCTAACATAAAAAGGACTTTATCTGTTACGGCATCATCATTATTAAATTCGCACAACGTATCAGATACAATTCTCTCATCCAATGGACCATATGAGACATTACTGAAGAATACATTAGCGAATGATACTTTCAATGGGAAATCATTATCTAAATTTAAGGGTAAAAAATTAAAGTTTAAGGATGGTGAAAATTCTTCCTTTCAGGATATGTATTCGGCAAGAAATGGTGAAAAATACTTCAATAATGACTATACAAATAAAAGAGACAGTTTTCGAATATTGAGCTATATTAATGATGACCTCCTTCATGATATCGAACAAGTTTCTGCGAGTTCATCTAATCATAATAAATTACTCCGAGCTGAACCTTATAATGAAAGCCCAGATGATAGTTTGAATAATACTGATAAACCCTCCTTATTTGAAGGGTTTAAGGTAACTGTGAATCCCAATGCTGCATTGAGCGAATATGGTGGCAATAATAATACAAACTCAGACCCAAAACTTTTGGGACAAAAAATAAATAATAATAGTGTAACATCCGTTACAACAGAATCAAGATCATTTCCTAGTATAATTGATATAAAAAATTCCACCTCTTTGGCCTTCCTCACCGAATCCTTCAAGGATTTACTGAAAAGTGTTGACGATTTAGAAATCAAGAAACAACTTTCTGCATCTGAAGTCATTGAATTAGATACCCAGATGAAACATTTAAAAGTAAGAAGAGAACTGATGTTTAACAGGATAGTCAGTTTAGAAGAAAGTCAGTTTAGAACGGAGCATATGCTTAGCTTAATAAGAGAAAAATTCGAAACCATGAAAAAAGCTGGGAATTTTGTAGATTCTGGTGAATATTTGCATGGTGAAGATATCTCATCTGAAATTAAAAACTCAAACATTGAAAATGTTCAAAACAATAAGACCCGACTACCAACCAAAATAGGATCCATTTTCGAGGAGTCTGGGATTGATGAAAAACAATCTTATGCCGCTGATACATCGGTTGTTGATGATAGAAATATTGTAAAAGAACCAGATTTATCACCGCTACAGGAATTTTTTCAACCAAAAAATATGAAGTTCAGAAAAACACAGCCTACATTGCAACAATACTACCAAACTGGAACCAGAATTGAAACCCTTCCTAAGTGTCATAAAAGTAGTGTAAATTGTTTAGATTTTGATATTCCTTTTGGAGCTTTATGTTCAACCGGATATAATGACCGTATAATTAAGATATGGGACCTCTCTAGATATAAAGAAATAGGGAAAATGGACGGACATATAGATCGTATTAATTGTATGGAAATGAATTCCAAATATAATATGTTAATAACAGGTAGCAAGGATACGACATTAAAACTGTGGGACATAAGTGCAGCTACTGAAGCATATGCTGCATCTGAAGCAAACGATAATGCACCTTCTGACTCAGTTTATACATCATGTTGTGTTCATACATTTGAAGCACACGTAGATGAAGTTACATGTATGTCTATAAATTCAGGTACTTTGGTTAGCGGTTCGCAAGATAAAACTATACGAGTTTGGGATTTGATAACTGGTAACTGTGTTCAGACTCTGGATATAAATTTCTCTACCATTCCTTTGCAAACTTCTTCTACATCTGAAACAGAATTAAATAAGGATGTTATGAGCAATGAACCAATGGGTAATATATCTGTCACAGGTGCTTTGCAAGCATATGATGTTGCATTAGCCACAGGTACGGTGGATGGATTGGTTAGATTATGGGATTTGAGATCAGGGGAAGTTATCAGAACTTTGAAAGGTCATTCTAATGCCATTACTTGTCTAAAATTTGACACAACGAACATAGTAACTGGGTCTCTAGACAAAAGTGTCAAAACATGGGATTTGAGGACAGGTGGAATGATAGATTCATTCACATTTGGTTCACATATAAGATCGCTAGATTTTGATAAAAATAAGATTATTGTCGCAACAGAGGAGAATTCTGTAAAAGTTTTTGATAGAAACGAACAAAAGCATTGGTGTTGTGAAAACCCAGATGATCAATCATCCTTAGTTGAATGTTTAAAGTACAAGAACGGGTATTTAGTAGAGGGAAGAAATTCAGGAGATATTAATGTTTGGGCTTTGTAGTACTTACTCTTTTGCATAGATTATTCTCTATTGTACGTTTTTTATATTCCAATATATATTCAAGGTTTTATAATGTAAATAGATATATACCTTTTAGTTTTTAATATTCTATTTGATGGCGTTGAGTTTTACGATATAAAGTTGCAAAATTGTGAATATGTATCTGTTTATGCTAGTGTTTGTCTTAACTCGATTGAGCGAAGTATGAGATTTAAATAATTAAATAATGTAAAAAAAATGTAATATGTCTTCTTTTTTTAATGCTACTGGTTTAATTGTTTTTTGAGATCTCTATATTTTTTATCCAACTCAAAAATGCGTTTCTTGTATAATTCCGTTATTAATTCAAGTTCATTTATTTTGGTTTTCAGTCTTATTATTTCTTCCTCATTCTTTAAAACCACGCTTAAATGTGAATCTTCTTCCTCTTGACGCTGTAATTTTTCAGATTTCTCAATATTGTTTTCTACATTAATTGGCTCACTCTTTACCGAAAGTTTGTCTGTCTCTTTATTGCGTAAAGTTTTAATTAGGCTATCAGATGATCCGTTGGTACCTGAGATAGAAATACTTCGTAAATTTTCACTTTCGTTAGATCTTACAGGATGAATTTTACTCTGGTCATAAACCGAAGTAACTTCCTCCGCTTGGTCGGAATGTTTATGCAATAATGATTCATAATATGAATCTAGCTTGAAAGTATCTTTCAGGGTATTTAAAGACAACGAGCCATTCGTATTAGGTCCGATTATAGGAGAGTCAGTCGAATGGAAGTGGGGAGTAAATACGACAGGAGTGGTTGATGCAGTAATATTTTGGTTGACTGCTTGATAATCTGTTGAGGATGATGATAATGGTACAGGCACAAATGTGTGAATTGTATGACCCGGTGGTGACCTCAGTTTATCTGTTAAATTATTATTATCTATTTGATTTTTCTCAATGTCACCCAGTAGTGAAGATACACCAGGTAAATGTGCTACTGTTTTATTTTGCGTCGAACTAACGGGTTTTATAACATTGCAATCGCTCGATATTGTTAAATTTGATTTTTGGATATCTCTCGAATCTGTTTTAACTCTTTGATTGTCGCCAGTTTTTTCAATAGATAATGCACTATCCAATGTAGTGCTATCGTCAACTTTAGGTTTTTTTACGCTTTCGGTAGTAGCGTGATTGATCTTGCATTTTCTTTTCTTTTCACCGACTTTTGCAATTTTTTTGGACTCTATCTTTATTAGACCTGTACTATCTGACTGCTCATGCCCAGTATTTCCTTTCCTATTTCGTGATTTAATAGTGTCTGTTTTGAGGCTGATCGGCCTAGCTCTGCCATGGAGTTTTAGAAATAGTCCGCAAGCATTACAGAGAACTGCACCATTTTCGTCACGACGCCATAGAGGAGTAGTTGAAGTTAGACAGTTCTTGCAGATTGATGTTGCATTAATTTGTTGAGACTTTTCGGAGGAGCTGATGTTGCGAAAAAGTAGCTGTGAACCTATTGGTTTCACTTTATTTTCTGTCAATACGTTGGACATCTGACTTCCTGGTATCATTTGTTGGAATTTCTCTGGATTTTCTGTTCCAATACGTTTAAAGATTGGACTTTTAGTACTGTAAACAAATTTATTTTGTTCGTTCTGTCCCATAATGTTATTTGTTTTCATGCCACTTTGATATGTTATTCTTGAAGTGTGCGATATATACTTTAGACTACCTACACCGTATTCTCATATGTTGCTTGGTTTTGTGAGTTTGGGACTGTCTTTGATAATTTCTTGGGTAATCAGGAATGCATGTGTAGTATTGTATGATCAAGAGACTTTCGGAGTTGTATTAATATTGAACTTTTCTAAATAATTCGTTTATTGGCTAACTTGTTTTTTCTGTGTCATCGAAGTTCGTAGTTTCAGTATTAAAGCTTTTACTACCGTTGAAAAAAAGAAATCGGATTCTGTAAGATTCGTCACTAACTACGTGGACTGACACATTCTAACTTTTATTTAACTATTTCTTACTTATTTACTGAGCATTAATTTTTAAATGTATATGTTTCTATTATGGTACACAGATATTTATATGGATCATATAATTGAACACTTCTGTTCACTAATCAAGGTATCTATCAAAAGGTTCACCTAATACATTTTCAACCACTTTGACGAGACCTGTCCTAACTTCATCTTCAATTTCTTCGTCATCATCTTCCAGTAGTTCAGCAATGGTTGGGACTAATTGTGGTAACAGTACCAACCAACTTTCACCAACCTTAGAGTAAATCAATTTAATAGATTTGGCGGCCCATAGTTTCTCCTGGGAAGTACAAGTGGCCTTCATGTGATTAATCAACAATTTGTTCATGATTTGATTATGTTCATCGACACCATTATTTGCAGCTGCTAATGATCCAATAGCCTTCACCAAATGGCGACCTAGAACCCTGTCAATTACGGTTAACTGGTTTATTAGAGTTTCACTAATTAACTCGAATCTTGATGTAGCCTTCCAGTATTCATCCTTGTCATATTTAAACGATGATGTTAAAGAAATAAAGAGTAGACGTTGAAGGCTGATATCCTTTAATTCCTTGGAAATGTACCTTAGTAGAAGCTTGTTAGTAGGTTCCAAAATATAAGTAAAGTAGCTGGTAATGATACCTTTCAAGTTCTCCTGTAATTTTGTGAAAAATTTAAAAAATGCAATGCATCTTTCCACTTCTGATATTTTGGTGTTTGTTACACCTTCTCCATCGAATGCCCATCTAACTACAACAGCGAATAGTGGTCTAAAAACCTTATCATTCATTTTCAAAACGTATGAGTTGGCGATCTGGTATACAGACGCCTCGATACGACTAATAGTGTTGTTATCAAATGAACTAGTCGATCTATATTCGAATAAAGAAAGAAGTAATTTGAAGAATGTTGGTGACTGGAAAGTAGCTGTCTTCTTATCGGCAGCTTCAACAGTAGCTTCTAATGCACTCACATATAAAGAGATTGTAACAGAATCAACTGATTTTGACACCTCAGTTATCCAAGATTTGTATAAGACTTTTAGAACTTCTTTTAAGTCGATATTAGAAATTATCAGATCTATAGCCGATAATCTAACAGTTGTTTCAACTTCATCAGCGAAAAAAAATATATGCAAAACTTCAGATAAATTAGACAAAACAAAACTTGGCATACTCTTGACCATTGTAGCAAATAATAGCATAATAGACAATTGTAATTGCGATCTCAAAAATGTTTCCTTATTAGTTTCAGTCTGTTTGAATAATTCGATAGAAGGCTTGACAATCTTTGGATAGTATGCTATAGTTTTAACCCCTAGGACTTGAATACTATTTGTTACAACAGATAGAGAAGAAATAATAATCTCCGGTTTATCGTGTGAAAGATTCTTTGTGCATTCGTCAAGACATTTGTTAATTACCGGTTGATCGATGAGGGAGCCAAATTTACTGATTAATAATGCAATTGTATTCAACATGACTTGACTAACCACGATCGTCTCGGAACCTTTAGACACTTGATCCAGTAAATATTGAATGACCCTTTGAGCTGTTGGTGCCACATCAATAGGTTCTAGATCAAATTTGGTTTCAATAACCAATGTAATATGATATCTGATATCATTATTCTTGCTGTTTAATAATGGTTTAATGGTTTCGATGAAATCTTCTATAGGTAGAACAGACAGCATGTTTTGTAATAGACTAAACAATATCGCCTTTAACTCTTCGTACTGTTCATTAGATTGTTTACTATCAGATTCGGAATCACTAGAAGTAGCACTACCTCTATTGAAAGTATTAATATCATTAATGAATAGTAATATGTCTCTTATGATGTTACTAAACTCTGATTTTATGTCAGTAATTTTGTTAGCAGTATTATTCGGATCAATTAATGAAGAATATACTCTTACTTTAAAGCTACCATTTGCGGTGTAATAGTCTGAATTTTCGTCTTGGATAGTTTTGTTGATGAAATCAAAAGAGTTCTTGACAAGCATCGATAATTCAGTACTTGACAGGTTTAAAATACCGTTTGAAAATAGTGTTTGTGATTCTAACTCCTGTTTCTTGTCCTCACTAATTGAAGCACTCACGAGCGTTTCGATTATATTAAAGAAACTGGAAAAGCCCGTTAGCTGTTCCAAAACACTAAATTTCCCTAGAAATGCTTTAGCAAATTCAACAACTGTTTTTGCGTCTCCTAATTTAAACTCGTTAAGGTAGGTTGAATACTGTTGAGCAATCAGAAAAAAGAATGAGCCTAATGATCTGGATGCACCTAGTGTCTGGACCAATGTTGAATATAATTTGATTCTTCTATGTTTAGGAACGTGTTGGAGAGCGGTTGTGAAACTCATTAATAAGAACTCGATTTCGTCCTGCAAGTTTTCAGTACTATTATCTAATAATGCAGGAACAACTGTTGAGATTGTTTTTTCCACTACCTGGGTTGTAAACCCATCATCTTGACGAATACTGTGTGCACCCATGAAGGTAAAAATAGGCATGACCGAATGTAGAATTGTCTCAGGACTTAAGGATGCTAGCGCACTGATTACTAGTAGAAGTTTATTCTGTAATTGAGGCGACGATGTATTTCTAATACCCGATACGACAATATCAGCCCTAACATTCTGCAAACCAGATATACCATTACTCTTCATAGAAGCGATAGTATTCAAAATACAGGATGCAATAGTTTCCTGTGCATACAGTACTGGGAGGTGCCCGTCTTGATCAAGTGTCTCTAAGTCAGATAAGAGAGATAACAGTGTTGACAATAGATCAACAGATCCCTGAACTGCTTGTTTATCTAGAGCTTCCAATACCACAGTAAGTTTTTTCATATGGTTTTCTGCCAAAATTGAAATCTCCTCTTTCTGAAGAGCAGATTTATTTGATGAACTTCTTCTTCTTCTTTTAGAAAAGCCAGCAATTTCTGTGTCACTGTTGATTTTATTTTGGGACAAAATAGTATTAATTAGTTCGGCATTCAAAGGTAGGGCTTGGATAGTTCCAATGGTATCGTAGCTTTGTTCGGGTTCAATTGTGGTTTCGATAATGCTTTGTAGAATCTGTAATTGAAACGAAGTTTTTAGGGTTCCAAATATTTTAATCAACCTTTCGGCCATTAGTCCAGAAAATTGTTCGTGTTCGGATTTTAATGCATCAATGATGAAGGTAATCATATTTTGGTTCTTTTCCTTTTCAGTAATTAAATCAATAATTCTTCTTTCAAAGTCCTTAAAGTTACACTTATTGGTTTTACATCTAAGTTCCCATGATTGTCTATTAGATAGATACTCTTTTAAAAATGTTTCAAAGACTGAGGAGTATGCATTGGTAGATACTGAATATTTCTTCAAATTATCCAAAAGGATAATCTTAGCTTGAGGTAATGGGAAATAGAGAGCTTGGTCAGCCCAAAATAGTAAGTAAACTTTATCATTCTTCTTTGGGATAAATACATTTGACAAATCTCTATTATCAACGATATATTCATCCAAAAATTTAGTCAACCACGTTTCGCTATCCTTTGGAGATAGCATTGGAACCTTAATATCTTTGCCATAAATATCATTTGCCATGAAATAATGCTTCGAGGATGGCCTCTTCGAAATTTGAGTAAGAACTTTCTTCGCTGTAATCCTAATATTTTTTGAAGAATCGTTAAGAGAACAGATAAAACATGGAACTAGTGAAAATACGTTAGATTCCTTATCAATACTATGTAAGTATTTCGATATGTTTGATAACGCAATCAATCTAAGTGCGACTGGGGCAGCTGGAGAGATGGTTATTCTAGCCAAAAATGTTATCCTAGCCTCCAGAGTAGTGAAGAATGATGAAAGAAATAGACCTGGTTGATAGTTCTTCCCGACAGCTTCAACAAATAAAGAAAGTTGTTTAGAAAAAGTTTCATCCTTCTCGGCCAGCACAGATAAGTCACTAGTAGTAATGTATTGCGCATTCTTATCCAAAAACTCTTTGAAAGATGGAATCTTGCTCTTTTCTCCCACAACCTTTTGAGCTTCAATTTTTGTGACAATATCGGCAGTTTCGTTTTGAGTAGAAAACAATGAAGTGGTTAGTCTAATTTCAAATATTTCAGGTGCGATATTCAAGGACTTTAGACAACTGATAACTAGTTTCTCGTTATGTTTAATAAAATACTCAAATAGTTCGATAAGTTGTGATTTATCATCAATGATCTCAGATAAATTGATAAGATCCATTATAATCATTCTTACTTCATATTTTTCAAGCTTAACTTTCTCCAAAATTGCAACAATGTTTGATAACTTTAATTGGTCATATCTGGTTATAGCTCTGGCGTATGTCGTAATAAATTTATCGCATGATAGAACTTCATCGGCAGATAAAGTCTTCGAAATATATTCAATATTATATCTAGAATCAAAAAGAGTATACAATTTATTTGGTAAATGATCAATGTTACCTTGACCCTTTAGAGTTTGGAACATTTTAAAAATTGTAGCTAATGCAGATTTTTTAGCTTTCTCGTCAGAAAGATTAGCCAATATTGTTTCAGTTGCAGCTAAAATAATAACTTTCTTTAGAGGAAGAGCTGTTGCAAAAACTACCAGAATAGTGTGAGCAGCAATTTGACAATCCACTGAAGAAGATGCGAGTAATTTAGCAGATATCTCCAAAAGGACCGGAACTAGGGCATTCAATTTTTCTTCATTTACTGAATTGAAGGATATCAAATTAATGAAACAACATGTAATAAATAGCAATTGGTTGGTATAGGTAGTCTGTTGTTTTAGACATTTATTTAAATAGATGGCATACAATTTTAAGAAATCGTTGTCATTGAATAATTTAATCATAGTCAAATTAGTTGGTGTACTATCATTCTTAACAAAATTTGAAAGTGGGTTAAACAAAGCAGGTAATTTGACAATATTCAAAATTCTTTGAAAGATAGGTGATTGGTAGTAATTCAAGGTAGACAATAAAAGCATTTCAGTATTGACGATATGGATCTGGAAACGACGAACTAACCACTCAGTTGCGTGAAGTGTTGGTGTTAGGTTCCATCTTGAAGATGCTAATAATAAGTAGCTGTTAATTGCATTATCCAAATTTTTGTTTTCTTCCTTACTTTGGACATTTCTATCGATACTGATCGATGTCTCAGAAAATAAAGATTTTGTAAATAGCCCAAACCTTGGATCAATATCAATAAGTTCATTCAAAGCTGTTAAAGCATTGTCGAAGATGAAATCATAATCCTGGGTGGCCGCAGTCTTCGGATTATAGATTAATGAGGCCGAATGTAACTTTTGTCTTCTTTTTCTATCGAATGCAACGGTCGAGTTGTTAGCAGCAACTTGGGCTAATTGCTCGCTTAGAGACGACATATTCTGTTTGATTGGCTTGTTTGGTGTTCAAGACTTGTATAATTAATTACAACCAAGATTTATATATATATATATTTATGTATTACTACAGATGCTAAGAACTTATTGATGGTTAGATATTACTGGAAGCTCATCGCTAAATTTTTAATTTTTTTCACCGAAAAAATTTTTCTCTCTGGTCATTACCCTCACATTCAATATTTAAAGAGTAAGCTATTAACTTTTATTAGTATAATCAACTCAGACATAGAGATCGGTGATGTCAAAGAGTTTCCCATGTATTTAGATAACGAGCTTAGATGTAATAAAGAACGGAGGTAAAGGTAGTTGAGTTTGATATTCTTAAGCTGATAGGATCTGTACCTTAGTATCAATCGTGATACTATATCAGAATAGAACACTAGTATATAATATCTTATGTAAAAATTTTCTCTGCTTCACCTATAAAGGGGACACATTAAAATTACACAGATTTATATAAAGCAGTCTATACCTACATACAAAATCAACACTTGAAAAACTAGCCAAGTCGTAAAGTCGTAAAGTCAATAACCATCGGAAAGGTGTGATTAAACCTACCTTTTCCTTGGGTATGAGTTTATCTCATCGTTTATAGAGAGTATTGATTAAGCTCTCTATAGTATGGCGAAAATTCAAAACTATTATGTAGTAAAAAAGAAAAGTGTAAAGAAATGTATTTAAGTGATGAATGATATTATATAAATGATTAAAGATTAGGTAGTTGGGGATTCTTGGATGATAATTAAAAAAAAATGTAAGTTCTGGTATCATTTTAATCCTTATCTATAAACTGAATAAACTACCAGTTTTACCAAATGGATAAACGAATAGTGTTGATGCAAATAAACCGACAGATATACCAATACTAACTTCAATCATTGTGATACCAAAAGACATTGATTTTGTTAAGTCATTATCTGTGATTATAGTGGTTGTGTTACCCTTGACAATCTTGTTTGCACTCTGTAAACCAGATAGAAGAGAATTCTGAGATGCAACACCAGATGGAACTTGACAGAAGATGGCTGGTAGCATCGCAGATACAGCCAACCCTTTCCAAACTCTGGCATATACATTTCCGAGAACACCGATGACAAAAGCTGCCAAAGCAGCTGTAAATTCTGTAGAATTTTCGAAATGTTTCCCTGCGAAATATGTGACGACATAACCGATACATGCAATAGTTACCATAACTGGCAATTGGGACCATCTTGCCTGGTTCAACATAGAATTACCGATAACGAACGCTGGGACAAATATAAATCTGTACCAAGGTGAGATAGGTTGACCGCACGAAGTTTCATCGGAGGCACCTTTATACATCCAACCAAATAAAGTAGCTCCTAAAGTAATACCGAACCCCAGGAACAAAGAATAGATGATGGCGTAAAACATTCTGACAGAACCAGCAACAAGGTTTCTACTTTGTAATTCTAAAGAACCACATAAAATAATATAACCTGGCAGAATTAATGCTAATGAACCCTGTGTCACTGAACCAAAACAGATATTAGAATTCGGGATTGAACCAAATGCTCTACCACAGAAACTAACAACGATAGAGGCAGTGATTTCAAAAACGTTTGAATACATACTTGATCTTTGAGCAAAAACATACTGTAACGCCCCAACACATGATCCCATGAAGAATGTGACCGCAAGGTTTATCCAATGACCACCAAACGCATAGGGTGTGACCATGGAAGAACAAAATCCAAATAGGAAAACACGCAGCCAAGCTGGGTACAGATTTGGATCAGAAAGGATTTTATCAATTTGAATGTTCCCTTCATCGGCACCCATTTCATCCTTAAGAACTTTTTTGTAAATAGCATGCACTTGATGCAGTTTCCATAAGTTTAAGCCCTGAGAACATCTTACCAATTGAACTTCAGAAGTTCTCGTAGTTGCATCACCGAAGGATACAATCATACACCCAGGGATGTATAAAAATTGACCGTCAACTTCTAATACTCTTGAGGTCATGATCATATATTCTTCCAGACGATGAGTTGGTGCACCGTAAAGCATTAAACCTTTACACATTCTTAAGATAAATCTATGCCTTTGTAATAAATCTGCAATATGGATAGTGATTTTTATTAATGAAGCCTTCTTTCTTTTCAATTTCTTTTTCAATTTCTTTGCACTCAATGAATTCTTCTTTGATTTCTTATCTTTCTTTGTTTGACTCATTTTCTTACTTAGAGGTGGTAATGGTTCCTCTGATGATAATTTTGATTTTTTACTGTTAGTACGTTCAAGGGTGTGTGTATCAGTATCCGATTTAAAATCATTTGTTGTTAAATCTGAAGAAGACATTGCATCCGTTGTATCACTAATCCCCGAGATTGAAGTATTGGATCTACTATTTTGTAAATCTTCATTTTGATACATTTTTAACAAAGAACCTAAGACACCACCTTTTACATTTTTAGGTGGAGCAACATACCCGTCTTCTCCCATCAAAGCATCATATTCTTCATCATCATCTGAATCAGAATCAAGACCATTATTATCATCAAAATGTTCCATTGCCGGTGCCGTAAAATCATCTTTACTTGAATCATTACCTAGTGATGATTCTGTAGATCTTGTTTCATGTGTGGTATCAGTATATGCACTGTAAGCGTCATCCGTATCGGTCTCGATATCTGGAAATTTTTGATTTGAATGCGAACCAATGATTGCTCTTGCAGCTTCTTTGTAATCCACCATTGGAATATCATTTTCAATATCTTGAACTTTTGGTAAATCACTATCAATGAAACCTGGCGCTAACCCACCTTGTGCAAGACTGTTAACAATTTTTGAGACAAAGTTTTCATCATCACTTTCATCCTCTGAATGAATATCTCTTAGGTTTCTCATTCCAGGGTGAATGGCTCTACGCATTTGTCTCCTTCTAGTTGATGTATTATTTGATGAAGTATCACTCTGAGGAGGAGCATTTGGATCACTATTTGATCTACTTCTGAAAAACTTCTTGATGGATGCAATTGAGTTAGTTTCACTATTCTTTTGATTTGATGTTGAAGGTTCATCAAATCTAACATTTTTAGGTTGATGGAATTGAGCGTTAGAACTATTGTTAGCATCATCTGTGTGAAGCGAGATTATATTGTTACTATCATTATCATCAATATTTGTGTTTGTGTTACTACTGCCACCTACTGCTTCTTTCTTAGTCGAGGAATTGATATATTCAATATCATTACTATTATTTTGAGATGTTTTTCTCGACAATGAATGAATACTAGGCATCTCAAAAAAAAAAGGGGGAGTGAAGATAGAATTAAGTCTAGTTTAAAAAGAAAAAAATGTATTATTACTATTGTTGTTATTATTATATCAGATTGATCATTAAATTAGTGAGGCAGATAAGTGATCATAAATCCAGTATTTGATGATATATATAAGTAGAGTAATATTTTTTTTCTATCTATATATTCTTAAATTTTTGAGTGTGAGTATGTGTTTAATTTTAATATTTCGAAGTTAACCAATCTAACTATATATAAATTAAGATCAAACAATGAATGATCTGTTTATATATTATATATTATATAATTTTATTTTTTCACTTTATTTTTTATTTTTAATTTTTTTAATAACTTTTTCACTGAAGTATTGGAAGCACAGAAAAGTTCCTAGAGAAGAGTGTGAAATTGGGCGATGATTGGAAAGTAGACAAACAAAAAAAAATGATTCCAATATATATTTCGCTTACGTACATATATAAGATTAAGAGAAACATAGTAAAGTAACTAATAAATTTGTAAATGCAAGAATATATCGGTGATAAATATGTATAAATATATACAACTATTTGGATAGTTGTCATTACTTGATATAACCCTTTATTAATTACATCACTCTACTCAAAGTAAGAATTCTACACGGACAATTACATATATATATATATATATCGTAATGACGTTGTATAGGCAAGTGAAGATAGACAAAGGTTCACAAAGACAAGGTCAAGTATTACTTCCATCATCTAGAAAATCGTATACGCCGAGAGGGTAATACTATTTGTACCTATTTAGAAGGTAAGAGATTCGAGAACCTGTGTCTTAGTCTCACTCATAAAATTGTACATCATCTCGAACCGGTTCACTCCCGGAAGAGGAGATGAAAAATTAATTCCATTGTAAGTCTTTCATGACATCCATACATGTATGAATCTTGTGAATGTACTGACCTCGCAAGATCGTTCTAATCTTCCACTAGGGACGAAAAAGAAAAAGAAAAAGAAAGACGTCCGTTACTTCAAATTGATGATATATATGTATATTACGTCATTTCTTGGAATAAATTGTATGACCGTCTTTTCTCTCTGTCTCTTTCTGAGTGTTACTCTGCGCCCTCTTTTTTTCTTGTGTGGTCGTGCGATAGTTTTTCAAGTCGAGATACTAAACACAATATGGACCCTCGAAGACAAAGCCGGTACGGAATGTGAAGGAGGGTCAAAAATTTAAAAATTCGCGGTCTCTCTCTTTTGCTGTCTCCCGTTTTTTGTCACTTTCAATTACGCGATGTTGGATCGCATGGTAGGGTAACTACACCCGATGAGTGGGCATTTTACTTAGTAGAGTTCGGCAGTACTATGCATTATATATATATATATATATATATCACCCTGAGATTCTATTACTTATTCTAGGATACTAGAAAGCGAATTACTATCTAAGTCATCCAATTTAAGCAACACTTCTTATTCGTTACCCTCTTTGTGCTTTTATTACTACCAGATATCGAAATTCAGCATAATGTCATTATACACGGTTACCCACGTATTAGTGCCCACGTGATACAAATTGATTCAGTTCTACAACGCCGTATAATGATTCCAGATATTTTAAAAAGAGCCACTAACACTTCCTAAATAGGCAAAAACTAATATTTTACCGGAAAGAGAAAGAAGTGAGGGGGGACAGAGGAAATTGAAAGAGAGGATTCGAGATGTTCATCGGCGGCAAAGAAAGAAAATGTTGGAGGAAAAAAAGGGAAACCGTGAGACAAGCCTTCTTAATATGTATATAGAGATAGATAGATACATAGTGACATAACTGCTGGTAACAGAACTTTAATCATTGGAGAAGATATAAATTGCTTTAAATAATATGAAATAAAAGTAAGAACTCAATGTTAGCAACGTACATTTTTAAATGATAACACTTGAACAGATGTTTTATTTATTGTTATCTCTAAGGATAGGGACACAAGAGTTAAAACTATAATTAACGTTATCTTTCTGCAGTTAAAGATCCTTCCCCCAGCCAAAAAAAGAAAATTGTCTTACAGAATGCTTGCACCTTCTAGTATTGTAAACGAATTAATATAAAATAAGTAAATAGATACCTAAAACTGTCAATATCAAAAGTTACACGCATCTTTTTGTGCTTAATGCTATAATCATTCTGATTTTGAATATATATTTCTTTTTTTCGATCTACTAGTGAAGGGAGGGGGGATGACGGTTAACTTTCGTTTTTGTGATACTTCAATTATAAATATAGACATGAAATTAAGGGAAGTCTAAATTTTTTAATGGAGAATTAATTTTTTAAATCTCACACATTTGTTAGTGATTCACTGTTTATAACGTATTCTCAACTTTAACAAGGTATATATATATAGGGTATATGATATAGGATTGTTTAACAATCCTCTGTTTGTTTGTTTTTATAAAAGGAAAATAAAATAGAGAATTTTATTTATTGTTAGTCTTTTTGATCTCGAATATATATATAAGCAATCTATTACATTTTGTTTTAACCTTTTTTTTGTTGTTTTCCTTCTGTCTGATTTTACAATTGTGATTGTTGAGAATATTAATATACCTCTACGAAAATTATTCAATCAGGTTTTACTCAATATATTTATATATATATATATTATTACTATCACTATGACAATTCATAGATCAAATAGTGAAAGCGGTGGTGGTGGTGGTGATACTAATAATGATACTGATAATGGTTCTATTACAATTCCACCTGACATTGAATCTCCTCCTTCTTATTTACCTTTAAAATCTTTACAAGAGAGATACCTTTTAATGGAAAAATTAGGTACAGGATCATTTGGTTCGGTAATCTTAGCTAAAGCAAATTTCAATATTTTAACTTTAGATAATTATCATATTAGTTCAAATTTTAAACATACTATGATTATTAATAATAATAATAGTAGTAGTAATAATAGAAATAATAATTTAACTAGTGTTATGACTAAAACTCAAAATATTGTTGCAATAAAAACAATGATGACAAAATTAAATACTTTACATGATTATACAAGAGTTCGAGAAATTAAATTTATTTTATCAATACCAACAAATAAACATATTATTCAAATTTTTGAAATTTTTATTGATAATTCAAATTTTCAATTGCATATTGTTATGGAATCTATGGAACAAAATTTATATCAATTAATGAAAAATAGAAGACATTGTTATTTTTCAATTCCAACTTTAAAATCAATTTTAGCTCAAATTTTAGAAGGTATTAAACATGTTCATTCATATGATTTTTTCCATAGAGATATTAAACCTGAAAATATTTTAGTTTCAACAAGTACATCTTATTTTGATAAAAAATGGTTATCGAAAGGATTTTATGAACACAATTATGTTGTTAAATTGGCAGATTTTGGTTTGGCAAGAAATGTTAATAATAGAAGTCCATACACTGAATATGTTTCAACAAGATGGTATAGATCACCAGAAATTTTATTAAGAAATGGATTTTATTCAAAACCAATAGATATTTGGGCCTTTGGTTGTGTTGCTGTTGAAGTTGCAAATTTCAAACCTTTATTCCCAGGTTCAAATGAAATGGATCAAATTTGGAAAATTTTACAAGTATTAGGAACACCAACAAATATCAATTTAGATTTAAAAGATTATAATGATGCTCCAGGCGGGAGATGGGATCATATTGAAATTTTAGCTAAAAATTTAGAATTAGAGATACCCTTTGTTCAAGGTATATCAATTAAACCATTCTTATCAAGTACTCAATTAAACGATTTGATTGATGTTGTGAGAAATTGTTTATTATGGGATCCTAAGAATAGAATGACTGCTGATCGTTTAAGTTCAATGCCATTCTTTAAAGATACTTTATTACAAACAGGTGAAGAAGAAAATATTAATTGTGATATGAATGAGGATGAATTAACAAATAAAGATCAAGCAATGATGTTTGCAGGTATTAAACCAACTATAAACAATATTAATAATAATGTTAATGAAAATAAAAATATTATTAAAGAATTACAATTTCAACCAAAAAATTATGTTCCCTATGGCCCACATCAAATTTATGACGGAGATAATTTATTAAATAGTAATGTCATTAATAATGAAGAAATGTATATGGAATTCGAAAGAGATTCAAGTCCATCCTTTGAAGATGATGAAGATGAAAATAATACATTTGATGAGAGTGGTACTAGTGGGAATCATAGTGTACAAGATCGTATCTTACCAACAATGGAGTTTGACCCTGAACAAGAACAAGAATCCAAACATCATGATAATGATGATGAAGTGACTAATAATGTGACACGTTTATTATCTTCGTATAAGATAACTAAAGGTATTCCTACTAGTGATTATTTTACTCCAGATGATGGAATGACAAATTTGAGAAAAATTTCAGAAGATATTGATATTATTGCAAAAGAAAATTCTGATTTTTTTAATGATTATGCCATGGAGACACCATTATTAAACTCTGGTAATCATTCCTCTAATCAAAATAGTAATAAAGAAGAAAATTGTAATGATATATTACAATTTGGGTTTAACAATACTAATAATGATGAAAGAGATCATGATAATAGAAAATTAAAAAATCATCAAACATTTTTCACTAATGGTGATCATAGAATATCATCAGAATATGATCATAGTCAAATTATAGGTAATGAATCAATTGATTTTACATTTAAACAAGCTACACCTCGATTATATTTCAATACAGATGGATATGTTAATGATCAAATAACTTGTTCGAATGATGGTAATGACAATAATATTAGTAATAATTGGTCTAAATTTGGTAATCAGCAATATCAACATCAACATCCTCACATTAATAATAATAATAATAGTAGTAAACCAGAAAGAAATTCGAATACTTTCTTTGGAAATATAACATTTTAAAATATTTTGTATTGGATGTAATAAGAACAACACCAAGTGAGGAAAATTCTTAAAACAGTAAATATGGGGAAGGGAAGAGCTGAATAAATTTCCCTATTGTTTTCGTGCTCTTTAGCTATAATTTTTTTTTTTTATATGTTTGTTTTTTTTTCACGTAAAACAAAAATAAAAATATAAAAATATAAGATTTATTTGTTTATATTTTTTAAATTATTTAAAATATTATGAAAAGAAAAAGAAAAGAAAACCCAAAATTAGAAGCAAAGAGGAGGGGTAAATAAGATAATTTATTTATCTTATTTTTGTTTGTTAATAATTATGTTAACATACTAAGTATTAATGAGATCTTCGATCTATTAAACAAAACAAACGAAGTGTCTGTTTAGTATATTATTTCTTTTCTTTTTTTATTTCGTTTGTTCAAGGGAGAAAAAACTTATAGATTAATAAAGAAAAAGGGAAATAATAATGCAACTTTTACTAATTAGTCAACAATGTTGGCCCTAAAAGAGTTTTTATTGCTGCTTCCGTTTAAGAAAGAGAATAAGTAATCCCTTCTGGAATAGTAAATTTGTAAGAAGAGAAAACTTCATTTTATTACAAACTAACAAGTTCTAATAAAATTATGCGTACTTAGGTACCTAAGATTGCCTATTAATAGGCAAAAATGCCACGTATAAAATAAATAATTAAAATAAATTTAGGAACGGAATCTAAAATAAATTACAGCATCGCATTTCATATCCTATATCCGTCCAAGTTTTCAAATATTCTGTTTCTCTTTAACAAATTTTTTTTGCTACCTATTTTGATTATTCTGGGGGTATCTCTCTTTTGCATTAAGGCAACACAAGAAAATGTTAATTCTTATTGGCTGTCGTAAAAAAGAAAATAAGAGAAAGAAAGAACGAACTACGAACTGTTGTTGTTATTTATCTTTTCATCGTTTTCTATCAGTTTGGGCAAATGAAAAAAGACATCTTCCACATTCAGATCTCAGTAACTGCTTTAGTAATACATACATATGTTTGGAACGACCTGTCTTCGTTCATACGTTTATCAATGATAAAAGCAGCATAGTCTATACGTCGATCACATTATATTGCACCTACCAACCAATCAAACAAGAAGTGCTCTCTCTGTCTCTTTCTCTTTAGTTTTACTAGTGCCTCCCTGTTGTCTCTTGCCCTTTGTAGTTCTGTTGTTCCGCTCAACGTTTTCCCTTTGTATATACGAGGAACTGAACAAACAAAAAATCCTCGCCCTCGTTGTCTTCTCACTCTGGCTCTGAGGGAATCTCTCCATCCACCCACACGGTTTTGACAAATTCTTGAATACACCCATACACCTCACAAACGATACCAGTAAATGGTAAGAGAGAAACATGAAGAGTCGTAACCATAAATGGCTATTCTTGTAGTACTTCCAAAAACGTATACAAATCTCTCTGTTCAATAGAGAATGTTTTCGTTCATTTATTGATACAAGGTGCGTCCTTATGTTACAAAGTTTTCAGGTACCACACAAGATCATGTGGTGTTTAATTAATAAGATGTGCACAAACCCTATCTCAGTTGCTATTTTTTTTTCTTTTGGTCGTCTTACTCTAGGAGCTCGTTCATATGTTTCATCTCAACTGTTACATTTAAAGCTAGGTTACATCATTGTCATTATTTACTACTAATATCACCCGCTATTTCTTTTTCCTTCTATTTCTCTCCTCTTCTTCTCCCCTCCCCATCCCATTCTAAAGTTAAATGTTCTAGAAGTGTTTGTGCAAGTACTGGTTTGGGTTACTTTCATTCAGTGAATGGGTGTATTAGTTAGGGTTGTTGTAATTCAGTATATTTGCTCCTATATCCATAGGAGCTTTCGTTCCTTATATTTATTTTTTGATATACGTCTTGACATATTTCTTTTTTTCTAATACTACCAAGATGTAGAACAATTTCTTTAGTTTGCCCTATCTCTCAACAGTTCTTGAAACTGTGTTAGTTTCCTAGGTGTTTAAGATACATGTCAAATGTATTTTATTCGTTGCTTTTCAAATTGACTAATACACTTATTTATCTTTATATATATACAAGTGTCTAAGTGGTGTTTAGCCGGTCCATCTAGCGTCTGTCTCTCTTTCTCTCTCTTACTCCCCTTATTTACCACCAATATATTGTTTTTATAATTTTCATTAACATACATTCGGTAGTAGAACGAGTTCCACTATAATAGTTGTTGTTATTGGTATTGTTAATTTTCACTAAATTATATTATTTTTTTTAAACGAGGCTATACATTATACATCCTTAAAACTAAACGATAAGGAAGATAATATATAATAAACGAAAAAATTAATACAACATATATATATATATCTACACTCTTTCAAATAAATAGATAAATTAGCCACATCCATTTTATTTGTTCGGTTGTTATATTATAATTCGTGTCTTTTTCCCCTTTTTGCTTCTAACCATAACACAATCACCAAATTATAAGGAAGGGAATAATATGGCATCGCCATCCCCTTGTCCAGCGGCTTTACAGTCAAAATTATTACAAATTAGAAAACAGATACAAGATGAGCATAAACAGACAGAAAAGGATAATTTATTTAATCCTTTAATATCACCTGGTCCTGCATCCATTGTCCTATTAAATACCCAAATGACAGCAACTAACGGTTTGCCAAATAAGAAGGTAAATAAATTAAATAGTTCGGACGAAGAAACAAATGACGTACAACAAGAACAAGAAGTACCGACTAGTAACAATAGTAACACTCAGAGAGGTATGTTTGCTGCTGCTGCATTAAATGCAGCGGTTACAAGACCTTTACCATTAAAAAGAGGTGGGTTGAAACATCATCAACAACAACAACAATTGAGGTCCTTATCATCCAATAGTGCTAGTAGTACAGGTAGTTATAATAATGATCTTACTAAAGTTCAATGGCCTGTTAAGAATAATTATATAGTTTCTAATAATGATAATGTGATTACTTGTAAATGTGGTACTAATACTAGAGTAGATCCAATAAATTTATCAAGAGATGATTTATTACAATGTTATCATTGTCACAGGTGGCAACATATGAAATGTTATGGTTTGAAAAATAAATTAGATATTTTACCAACAAAATATTATTGTAATAATTGTAAACCTGGATTATCTTCTGAGTCATATAAGATTAATAAAAAGACTAAATTGTTACAAAAACAACAGAAAGAAAAAATTAGTAATTTAAACTTACAGATACAGATGCAAATACAGAAACAATTGAAATTGAATATTCTTAACAACAAAATAAATAAAAATAAAAGTGATTCAACAGATGATAAAGACTCATCCCAAGTATCACCTGAATCACATTCACCATTAAATAGTGATGACAGGTGTAGTCCCTCACAGTCACCACCTTTATTAAGTGCAGACTTGATAAAATCTAGATTGATTAAAGAAGCTAGTCAGGGTGCATTCGAGACTTACCAATATCGTGATAAATATATTAAATTGTTTGTGGAAGATCATAGTAATGATGATTGGGTAATTCAAATCAATAGAAATTTAGATATTTCACCATATTCCATTGAAACTAAACTTATAGATGAAAAGACTAAGGGTGTATTTGCAAAAACACCTTTCGCAAATAAAAGTTATATTATGGAATTCCCTGGTATGATTGATTTCCAAAAAAATTATATTGCAGATCCAGATAATCAATATAGAATATGGGCAACAACACAACCTGAAGTAACTTTCCATCCACATTGGCCAATTCTAATAGACGCAAGGGCAGTCGATGATACTGATCCTAAGCATTGCATTAAATACATAAGAAGAAGTTGTTATCCAAATGTTGTCATGAGTACTATAAAGATTAGATCTCAAATAACGAATAAAATGGAGGTTTACTTTATGATTAATGCCATACGAGACATCAAGGTTGGCGAAGAACTGTTAATCGGATGGCAGTGGGACCTTAGACATCCGATATCTAGGGTATTAAATGATAGAAATGCCGTTGAACATATGAATGATATGGATAAGTTATGGTTGATCCATGCTATAGATATCATTTGGCAAACTTGTCAATGTGGTTGTAGTGATGATTCTCGATGTATGCTATTACAAATTAAAAAATACGCTGACTCATTTCTCAGCGGTCTTAAACAAAAGAAAAAACATGTAAATGTTTAATAATTTTTACATTTAAATATATACTTTGTAAGTAAATTTATAATAATAATATTAATATTAATAATATTTTATTTCATCAATTTTTTTGAGTTAAGGTAACAGATATGACAGTAACTGTTAATGGGTGCTGCATCCTAATTCTCTACAGAACAATATCATAAGTTTATTAAAGAGCAAAAGAATAAAAACTATAAGATCAATAGAAGTTGTTAATGATAATAAAATAGGATTGTTTGACTTGACCGGAGATGATATGACTCTACTGTGCATATAAAAACAAATTTATACCAATCAATTATAATGAAGTAGCTTTTCTTGTTTTGAGATTTTAAATTAAAATTTATATTTTGTTGAGATTAATACTTAAAGAAAAAAGTTAAATAACCACTACGTGTAAACAAAAAAACGATAGTGACAAAATATTAAAAACAACAACAACATACTACCACAGCTATTAGAAATAAGACAAACACTATAACGAAAACCAAATATTCATTGAATAACTGCCTAAATCTGAATCAGATGGCTGAACCTTATTAGATTAGTTTATATTTCAAGTAACCTCAATAATGAACTCCATATCCGACTTCAACCATTGTTTGAACTCAGCCACCTCTAAACTCAATAATAATGATTACAAAGTTCATTCAAATTTAGTCGATACTCAATAAATCTTATAATAGATATGGCAAGAATATTTCAGCTATAATTAAATTTAGATAATATATTTTTACAGATAATATTTGTTGGTTACCAAAACGCATGTAAAAAGTTTGAACTCAAAATGAGTGAAACTACTCACAGAAGGCTCGAAAATAAAAACAAAACATCAAGTTGGACATAATATTGCACTCATATTAGTCAAACTCTTCTTATAAAAGAATTAATATATACGGTTTTGTTCTAATCGTTTATAGTATAAACGTTGAGTCAATAATTCACGTGATTTGATTCAAACGAGTAACCCACACACCACATATAGAATAAATATATACTTGTTACGTAAGCGAAGCTTGTTAGTCACATTTTTTCACATAATAGTTCGAACAGTAAAATGCCGGTTCTTTTCTCTACTTTATCAATGAACAAATGGGGTATACATATACATATACATATATGAAACAGAGATAATTACATCTATTTAAGGTACAGTATAGGTTAAAATCACAACAGTAAGAACAATAATAGTTCAAGACCTAAATATTAGAGAGATATCCAACCGACGTGTGTTAAAAAAATATGGATGAAGTTACAACAAAACAAACTAAAGGTAGAAGAAAGTATATTTGTACATATGATGGTTGTGGTAGAAGCTTCAGTAGACCATGTCTATTACAACAACATCGTTCTTCCCATACCAATGAGAGACCGTATATATGTGATGAACCTGGGTGTGGGAAACGATTCATCAGACCATGTCATTTAGCTGTCCATAAATGGACCCATTTACAAGTGAAACCACGACAATGTAATTTATGTGATAAAGGGTTTATTACTAATCAGCAATTAAAGAGACATTTAGCATCACATGCTAAGAAGGCTAAGAAGTTACAAGAGAAAGAGCTATTACAACAAGAAAGATTAAAACTAAAAGAAGAAAAGAAATCGAAACTGGAACAGAACCCTCAAGAAGAAGAAGAAGAAAAAGAAGAAGAAGAAGAAGATGAAGAAGAAATTACAATTCGTCATGTAGTTGAAACTGAAGAAGGTATTGTTAAAGTACAATGTCCATATGATGATTGTGAAGTTGAATATAGTCCCGGAGAAGATTTAATCAATCATATGTTAGAGTATCATTTAGTGAATAAATTAAAACAAGGACCTGAAAGTGATGAACAAATTTGGAAATATGCCAAGGATGATTATGCGACGTTACATATTCATGATCAACCTCATTCTCATGATAAACTTCGTGATATCTCTTCATCTGGTTCATCGATGACAGCCATGTTACCATCACCACAAAGTGAGAGAACCAATAGTATTAGTGAGTCTACAACGACTATGGTTGATGTAATGGATCAATTAGATTTGAATAAGATTATTAATGAAGATAGTTCTCCTGATGATACTGCTGTAGATTGGAGAAATCATTGTTGTAAAGAGCCTGATTGTATATATACCGAACCTTTTATCTCTGTTATTGATTTATTAGAACATTATGATCAAGATCATTCTTTCATTCCTACATCCCTAGTGAAATATGGATATTTGTATATATATGGTATTCATACATAGTTGAATGAGCACATATCTAATTTATTGTTTTATATTGTATATCATTTTATTACTATGGTGATAATTAATGACAATGATAATATTATTATTATATATTCAAGTTTGGCAATATTGTTTATTATACCATTACATGTTAATTCCGGAGCGGGATGAAACTACCAACAACGATTGTTATATATATACAAATATGTCGGAATAACTACATTTTCTAAGTAAGTTTATTCAAATGTTATTATTTTTATACATACCTTTCGGAGAAACTGATTATAGAAGTAACAACCCCCTTGCTGCCTTAATATTATCTCCGAAGTTATGGTCAGAAGAGAGCATACTGGAAGAATTTAGCCAGGTGTATAAAACAAACAAACAAAGTGGGGTGCATGAATGAATATAGAGCGGAGTTAACAAGACCGGAGATTGCCGCCCACCTCCTTTTTTTATTCTGCCCCTCTTTACAAGATGCCACGTCCATGTCAGCGGCTTTTTTTATTTTGTTTGCGGGGTGCTGGAACAACAATGTCAATTCTTCTATCAACAAAACAGTCCAAGTCGGGGGGAGAGAAAGGTATCAGAGGAAACCTGGAAGACGCTTTAAAAATTAGCTGATCATTTCAGAAATTATTCCTCCCCCACTTTACGATTAGTTGATCAATAAAGAATTTAAGGGGTTGAGGAACGGTAGTGACAGACGACGTGTATTATATCTATATTTCTTGATAATGTAATGCAAACAATACTTAACGAACGATCGTCAATTTTTTTTACTTTATTTATTTGTTGCGTAATAATTATTCAACAATAATAATATTTTGCCTCCAGTACCCCCCGCCAAATGATTGATCTGTAAAATGAATGTGTAACGTATAGTTATTTCACTCAATCTAATAAATTGTACAGGCATATCTTATTATTTTCATTATAATACCTCATTCTGTCTGTCCTTCCTCCCCATTGATGTGCGCTACGATGTGGGGGGAGATGCTTCAACTAAATGAACCTAGCAGATTCGCAACAGGAAAATGATCAATAAATAAAGGAGGGGTAGTGAGATACTTAGAGTGGAAGCTCGGCCATATTATTAATTTGTATTTGTATTTGTATTTTTTCTCTCTCTCTTGCCAGTATTTACAGTGCGCGTGGAATTGAAAATTGTTTACCTCGTGAAAATCCTCGTAATCATAGAGGGGGGGAGATAGCGAAACTATTCGGCATTCAATGTGCCGAATTATTACAAGAAATAGTTAACCCATTTATTTACTCCAATTGGTGAACATTTGATTGAAAAATAAAGAAATAATTGAATGATACACATGCTATTATTAAAATTATTTACGTTATGTGACTAGATGCGTAGACACGCCGATTGTTGATATCCCCGTGGGGAAACATATCCTACATGCACACTAAAAAAAAAGATATCCCGTATTATGTATATGTGTGTATTTTAATAATAATAATATTGGCCAAATTCCACTTTTTATTTTGGTTGCCGTAACAAACAAAACTTCTGCTCCACTTTCCTCGCCGCGGTGTTGCTTTTTGGGCAGCGTCTATTTTCCAGACCAACGCCAAAAAAACAAACAGGGGGGGCCAATGACCATGGCAATGGCAGGGGCTGTCCTTCCAAGGAACCACCGCACAAGTCTCGGATTATTTAGGGGACAACAGCATTACTTATTTTTTTTGTTCGTTGTTGCCTCGGTTATTGTTCGTTCCCGTTATCTCACGAAACAGAAAATGAAATGAAAATGGAAAATGGAAAATGGAATGGAATAACCCCACGCGCTCCCTTTTTTTCTGAAGCTTAACTAAGAGATGTCGTAATGCCACCTGAATAACAAATTATATGAGAAATTGTTCCAGTCAATTTTATAGTGGGGCAAACGGTCCCGTAATTTTCCCTCTACGATATTCTTTCCCAGCTTAGCTTAGCTTAGCTTATTGCAGTTATGCCGTGACGGTGAAAACACACCCACTCTCAGATTGTGTGAGAGAGATAGAGAGAGAGAGAGAGAGTTGGAACAATTTTCCTGGGGAGACCCACACACAGACACACACAGAAGAATAAGAAAGAGAGACGACGACAGATGGAAAAAGTTCAGCTTACTTCCAGCTGACGCTTATACTTGGGGGATTTTCTCGAGAGGAAAGGATATAACGACGTACTTTCCAATTTTCATTAAGAACAAGGATATTTTAAATAAAATATCAATAAAATTTTTATATATAAACAACTAGATTTTTCTAATTAAAAATTATATACATCCCCCCATTCAATTCAAAACTTTTATTTTTTTCTTATTCTATACTATTCTCTTTTATTTTATTATTTTGGAAAAGTTTAATATAACCAAGTATATATATATAAATTCACTTTTATACATACATACCTTAACCTTTACATCAGGTACTTACACATATTCATACACATTATACAATGGTTCATTTAGGTCCAAAGAAACCACCTGCCAGAAAGGGTTCCATGGCTGACGTTCCACAAGAATTGTTGAACGAAATCCACGGTTATGAAGGTGACTTCACTGTTCCAGCTGAAAAATTACAAGCTGTTACTAAACATTTCATTTCTGAATTAGACAAAGGTCTATCAAAGAAAGGTGGTAACATTCCTATGATTCCAGGTTGGGTCATGGGTTTCCCAACCGGTAAAGAGTCCGGTGACTTCTTAGCTATTGATTTAGGTGGTACTAACTTGAGAGTTATCTTAGTTAAACTTGGTGGTGACCGTACTTTCGACAGTACTCAATCCAAGTACAAATTGCCAGATGAATACAGAACTACTAAGAACAGAGATGATCTATTCAATTTCATTGCTGTCTCTCTAGATAACTTCATTAAGGAACAATTTCCATCCGGTGTCTCTAAGCCTCTACCATTAGGTTTCACTTTCTCTTACCCAGCTTCTCAAGATAAGATTAACGAAGGTGTTCTACAAAGATGGACTAAGGGTTTCGATATTCCAAACGTCGAAGGTCACGATGTCGTCGGTCTATTGCAAGAAAAGATCACAGCTATGAGCATCCCAGTCGATGTTGTTGCTTTGATCAATGATACTACCGGTACTTTGGTTGCTTCTCTATATACTGATGGTGAAACCAAGATGGGTGTTATCTTCGGTACTGGTGTTAACGGTGCTTACTACGATGTTTGTTCAGACATTGAAAAGTTGCAAGGTAAGTTGCCAGCTGATATTCCAAATGACTCTCCAATGGCCATTAACTGTGAATACGGTTCTTTCGATAACGAACACGTCGCTCTACCAAGAACTAGATTCGATATCCAAATCGATGACGAATCTCCAAGACCAGGTCAACAAGCTTTCGAAAAGATGTCCTCTGGTTACTACCTAGGTGAATTGCTACGTCTAGCTCTTCTAGAAACCCAAAAGAAGGGTCTAATCTTCAAGGGTCAAGACATCTCCAAGTTGGAAAAACCATACATCATGGATACTTCCTACCCATCTAGAATCGAAGATGATCCATTTGAAAACTTGGAAAACACTGACGAAATCTTCTCCAAGGAACTTGGCATCCAAACCACTGTTCCAGAACGTAAGTTGATCAGAAGACTTTCTGAATTGATCGGTACCAGATCCGCTAGAATTGCTTCTTGTGGTGTTGCTGCTATCTGTCAAAAGAGAGGTTACAAGACCGGTCATATTGCCGCCGACGGTTCCGTTTACAACAGATACCCAGGTTTCAAAGAGGCTGCTGCTGAAGGTCTAAGAGCCATCTACGGCTGGCCAAAGGGTAACCCATCTACCTATCCAATTCAATACGTTAGTGCCGAAGATGGTTCTGGTGCTGGTGCCGCTATCATTGCCGCTTTGACTCAAAAGAGACTTGCTGAAGGTAAGTCTGTTGGTATCATCGGTGCTTAGATAATAAGATAAAATTCAATTTTGTCTTCTTAATATATATATCTTCCCATCCTTGATTTCGAGTCGCCTTTACGATTTTGACGCTTTAATGTAATAGTTTTCGATAAATAAATTTATAAATTATAATAAAAAAAATTATATTTAATAATTAATGAGTATGAATATTTCTTAATACGTAAGCAGGCTGTGCCAGGTTTCTTTAAACTGTTTAAATTAATCATATTAGCCCGTTTCCAGAATGAAAAAGTTTATAATTTCTATACTAATATTTTATCTTTATTTGATACGTTTATATTCTAATTAAAATTAAAATTAGAAAAAATGATTTTTTAATTATTGATCAACAACGACAAAAAGTCTTAGTCCAAACACTCAATAGCAAAATTGATGACATTCATAACCAACACCTTATTTGTTCAACTTCAAGAAAACTAATTGAGTTGCTACACCCATTTAATAATTTAGATTAAGTAAATCCTAACTAAAACAGTTACATCATTCATTTTCATTATTAATTCATTAAAATTATAAATATTTATAGATACCGATTTATTCTAATCCTGAATTATTCTATATAATATAATAAATAAGATGTCGTCCTTCTCATTCATAGAATTTAACACCAATCCTCACCCTTTCCACACTTCTTGTAGATAATTTTCTTATTTTTTTTTGCATGGTAATTATACGGGAACGTACACTTGCACTGGTCTTAAGATCATCTTTACTAATCCTAACGACAACATCAAACTCCCTGAACTTTGTCTCAGATTCATTATTGACTACTTGACCTGTGCAATCATCTATCTTTAGTTCCTCCAGATGTATTGCGTCTTGTTTTTCGTCAACGACTCGGAAGTCAAATACACCATCTCTAATATTACCACCTGGATGAACACCACATATAACGTACATTATTGTTCCAACATATTTAGTCCACCAGACTATTCTTTTTGCTTCCAACTTAGAACCTTCACGAAGAACTACATTTTCAAGAGCTTGTAGATATTTTTCCTCAGTTTCCGGAATATTACCACCCCACCTATTACATAGAGCTATCCCAATCAATGCTCGTGTTCTATGAGATAGCCCGTGACAACCTGATATAATACCTCTGGTGGCAACATGTAACGCTGCCGTTGGTTGTAACTCCTTTGGATAAGATGCATGAACGAATGCGAGATTACACAAAGCAGGTGCAATTCTTTTATTTATTATACTTGGTACATCCTTCCCAGGAAAAGATGTCTGTAATAATCTGAGATACTTCTCAGCAAGTAACGGAGCATATGGTCTTGAAGCAACAACTAACGGATCCTGAGCTCTCAATTCATTTGGCAGTAAAGAATACATTGTACCTTCCCTTACCCCACCTTCACTGAAATGAATGGTTTTAATTTTTGGGAGAGCATCAAATAAAGCAGACATTAATAAACCAACTGCGGGAAGTTGCACTGCCCTTTTTTCTGATAATTTAAATATTTTGCCAGTTTTAGTACCAGGTATTTTGTTCTTAAGAAACAAGTAATCACACATATTTGAAAATTCATCGTACGAGTAAGCTAAACCGTTAATAATAGTTTGTATAGGATACTCTTGGTATTGCGAGAGTAGCAAATGTGCTAATCCTCTCAATCCACCGCCTCGTGTCCACAAATCAAACCCACCTCGTGATCGGGCCTCTTCAATCAAATCTTGTGGTATATTAAGATCAGCTATTATACTTTTTAGGCTATTTTTTATTTCGAAAAATAAATCTTTTGTATTTTCATTCCCCAATCTTCCTGTCAATCTGCTGGAACCGTAAGGTAACGATATAGGTTGAGAAGACTGTATAATCTCACCATTCTCACATTTTATCCATGATAGTTGCATGTGCCCGCATCCTAGATCTAAATACAACCCACTTATGGTATTAAATGAAGACACAACACCATAAACCCCAAGTTTACCTTCCTCAATCTTGGATAAAATTTCGACTTCCCATCCCGTACTTTGGTATATTGAATCAACAAATTGTTTTGAATTTATAGCATCTCTTGTTGCCTGTGTAGCGATGACTCTAATACTGTTATCGGGAAGGCCGAAATCCTCACATATCAATTTGAATCTCCTCATAGCTGAGCATATTTCTGTAATAATATCATCCGGAATGGGTTCCCTTTCAGCCAAGTTCTTAGAGAATTGAATATCATTCAATGATACACCAACTCTATCCTTGAATACGCATGGCATAATTCTTGCATGGTGGTACGCCTTGGAGGAGATACTAAACCTAATACCATTGGATCCAATATCAACGATACCACATAGATTCCGTGACACTACTTCTGTTTCTATATCATTATCAGATAGTTCAGACATCTTTTGGCTTAATGATTTTATTTTTATTAGGGTGTTTAAAGAAGAGAAAATTTATTTAAAATGTGATATCTAATATTACTAACGTTGTTTTTACTGTTTATCGATCAGTCAAAGTTAGAGAAACATTTAGAGTTGAGCCACTGTTAAAAAATGACCATCTTTTTTTATCGCGCTGCTTTAGTTTCAGAACCATCAAATAATCAGAGAGTATATACATTTTAGGATCTTTCTAGGCGACAGAAAGCTCAGAAAATGTTTGACTCTAGTGGAACCTTAAGAGATAAAACGCCAAAAAAAATCAAGATTCGATAGTTCAACTAGCTTCCCAATTCAATATCAGAACCTAGGAAACTTAAATTTACAGAACAATTTTCACAATCTTTCTCTAAGGACGATTCGAAAATATCTTTTTTGCACTGTTCTGCCTCAATTGACAACTGATTTTCTAAAATGGCTTTTGAATTCAAACTAACACTGTCACCGTTACTCTTAACGGATATATCTGGCGAGTTAAAGAGATGTTCAAAATCATGACTTTCATCTTCTAAAACTTTACCACCTGTATCATAAGAGGAAAGGCAGCACTCCTCACTTGCTGAGCTTTGAGATATTATTACTTTATTGAAATTTTGAGCTACCTGAGCTGGTTTGTTCTCTATCGATGAAACATATTTTTCTGAAATTAAGTTCTTTGGGCTTATTCGTCTACCTTTGATCAATTCTTTCGGGATACCCTCATGGCAACATAAATGCCGACACTCACCCTTTCTGTTGCATGTGTGCTGACACTCATAGTTCCCGTTTGGCAAAAGCTGACGACCTTCAAAGGAAGCACTATTATTTGATTCATTCTGTTTGGAGGTTACGATAGTACCTGATGCATTCCGTGATGGATGGTCAATGAAGAAATTATATAAACTTTCATCCGAACTACTCGAAACAATGTCATCGAGAATACTCACATGCGACTTAGAGGAAGACAAATCCATTGCTGCCTTTTCAAAAATCTCAGTACTAGAATTAGACAACTCCTTTGCAGAAAATTGGATCGTCTCATTCAAACCTGCAATTTCCTGACAATTCGCAGAAATTTTCACCTCATCTTTTAAGGAAGATATAGTACAATTGATCTTAAAATTTTTGGGATATTGTAACTGTGATATTTGAATCCTCCTAAAATCGATTATTTTTCCTGAACTGTACCTGGAAGTAATATCCACTGAAAGACGTTTACCGTGCCATATGTTAGATTTACAACTGGTGCTCACATCGATTCTTAATGAAACTTCAATATTATTACCTACTTTCGCTTGTTTTTCAATCCGATACTTTAACTCAAACGTTGGTAACAACCCAAAATCTTTTCTGAGTTTTAGTCCATTTCCCATCTTCAAGCCTAAGTAATATTCCAATTTTTGATCGGTGGTATTTCTTAATTCTTGAAAGTCAGTAATACCATTTCTAACTAATTTTCTTACTGACACTAAACCAATAGATTTAATTTGCCTTAAGATCATCGGGGAATCTTCCCAACATGACCCATTAATTGACCTCAGCATGAAAAGACTATTTTCAAGAGATATACCATCACTCTTTTCAATATAGCAATCTATCATGCATCTCAAGATTCTATAGCAATGTTTAAATATTCTAATCTTATCTTGAATGAGAACATGGTGTAACTTTTGCGCTCCTTCATAATTTGGAAATTCAAGACCACCCAAATCATATTGAATAATCAGAGACACCTTTTGGTTTGTCTGATCTATTATCATACTTTGATTTTTAAGAGTGAGGAACGGATATCTCGTTAATGGAGATAGATTGATCTCTTTATAGAGTCTCTTTTCGTTTTGTCTCACCCGTAAATCCTTAAATTCTTCTGCTTGAATTACAGTACCCAATACTTCCTGAATATTTAAGAATTCCTTACATTTCAAAATACGGGACATTGTCCCGAAGGATATATAATGTCTTACCATCGCATGCCCAAAAGCATTACAACAAATTCGTTCTGCATTTCGTACAATTAAATTAGCTTCACACAGGGACTTCAACAGTTTTTGGCAAAACTGCTCCAGATTTTCTTCAGCATCAAACCCACCAAAGTGACCGATGATACTATATGCTGATCTATTTACCAAAAATCTAACGTAGAAAAAAGTACTTTTTATCCAAACCACTGCACTTTTTATGGAATTAATGGTTCCTAATGAAATTTCAGAACACATATGCTCACGTAATTGTAGGTGCAATTTACTCTCAAGAATATCGCTTCCTGAAACAAGGTTCTCATATTTGGATACCATCTTTTGCTCCGTCATTATTATTGCGCAACCAGTCTTCTCAAACGTAGGACGACCTGCCCTTCCTATCATTTGAAGTGTGTCTAAATTGGAATATTCAACCATTTCCGATAAGGACCACATTTGCGTTCCTTTAATTATTACTAAATAAGCAGGTAAGTTGACACCGACCGCCAAAGTAGAAGTTGCACATAGAATACGTACTGTCCCCTTGAGGAATGCTTCTTCCACCATTGACCGATCTTCTAATATTAATCCTGCATTGTGGAAAGCGACCCCTTTGGTCATACAAAAGCGAAGGGTTTTATCCGTCAATGTCATTGAAACTACACCATTAGCAGATATATTGTTACTAATATATTTCGCAGTATTAACTGTAGATGCTCTGGTTGGACAAAAAATAAGTACTGGTCGATTTTCACCGTACTGTTCAATAAGTTCAAAGAGTTTCCGATTATATATGGCATCTCTTTGAAATTCGTTTTTACAATTAAAATTATACCCTTTAACATTCACATTTAATATAACTTGTCGATATGCATCATCAAATTTAAGAACGGTTGCTAACTTACCTGATGTATTTTGTTTCAGCCAAGTTGCAATGTCTATAATATTTGGAATTGTTGCACTAACAGCAATAATCCTAATTCCTTTGCATAATGTATTCATTCTTGTAAGTACCGCTTCCAGGGTGGCTCCACGCATTTCGCCTATAGTGTGTATCTCATCCACCAAAACAAGTTGAATCAACTCAAATAACCTGTGGTAATCTGTCCACTTTCTCGTTAATAAGTCCCATTTTTCTGGGGTAGTAATTATTAATTGTGATTTTTTAACAGAATTTATTTCGTAGGATGTGGAATCTCCGGTTATTGCTACGACAGTTAAGTTACTAAATTTTTCTTTCCATTTATTTGTAATTTCTGCACAAAGAGATTTGGTTGGTGCAATGTATAAAATCTTCTTATTCTCAATGGATTCAGAAAAATTGGATAAATATCGTAAAATTGCCAACTCAAAAAGAACTGTTTTCCCTGACCCTGTAGGTGCAGAAATAACACAATTATTATCTGTCTTGAAGACCTTTTCAAATGATTCTGATTGCATCTTGTTGAAGTACTGAAAAGGAAAGAATGATTTTGGGACAGAGTCAATACAGGCTACTGGAACCAAATTTTCTTTTTGTACATTAGCTTTATCTTGAAATATTTTTCTTACTTTTAGTTTCTTTTTGGTAGGTAAGTTGGATATCGTATAATCCTGAGTCCTGCCTCCAAAATCGGTAACTTGTGTGTCATCTACATCAATAATAAGATTATTATTGGTAAATAAACCACCCTCTATATTCTTGCCTCCAAATATATTTTCAGAGTCTTCAAAATTATCATCACCTTCATCTAAAAGAGAATTATGAGATAAATTTATCTTTAAAGAATTATTATTATTATTTCTGTTGGAATATCTTCTCTTTTTCCTTAGAGAAATTCCCTCATTAACAACACAATTTGGATCTGTATTAGAAAAATCTGTTAGTATGAGTTATTTTAAATAATATAATTCAAATGAGGGTGTTTTTGTTGCAAAATTAATTACCTTCTGGTTGTAAAACTGAGGTTCGTTTCTTGTTCCTACAGCCGCCGAGCTTGTCAAATTTTGTTCCCATCTGTAAAATCTTAAATTTATCAGTTCTTTTGGTGATGTTAAATTGAAGTAAAATTATATATGTTTCAAGCAAGGAAATGAACCAAAAATGAAATACTAAAAATAAATTACGAAATCGTATTACTCTTTTGAACAATTCTGTTCTTCCTAAAAAAACCTTCAAAGTTGTCATTTTCTTATATTAGTTGAAGCGTTGAAAACACCACGGCCAATCACGAAAAACAACAACAAAAGGAATCCCAAGTTGTAGGGGAACCAATATAATAAAAGGGTTGTACGTAATGATAAACAGATGACAATTATCAAAGAGAGAGACGTATCGAAGCAAATAAAACGCTAACATATTTTCTCGATATCAGGATGTCGATAAACAATAATGAAGTGGTTGTGGATGAGATACACATGGCTATAAATGATGACCATAGCGGTGATGCTGAGAGGTCAACTTTATCAGAGAATTTGGTAGAAGAATCCTTTGACCATGAGAGTGATGAAGAAATGCTTGACTCTGAGGAGATTCGAGACACAGCCAAGATATTAATGAGGAAATTACCTTCCAAATTTTTGTTACAATACGAGGAAGATACTTTCCTTCTATTTGATTACGATGAAAGTGATGAAACGCATGAAAATGATAACGATTCTCAAAACTCTTATCCAATAATATGTGAAGATATTGATGCTTGTCATGAATCATTTAAATCTTTATTAATCATTATCAGGAAGTTTATGCAAGGCTACTATACTGGTGTAACGTTAGGAGCCAAAGAAATAGTAGTCAGTATTCCAATTTTGGATTTAATAATATACGAGGATAATATGTATAATGATCAGGTAACGTTTAACGACCTAGAGACTATTTTTCAAACATTACAAAAAAGATCGTTGGAAAATAACGAGGAATCTATCCCAAAATATCTTAGTGGAATCATTACCACTAGACCAAGATTTGTATCGAGATACAACACTTTGGTTGAACTTACAGAAGGAACTGCAACATTGAAGAACATCAAGCCTTTTTTCAATGACGAAGATAATCCGGTGGTACTAGATGACGAATATGATGAGCTGGATAAGTCTAATGAGGAGAAAGGGAAGAATGATCAAATTGCCATTTTGGATGACTGAGTCGGTAGGACTTTAAAAAAAGTTGATCTTGATTAATAGTATAAATGATAGTTGGACCTTGACTTTATTAAATGTATCAGTATATAACCAACATATACTAGTTGTAATAAATATATATTTTTGCCAAATATGTAGTGTCTTAGTTAGAACGCTTTAAGCAATTAACTACTTTAGAACTTTGATGACTTTTGGATTTTTTTTTAATGTTTTGACCCAAAATTATATATTTCCTAAGGTTACATAAATAAAAAAAGTTTCTCGAATGGTGATACAGGAACACTCAGAAAGATGAAGACATCTTAAAAACACTACATAAATCATCAATATGAACGGTACATTTACCAAAGTTTGGGAATTAAAAAAAAAACATGAAGTAAGAACAAAAATAGAGTTGGGCGGCAATAATTGTGATACCATAAATGAACCCCTAACTGTGGACCAGAACACACAAAAGATATTAAAGTACGTTATAAGCAAACTTTCAAACAATAAGAAAATTAATTACAATGAATTGAATCAATCAACCTTTCCGAAAAATAGTTTTCTTCTTAACACAATCCTTCAAGCAACATCGAAGAACAAGGCAACCTACAATAGAACAATCGCGCTTTGGTGTCCAACCATAAGCAGATGTCATCTTTCACCAGTCACTATAGCTTCCAAAGAAAAATTGGAGATCAACAGAGAATGTCAAGATATATTAAAGGAAATGCGTGCCAAAAGAAATATTTATTTGTTAAGGCATCGTTACTACCTCTCAAGAAATTTTCAAAGATATAATATAGAGTATTTGAGTAGAACGAAAACAAAAAAATATTTACTAAATAAAACAACATTATTGGAACCGTGGATCTCAAAACTTGAAGAAAATTTCGGTTGCTTTACTACCGAAAATCTCAATAATATACCCGATTGTCTTTTATTTATCCCAGATGTCATTACTTTTGACTATATCGGAAATTATAATTTTAAGAATTATTTAATACAGCAACCAATTAATTCAATAAACGTTTACCATAAAACAAAAATCTCGATATTTCGAAGTTGGTCATGTTCACATGATATATATTTCCCTGAAGATCATTTTTATAATCTGGAAAGGTCGCTTCTTGATGATAATTTCCATGAATTAGAGTTTTATATGATTCGACTTAAAGCACAAAAAGGGAAAAATAACAAAAGAGGCAATTATACCTGCTTTTCCAAAAGAACAAAATTCATTGTCTGGAAATTGGAAAAAGTGTTACTGAAGAGCATAGCTTGGGATCCATTCAAAAAAATCAACCAAAATCTTCGCCTTATTATCAATGAATTAGAAACTATTACACCAACAACATATTCTATTGAGACGGATAATGTTAGATTTAATTATTTAAAGTCAAATACTTTACAGTTAATAGATATCCAAACTAAAAACTTCAATAGTTACCAGTTTGGTCTGAATGATGTTCAAGAAAATGAACCTACTAAAAGGAAAACAGATAAAAAAATCACAGACGTAACATTGTCTATATTACATGAGACTTCATATAATTCATCTTATAATGAACGGACAATTAGCACATCTCTGATCCCTCAAAAAAGATCATTTCTAGATCCTGATCTTTTTAGTATAATCGAAAAGAAGAAAAAAATGAATAAGAAACGAATTGGTGACAATAAGTCATCACAATTTATCACAAAAAAAATTAAAGAGACATTGAATTTTGGGATTAATAAGGAAAGTTCCATTAATCACCCTAGTTCTCGCAATTTTGAGAGTGGACACACCTTCAAACTTACAACGCCAAATCCTCCAATTCAAGTGCCAAATAAAACTATAATTATTAACACCGTTAAATTACTATCCAATCATACCATTTTACATGAACTTGTTGAATACCGTAAGTTAAATGTTATCGAAAGAAATATTAACTTACCTTGCGATTTCATTTTAAGCACCAATTGTTGCGTTGTGCGAATTAAACTAGAGGTATTTCAACAATATCACAAGGATGGTACTTTATTTTATTCCTCTATATTTACAGAATTGGTACGCTATTTTCAGAAAATTATTGTATTTATTGATTACAATGAGCTCTCGGAACAGACTGATCCTGACTTATTTTGGAAAATGGAATCTTTTCTAAATATGAAACAATTCAAACTTCATATAATACCTGAAAGTGAAACGGATACCAGCAATAAGCTAATAATATCATACCTGTTGAAGTACATAAAATTGCTGTCTCAATGTCTAAACAAAACTGTATTCAATAATGCCAAAAATAGTGATGTAGAATTTCTAACAGAGGTAACTCATAATCCACTTCTCTCAACTAAAATTCTAGAAAATTACACCTTATTACAGTTTCTTAAGTTAGTTCAACGGTCTAAAACCTCAAAGGATGATGCTATGCTTCAACAATTAACTTATTGTCAATGGAAATCAATTAAGAATTTATTGTGTGTCACCTGGTGAGAGTCAATTTTTTGTTACCCTCTTTTTACACCAAAAAATCTGGTTCTATTTTCTGTCTAGTAAACGTAGAGAGAGCGCTTCATTTTTTTTTGCCACCCTTGAAGGTTTAATTATCATCACTAGAAAGAGTGGAACTTAATATATAGGAGCAATCTTTTATTTTTATTTAAACAGTTTGATGATAACAATTGAACGCTCTATTATTACGACAAACGGTCTTAGAGAAATCGAACTATATTTTTAATTACTCTTACTAACTGAATAAGCATTTTCTTTTAGGAGTACGACTGATAATAACTGTTACAATATAATAGGAAGATCAAAATTTCCTTTCCCTTATAATAAAACCAATTACCAAAATGAATCACGATCCGTTTAGCTGGGGTAGACCATCAGACGAAACATATGGTTCTTATGATACGAAGATAGCTGCAGCACCGGCTTTTCCAAAGATGAATACCACTCAACCAATTGTTACAGGTACCTCTGTAATTTCAATGAAATATAATAACGGCGTTATTATTGCAGCTGACAACTTAGGTTCATATGGTTCTTTGCTTCGTTTCACCAATGTTGAAAGATTGATACCTGTAGGAAGTAGTACAGTTGTTGGTATATCTGGAGATATTTCCGACATGCAACATATTGAAGACTTATTGGAAGAGATGCAAACAGAGAATAACTATGATAACTCATATACTGATGAAGAGGAATCCTTAAAACCAAGTTATGTGTTTGAATACTTAGCCAATGTCATGTACAACCGTAGATCTAAGATGAATCCACTGTGGAACGCCATTATTGTCGCAGGTATGGAAGATAACAAACCTTTCCTTAGATACGTTAACCTACTGGGTGTAACATATTCTTCGCCCACTTTAGCCACAGGGTTCGGTGCCCATCTAGCATTGCCTCTAATGAGACGTGTAGTGGACCGTGAGAGTGATGTTGAAAACACTTCCCTTGAAGTTGCTGAGAAGACCATCCTAGAATCGATGAAGATATTATATTACAGAGATGCACGTTCTTCAAGAAAGTTTTCTCTAGCCATAATCGATAACGACCAAGGGTTGGTGTTGAAGAAGGGATTACAAGTAGAAAACATGTCATGGGAATTTGCCAAAAATATAAGGGGTTACGGTACTCAAAAAGTATAGAGTCTATTAAATAACCAATAATATATATATATATATATATTCACAACTTTATGCACGCAACAATATATTATCTTACTACGACGCCATCACCGTTCGATGAATAGAACGAATCTGGCTTTGGCGCACTCTACAAAGGCGAAGACCAAAATACTGCCAACTTATATACATGTTGATTACGTTATTTCCATTATATAACCCCTCTTGTATATTACATAACCCCACAATTAACAATATACCAATGAGACCCTCCGCAGATGAAAAATGGCGAATCTTCATAATGTGCATCTAACTATCCTGTTAGACTATCCATCAACAGTGACATAAACTAACTCTTCTCGACACGTGAATGGAGAGAACGGTGCTAACAGATTTCACAGCTTGTAGTATTCTCCAGTTTCTCTCAATTATTCTTGCATCGTCTCGTAATTTTACCTAAAACAGTCGAAAAGAATCTAAATTAATTTGACACACTTTTACTTTGTCCGTTAACGTGGCCGAACGCAGGTTATTGGCATCGGCTTGTACACCGAAGGAAATGAGGTGATGGACGAAACCTGACGTTAAAACGTAATAGCTAAACCGTAATAGGTAAACCCAAACCATAAAAGTCAGGCTGGAGGTTAGTTCAATATAAAGACTGGTTCGGGTCTAAAAATATATAACAAGTCTCCTTTCATCGAGAAATATAGTGTTAATAATTTACATTTTGGGTTAGATTGAATTTCTGTTCTAGTTGGGAAGTAAGTGAATATCAAATATCAACTAAGGAGCCACATATTTCTTTATTCCATTTGTTGAGTATGCCAGATTTTGAGATATCCATATTGGGTGGGTCAGGTGGACCATTTGAAAATTCTACGCAATGTTTTATGTTACGATCGACCCATAATACGAGGGACACACAACTGATATGCGTGGATGGAGGGGTTGGTTTGGGAAGTATTGCGACGATGCTCCGTTTGGATAAGAATACGAAAGTTGTAGAGAGCCTTTACGAAAATGAAGAAGAGCCTATCGAGAAGTACGTCGACAACACAATGTTGCCACAACTCGTGAGAGGGTTTCCACAAATAATTACAAGCCGGTTAAGGGGAAATATTTTACAGCAAGCTATGGAATTGTACCAAAAAATAGGAGAATATTACATTACACACCCACATATGGATCACATTGCTGGGATGATCATGAACTCTCCCGCCATTTATGAGCCATCTGTGCTATCAAAAAAATATGTGAAAGGCCTTCCATTTACCATAAAACCTTTAAATGATTCCATCTTTAATGATATCATATGGCCACAACTGTCAAATAAATCGTTGGGACGACTTGACCTGGTAACGTTGTCACAACAAATACCACATAACTCGTCATCAATACCTGAATGGAATATAATACCCTTTGAGGTCTACCACGGTTCAAAAGTTTCTGATTTGACTGCACACGTTTCCAGTTCTGTGTATATTATAACTAACACAAGGACAAAAAATTCTATTGTTATGTGTGGTGACTTGGAAAAAGATCACGACAACCTACAGGAACCGAAATTATTAGATCAAATGTGGTCATACCTAGCGAAAAATGTTCCTTTAGAAAATTTGAGTTCAATTGTGGTGGAATGTTCCAATTCATCATCTATAGATGAAAGAAGACTCTTTGGTCATCTATCGTCAAATAAACTACTAGATGAGCTTCAAGTATTAAGGGACAAGTACAGTATTTCATCGGGACTTGGAAACTTGAAAGTGATCATATCTCATGTCAAGATGGCCTACTTAGATAAGGATCCACGATTAACTATTTTAGACGAATTACGAACACTTGCACATACAATTCGAGGTTTAGAAAATATAGCATTTTCAATTGCCGTTCAAGGTTACACATTCACAGTTTGATAAATTCTTTTAACATTAATACTATTCTGAAATACATAGTTCTACATATGACACATCAATAATACAACTTATAAACATGACATTACTAGAAAGTGGAATATTTGTTTTTTTATGATGCATGCCGATTGAGATAAATTTCTATATATCTATCTATGTATATATCTAATGGCTATAATGAACTTCTCCATTCTTTAAATTCAGAGGATAATACACCATCTCCTTGAGCAAAATGTTCAAATTCAGGATCACTAGCCTCAATTTCATGTAGCTTTAAATGATTATCAGCCAAAATCAACTTGAATGGTTTAATTTCTTTAGTGTCTCCATGTGGGATAATTTTTAGCAACCATTCCGTAAATAAGCCGTACCATTTGATAGCATCTAGGCACTTAGATCCAACCTCTGGATTGTTTTCTTTCAATAAGATTGGAATCTCGTTTGTTGCATATTCTTCAACGGTCTTCAATATATAACCATCATCTTTAAATCCACATATTATTCTAGGTATACCGGCAAGGAAACATTTTAACCAGATCCGAAACATACCATTTTCAAATTTATGTGATTCTGAAATGGTGTTAACAGTAGGATTACAAACTAATTGCGTATAATGCTTTAAATTATCTTTATTTTCTTCTTTAAAATCAAAAATACAATCAATATCTGCCGAAAGAATCAACTTCACTTTACCAACACCTGTCTTTGTCACACTAACAAATTTGTCACCATTATTACACAATTTTTTATGTCTTTTCTCTAGAATTTCTCTTGATTCCAATGGTAACGATTGAGAAAGGGTTGACAGTGCTTTAAATTTATAATTCGAGTATTTATTCATATCAATTGTGGCAGGTGTTACCTGTTTCCGTTCCTTAATAAACAATTGTCCATCATATGATACCACTACCATATCTATAGGGTTAATATTTGTATTATCAAATGCACCAAGGATCAATTTTGTTATAGTCTCTGTTGTAGCAATGATGTCACCTTTAATTCTCTTCCCCTTATGTTGTTCGTTATACTGGATAGATTTTAATAAACCATGAATTGTATAAGTATCCTCAAATGTACCTTCACAATTCTTAAATTTCTTTAAACCACTGGAAAGATCTAAGTTTCTTTCAAGGTCAGAATTCGGCAGATAATAGTACTTCAATTGAGTCTGCTGTTGAATCAAATACTCCCCATTTTGATTTCTAGAGTAATAACCGATCTCTTTAGGTTGCTTTAATGCAGTAGTTGAACCTTTTTGATTTATAAAAAGGTTTGAAGTGATTGCCATTTTCCCAAAATCAAAATCAAAACCAAATAATATGAAATAGATTTTTCCTAGAAAGTTAAAACTGCTCTCTTCAGTCTATCAATTGTACTTAACTAGATACACCCCGTGTTATTGTAGAAATGAATTTATAACAAGATATATCTAATACCTAAAGTTTAATATATCTCTTTGTTTTCACAGACTTGAAAAACCATATATTAGTGGCTATGTTCAATAATAATAAATTTTTTAGCATAATGAGCTCATCGCTAATTATTGCCCCCAGCGACAATTTTTTTTCAGTTGTACTCCTCGTACTAAGCGATAGTAGACAGTTCAATGACAAAATTTCTCTCATATGCTAACAATTGAAACATTGAAAACTATCTTATCAATATTCTGATAATATCTTTTTGCTCATATTAGTTTACATTTATCACTACTTCTAACTTCATATCACATTATTCTCCTTTCTGATTGCAAAACTCGATATCTATTTTAGCTATCTAATTTATCATGAATCACATAATTAATCTATTGGTTATCTCACTCTAGTGATAAGCCCAAAATATTTAACAGAAAACACCGCAGGATAACAGATAACTCTCTCTCACACCAAAAAAAATTGAACTGAAAAATTTTGGCCGCAAAGCGATCGCGATGGGAAAACAGAAATCTCTACTAGTAAGATCGCTAAGGTAATGAATGGAATTGGACAATGATCATGATATTCTTTCAAACATATTTCTTAAACACTTGTACAGATATATATAAACCAATAGCTCACAGTATCTTTTTATTATTATTCAATATTTTTTCTTCAAATATTTACATAAAAATACACAGTCATCTAAAGAAACATGTCTGCTACTTTAGTTATCAACGGTAAGGCTCCAGTTGTTGCTTACGCCGACTTGATTGCTGCTCGTATTGCAAACAATGCTAAGCCAGAATCTGTTAAGGTTGAATTTGTTGACGACAAGAAGGCTGCGCCTTCCACTTTCAACGGTTCCACCGAAAACACTTTCCAAGCCATTGTCGACGCTTTCCCACAAGTGTTCATTGATTCCAACAAGGAAGAAACCGCTAAGTGGATTAAGATTGCCAATGAAGAATTGGTTATCAAGAACTTCCAAAAGTTGTCTCAATCTTTGGAACACCTTGACACTCAATTGAACTTGAGAACTTTCATCCTAGGTGGCCTACATTACACTGCTGCTGATGTTGCTTGTTGGGGTGCTTTGAGATCTAACGGAATGGTCGGTTCCATTATCAAGAACAAAGTTGATGTCAATGTCTCTCGTTGGTATACTTTGTTCGAATTGGATCCTTTATTCCATGAGGCTCATGAATCTCTAACCAAATCACTACAAGAACTAAAGAAAGCTGCTACTTCTGGTAAGAAGAAGGAAGTTCACAAGGCTAACTTTGAAATTGATTTGCCTGATGCCAAGATGGGTCACGTTGTTACTCGTTTCCCACCTGAACCATCTGGGTACCTACATATTGGTCATGCTAAAGCTGCTCTGTTGAACCAATACTTTGCTCAAGAGTACAAGGGTAAATTGATCATTAGATTCGATGATACCAACCCATCTAAGGAAAAAGAAGAATTCCAAGATTCTATTCTTGAAGATCTTTCTTTGTTAGGTATTAAGGGTGACAGAATCACTTACTCCTCTGATTACTTCCAAGAAATGTACGATATGTGTGTTACTATGATCAAGGAAGGTAAAGCTTACTGTGACGATACTCCAACCGAGAAGATGAGAGAGGAACGTATGGATGGTATTGCATCTGCCAGAAGAGAACGTACTGTCGAAGAGAATTTGAAAATCTTTACTGAAGACATGAAGAATGGTTCAGAAGAAGGTCTAAAGAACTGTGTCCGTGCCAAGATCGATTACGCTGCCTTGAACAAGACTCTAAGAGACCCTGTTGTCTACAGATGTAACTTGACACCACATCACAGAACTGGTTCCACATGGAAGATCTACCCAACCTATGATTTCTGTGTTCCAATTGTTGACTCTATCGAAGGTGTCACTCATGCCCTGCGTACTATTGAATACAGAGACCGTAATGCGCAATATGACTGGATGTTGGAAAACCTACATTTGAGAAAGGTACACATCTGGGATTTTGCTCGTGTTAACTTCGTTAGAACTCTACTCTCTAAGAGAAAGTTGCAATGGATGGTCGACAAAGACTTAGTCTCCAACTGGGACGATCCAAGATTCCCAACTGTTAGAGGTGTAAGAAGAAGAGGTATGACTGTTGAAGGTTTAAGAAACTTCGTTTTATCTCAAGGTCCATCTAGAAACGTTATTAACCTGGAATGGAACTTGATCTGGGCTTTCAACAAGAAGGTCATTGACCCTGTTGCTCCAAGACACACCGCAATCGTTGAACCAGTAAAACTTCACATTGAAGGTGCCGATGCTCCAGGAACTCCAAAGGTTGAAATGAAACCAAAACACAAGAAGAACCCAGCTGTGGGTGAAAAGAAGGTCATCTACTACAGGGATGTTGTTATTGACAAGGAAGATGCTGACTCTCTAGATGACAATGAGGAAGTTACCTTAATGGACTGGGGTAATGTCATCATCACCAAGAAGAATGCTGACGGCTCTTTGGAAGGTACCCTACATCTAGAAGGTGACTTCAAGAAGACGAAACATAAGTTGACTTGGTTAGCCGACACTGAGGACTCTGTTCCAGTTGACCTTGTCGATTTTGACCACTTAATCTCTAAGGACAAATTGGAGGAAGATGAAAGTTTCGAAGACTTCTTGACCCCAGTCACTGAATTCCATACTGATGCAATTGCTGACCTGAATGTTAAGGACATGAAGGTTGGCGACATCATCCAATTCGAGAGAAAGGGTTATTACAGACTTGATGCTCTACCAAAGGATGGTAAGCCATACACTTTCTTTACCATCCCAGATGGTAAGGCTGTTAACAAGTACGGTGCTAAGAAATAATTTTAACCTTATGAATATGATTTTGTGAACAAATCACGCAACTCTTTTGTATTGGGAAGGAATATATTTTTTAATCAACTAATCTAATACTACATATTTTTTTATAGATGATTTAAATTAGGCGTACCACTTCTTCAGAGCAATGTGACCTGAACTTAGGTTCAGCAATTTATTGAGGATGTTCGAAGCGTTTTCAATTAGCCTCTATTAAATATCACATTGCACGAACTTGGCGCCCTTAGTTTTATCTGTTGTTTTCGCTCAAAGAGGAACAACTTTCAATATCGGTTGAAATTTCTAACAGGACATTAGAGTTAGACCAGAACACAAATAAAAAGGCCTTGATAATCGCATTTCACCTATGGCGTTCAAATTTATAAATTAACAAACTTCATAAATATCCAAATAGGAAATAGCACTGATATATATATATATTGTGAAAAAATGTCTGACATTGATGAAGATTTATTAGCTCTTGCTGGTGCTGACGAAGACGAAGAGGAGATTCTAACATCTCACTCCAAGAAATCTGAGAATAACGCCTCTAAGAAGAGAACAATTGAAGAAGTAAGTGACGAGGAAGACGACTATAATCCAGAGGATATGGGTTCTGGAAGAACCCACAGGAATAATGAAGAGGAGGAAGAAGAAGAAGAAGAAGAAGAAAATCCGTTTCCATTAGAAGGTAAATATAAGGATGAGGAGGATCGTGAACATTTAGAGTCCTTGCCGGAAATGGAACGTGAAACTTTACTTTTCGAGAGATCTCAAGCTATGAGAAAATACCAGGAAAGGAAACTGTTCAGAGAACGTAACAGAGGGTTACAGAAACATCAAGAAAATAACAAACAGGATAACAAAAAGGTTCGTTCCTCTGGTAGGACAACTCACCAAACTGGCCATTCTGATCTGAAAGCATCTAAATTATCCCAATTAAAGAGACAAAGAGAGAGAAAGAATCAAAAGAAAAATTACTCAGATGATGAAGACTTTGAAGAAGACGAAGATGAGGAAGTATACAAAGATGAATATGAGGACGAGGACGAGGACCAAGAATATCTGGAAGATGACGAAGATGACGAAGGTTACAACCCATTGAACAGAAAATCTCGTTACACTGAGGATGAGGAAGAAGTGGAATGGGCGGAAGAAGAAACATCTAGAGATTCAGAAGTCAGTGATTTCAATAAATTAAGAATCGGCCGTTCCTTCGTTGCGAAATATTGTTTTTACCCAGAATTTAATGATATCATCCAAGGTTGTTATGGTAGGGTGAATGTTGGTGTAGATAAACGTTCAGGTCAAACAAATTACAGAATGGTTAAAATTGAAAAAGTTTTCTTCCAAAAACCATACAATATGGGTAAATTTTTCACGAATCAATATTTTGGTGTGACGCAAGGAAAAGATAGAAAAGTGTTCCAAATGAGTTTCTTCAGTGATGGTCTCATAACACAACAAGAATATGATAGATATGTCAGGGCACTTGAGGGTTCCCATACTTCTAAACCAACGGTATATAATCTAAACAGCAAGTCCAAAGAATTAGTTGCATTTGTTTCGGAACCATTGACTGATAAAACGACAGATACTATCGTGAAAAATAGAATGCTGTTTAACAAAAAATTATCTGGTACGAATGCAGTGCTTGAAAAGACTGTGTTGAAAGAAAAACTCCAATATGCGAGAGAAAATGGTAATGAGAGGGATATTGCGAAATACTCAGCTCAACTAAACAGTTTCGAGAAAAGAATGAACATGTATGAAAAGCATCATGAAAATGACCAAGCTGGTAGCAAGAAATTAGGTGCGTTAACATCAAAAAATAGAAAGTTAAATATGGACAAAACTAAAACTGTTGAGCATACCAAGAAAGAAAGTACTTTTGATTCAAAGAGTGACCCATTCAGTAGATTAAAGACCAGAACCAAGATTTACTATCAAGATATACAACAGGAAGAGAATGAGAAGGCAAAAGAGCTTGCAATTCAAAAGAAATTGGAAGAGAATGAGATTGCTAAGGTAAAAAAGGAAAATGAATTATTGGTAGCTCAATTTAGACGTTTAGGTGGTCTCGAAAAGGTAATTAGTAATATAAATTTCGATATCAGTATAAATTTGTAATAGTTACGTAAAGGATATTACTTTAGTTCTAGTTATGTTATTATATTATTAATCCTTTTCAATTAAACTCCAAATGTTATTTTTTTATTATTATTTTTTAACTGAAAAGTTGAGTGCATTTTAAGTAAAGTTTTTTTTAAATGATAGACAACGAAAAAAATCAATCATGTAGCCTGAACTGCTGTAGCATAGGCTAGACTATATACTTAATCTTTTGTGATGTCTCTTTGCGAACAACCGATTCTGTGATGGATTCCGTTCTGAAGCAGCGTATTACTGCCCTGATCTACGATGAATATTCCAAGTTGAAACCTAGTAGCAAACCTGTTATCAAGTCCAATGGCACCAAAGAATGGACTGTTCTGGCTTCAATAGTTGCATGGAATTCTAGAGATGATAAAATACGAATGATATGTATGTCTACTGGCGTCAAAGCTCTCCCTAATGAGTTACTTAAGAGAAGTAATGGGAAGATGTTACACGATTGCCATGCTGAAATACTTTCAATACGAGGACTGAATACTGTAATTTTGCATCATATTAAGAATTTGAAAGAAGGCGAGACATCTGATTTAATCAATGAAGTAGACGATAAATATATATGGAAAATGGAAAATCAATTGATACTATATATATCCAGGGTACCTTGCGGTGATGCAAGCATGAACACAATCGAATCCCAGGATGAAACTTCCGAAACATTTGAAATCCCTGATGATAATAAAACACAGTACTTAAAATGTGAGAACAGTACGATTCTGAGAGGAAGATTAAATTTCACAAAGAAAGGTTATGTAAGGAGCAAACCAGGACGATACGATTCTCAAATCACCTTCTCTAAGTCATGTTCTGATAAATTGTGTACAAAGCAGGTAACCTCTCTATTAAATTGCCTAACATACGAATTACTGAGTGAACCAATATACCTCAACTATTTAATAATACCTTCATTAAACGAAACGGATTCAATTGGTCTTAAAAGATGCTTCCAAGATAGATTTCAAAATACTTCGGATCGAGAACAATCTTATCAACCTAAACTTTTCGACATAGAGAATTGCGAAGGAAAATTCGTAGATGATAAACAATCGGTTGAAGAAACTCCAAGTGCGATGAGCTCCATTAAACTGTATTTCGATCAGTTCAACATTCAAGAACAAGCTATTTTGAATGGTGTGAAAAACGGTTCATATTCAAAAGGATCTAAACCTCTTCGTAAAGGGTGTGAAACGGCAATTAGTCGTTATTCTCAGTGGAAACTTTACAATCAGATAAATTCTGAACGTGACAAATCATACGTTCAGTTTAAACACCATCAAAAATCTAGGAGAGTCATGGTTGAGCATTTCAGACACGTGCTTTCTTCAGAGGGGTGGGTTCCAACACTTGAAGATGACTGTAACATTTGATATATAATATTTATAAACATAACATAAATTTCGATGAATAATTTACTATGGATAATACGTCTCAATTTAGCTACTTTATTTTTTGTTTTAAATCTTGTTAGGGACGTATATTTACTTTTCATATAACAACCACAATGCCAAATAGAACCAAAAAATAAAAACCACAATAGCGTAAAATATCTTTCATACATTTACCCCAAAAAAGGACGATACAACATTAATAACACCATTATGGACAAGATCTGATACTGTTGAATCAAATAGTTATGAATTCACAAAATATACAAAATATACTAAATAAACTGGCTCCGATAGATGCCATTAAACCAGTAACCTCAACTAAAAGGCAACAAGTAACTATCATTGATGATACTTCAGAAAATGCTAATATGGATCCAATGTACATAAACAGATTTAATATGGATGATGATCTACCAGACATTGACGACTTAAAATCAGGTGTTCTTTTTAAACTTGGTCTCCAGGCAATGGAGGGCCAGGATTTGCTTTGTGTAAACAGCATGGCCCTATGGCTAGCGTCGTCTACCAAAGGTGGTAGCCCTATAGAAAACGTATTGAACGATGATCCCAACTCATTTTGGCAAAGTGATGGAGGCCAACCCCATACCGTAGATATATATTTCAGTCACCGAATAGACATAATATCACTGGCACTGTATTTCTCCCTAGCATCAGATGAGTCGTATACACCTAAATTATTTAAGTTATACGTGGGACATAGTCCCTCTGATGCTGTATTTTACAAAAGTTATCATATCGAACACTTAGATGGATGGGTAGGGCTGACCTTTAAGGATAATAGGAAAGATAACTTGATGAAATGTCAATTCCTAAGATTAGTGTTCCCAATAAATCATGAAAATGGTAAAGATACACATCTAAGAGGGGTAAGGGTATATTCTCCCCAAGTGAGAAGGCAACAAGAAAATTTCTTGCAACCAGAAACGAATGTCGCTGGTAATTCAAGTTCATTACGGGGATATACAATTAGGTGATATAGAACTCCCACAATTGACCCGTCTTGCATTCTACAACATAATCACAAAAAAATAGTACGTAATACTCAACTTTTATCATTAAGACTAGACTACTTATTTGTATATACACAAATATATGTAATTATAGCATTCAAATACTTTTACACGTGACCCAAATTTTTGTAGCTTTTTTTCTCACTTAAAACGTTTTTTTCTTCAGTCAGAGTTGAAAAATTATTTGAAATCACATCAATTTAGATGAAACTAGATTACCTTCCACTACAAACAAAAGCCAATTGCAAGATATTCTTTCACACATTCTATATCCAGATCTATCCCATAGCCAAAGTGGGACGGAATATTTTCTCTTCTTTTCTTAAACACGCATAGGGATAACATTAATAGAATATGTCAGACATTGAAATAGTTTCCAAACTATTATCCGATTCAGTTATTGCATCGACATCAAAATTAGCAGAAAAGAGTCTTAAGGAACTTGAGAGTCAGGATGGTTTTGGTTTAACACTATTACACATAGTGGCGGCGGAAAATCTGTCCATATCTACTAGATTAGCAGGTGCCTTATTTTTCAAGAATTTCTTGAAGAGAAAATGGGTTGATGAAAATGGTAACCATCTCCTTTCTGCATCAAATGTGGAGTTAATTAAGAAGGAAATCCTACCATTGATGATTAGTTTACCAACAAACTTGCAAATCCAAATTGGTGAGTCCATTTCTATCATTGCAGACTCTGATTTTCCAGTCAGATGGCCTGGATTCTTAGATGATCTGGTATCCAGACTTTCTCCAGATAATATGGTTCTGAACAAAGGTGTTTTGATTGTTGCACATTCCATATTTAAAAGGTGGAGACCATTATTTAGATCTGATGATCTCTTTTTGGAAATCAAACTAGTTTTGGATAAATTTACAGTTCCTTTTTTAAGCCTTTTAGAAACTGTAGACAAACAGATCGATGAAAATAAAAATAATACACCACATCTAACAGTATTATTCGATGTTTTATTAGTTTTGCTCAAATTATATTATGATTTTAACTGTCAGGATATCCCTGAATTTTTTGAAGATAACATTCAACAGGGTATGGGTATCCTACATAAGTACCTAAACTACTCAAACACACTATTAGAGGACCCAGATGATCCAGAACATGCGAGTATTATAACTAAGGTAAAATCTGCTATACAGGAAGTTGTTCAACTATATACCACAAGATATGACGATGTTTTCAGCCCAATGGTCAATGGTTTTATCGAAATCACTTGGTCACTATTAACATCCACCTCAGATGAACCGAAATATGATATCTTAGTCTCGAAATCTCTAGCTTTTTTAACTGCTGTTTCCCGTAATCCAAAATATTTTGAAATGTTCAACAACCAAGAGGCCATGAACAATTTAACAGAACAAGTAATTTTGCCAAATGTTACTCTTCGTGAATCAGACATAGAGTTATTTGAAGATGATCCGATTGAATACATCAGAAGAGATCTTGAAGGGTCAGATACAGATACAAGAAGAAGAGCATGTACTGATTTTCTTAATGAATTGAAAGAAAAAAATGAAACATTAGTTACAAATACATTCATGATACATATGAAAAAGTTCTTTGAACAATACCAATCAAATCCGGCAGAAAACTGGAAATATAAGGACCTATATGTCTTTTTATTTACCACCTTAGCAATTACCGGAAATATAACAAGTGCTGGTGTATCTACGACTAATTCTCAAATGAATGTAGTTGAATTTTTCAGTACCCAAATTATCCCTGACTTGACCGGTAATGTCCCTAATAACATCTTAAGGGTAGATGCCATTAAATTCATATATGTGTTTAGAAACCAATTGAGTAAAAATCAACTAATAGAAATTTTACCAATGTTGGCAACCTTTCTAACATCTGATGAGTACGTTGTTTACACCTATGCTGCAGTTACCATCGAAAGAATTTTGTCTATTAGAGAGTCCGTATCATCTCCAAACTTCATTTTCAATAAAAATGATCTTAGTTCCAGTACTGAAATGTTGTTAGGTAATCTAATAAGTTTAATAATGAAACAGGGAACTGTACCTGAAAAATTGGCTGAAAATGAATTTTTAATGAAGGCTGTTTTTAGAGTATTACAAACAGCCGAAGACACTATTCAAGGATCGTTCCCTAATTTGTTAAATCAACTAATCAGTATAATCAACGTCATTATGAAAAATCCATCTAACCCAAGGTTCTCTCACTACACATTTGAGTCTGTTGGATGCCTTCTGAGGTACACACCTGCTGAATCTTTAATCCCAATAATTAACTCAATGATGCCTTGTTTCTTACATATTTTATCTGAGGATATACAGGAATTCGTCGCATACGTTTTCCAACTAATATCATTTGGGGTGGAAAAGGTAGGTGCTGTCCCTGATACGGTCAAACAATTGGCACAACCTTTATTATCCCCATCCGTTTGGGATCTGAAGGGTAATGTTCCTGCTGTAACCAGGTTATTGAAAGATTTAATTAAGTTTGACAAGAGCGTCTTTCCCGATTTGATTCCAGTGTTAGGTGTTTTTCAAAGACTAATTGCATCTAAAGCATATGAAGTACATGGATTTGAGCTCCTTGAGTCTATCATGTTGTATACAAACCTTGATCAGTTGAAACCATATTTAAAACAAATAGCGGTATTACTTCTTCAACGTTTACAAAGCTCCAAAACAGAAAGATATGTCAAGAAATTAGTCGTTTTCTTATTTCTAATATCCTGGAAGTTAAATGGAGACTTTGTTGTGCAATTTATAGATGAAGTCCAAGAAGGTATTTTTCCTCAAATTTGGAACTCCTTTATTATCCCAACTTTGCCAACATTGGGTAATCTACTTGACCGTAAAATTGCATTATTAGGCGCCACAAAGATAGTGACAGCAAGTTCACTATTTACCAACAAATATCCACAGCTTATTGTTCCAACCTTCGAAATATTAATAACAACCTTAGTATCAGAGGATGTGACAAGCTTTAAGAATGATTTTGTTGACTTGGAGAATATGGAAGAAATTGTGACATTCGGCTCGTCTTTCAGTAAATTAGGCGTTGTAAGCGAAAAAGCTGTAGATCCATTACCAGAAGTAGACTTAACCAATGGTTTAAAAATCTATGTCGGTCAATTATTGGGCAAGTATGTAGCTAGCCAAGGCGCAAACTTTTCTAGTTCCATTCTCCCAAATCTAACCAACGAAACTCAAACAAAATTAAACCAACTATTAACTGGCGCATAACGATAGATTTATTTTTATACCGTAATATATACACTACATTAAGTTATTTAAAGTACCATTAACGAATAACAATATTTTTCAACATTTATGGAAACTCCTCTTATTCGTTAAATAAATGCGCTAAAAGACTTTCAAATTACTATTTATAATACAAATTTAAATGATACATAATTATATCCACATATATCATTTAATAAATTAGAAGAATATTACCATGACTGTATAGTGTATGCCTTTTTCAATACATTGGAAAAATAGATACAAATTTCTATTACTTTCGAAAGTTCTTCTTTTTATTTTTTATTTTTTATCCTTTATTGGCATTACTTCTGATGTAATAGACACATTTGTTTTCTCCGTGCTATTATTATTATTATTATTATCATCTTTATTAACAATCTTTGCGATATCATTCTTCACAACATTCTCAGTACCTTCATTTTCATCATTATTATTTTCTTTGTCTTCAGGTATGACATCACCATTTTCATCAATCCTACCTCTACTCTTTAAATCTTCTATTTCGGCAGCTGTTAGGAATCTTCCACCTTGTCCTCTTGGTCTACGCATTGCATGTTTATGTCGCGACTCGTGTAAATAGGGCTTTCTTTCTCTTGATATACGTAGATTTTCTTCCAGCCTTGCCCTAGCGTAACGCCTCTTTAATATCCTGTAATATTGTTTAGCATTAACATAGAAAGGTTGATCCGGAGTAGTTTCCCTTTCAGTATTGACAACATCTGTATTATATTCTGATGTCATATCGTGTTGAGTCACACTGTGGTCGTCCATAACAAGATCAGTAGGATCGCTAGGATCAAGTTTATTTATTAGTTGTGTCTCTATATTTGAGTGAGAGATATCATTCAAAGTACTCCTTGTATTCACATTTATATTTGAGTCAATATCATTAGTTTCAAGTTTATCATTTTTATTATTCAACGGATGGATATCATTCATGTACATATTCGAAGTCACTTTCTCTGTAGCTCCCCTATTCAATCTATTGTATAAATAAAGATCAGATGCACTAGTATGAGAATTGGTACGATTAATTACACTATTACTATCATTTTGGGTATCTGTGGATAAAGGATTGGAAATTCCGATATTCGTGTGGATCAAATCCGCTTCTAATGGACGATAGTTGTCTTCATTAGTATTCATTGTTCCCTCCTATTTTTAAAATTTTCTAGTAGTAACTTCACTCCTCCAACAATATTATTTTGTAATGTATATGCAATGGGTGCTTTTCTTTATTACCTCAATATCTATTAATTATACTATCTTAAAAAATGTAGAAATCTTCTACGAAAACATGAACCGCTTTTTATATTTCTTACGATTCTCGTATTTTTTATGATAAAATAGTCTAACAATCTAACAACAACGTTCCTGGATAAATGTAAGTATCCTTTCCCTTGTGTTTTTTGTTATCTTGGATATGATTTATTTATTTATTGGATGATAACCCTTGTTAGTTGAATTTCTGCATTTAACGGCCATGCATTATATATTTATCTTACCCCATTTTTTAATTTTTGTTTATCTTTCAGAAGTTCTTCGGTTTTTCTTTGAGAAGAAAATGGAAGATTTAGTTACCCTGCTTTGGTGATTCACGTCCACAACGATAATTATGTCAATAGTCATTAGGAAAAGATAGCTTAGAGTTTTCTTTCATTAAGAATAAGTAACTATTATTTACATGAATGCTAATATTATATACTGTTATACGGTAAACAAATTTAATTTAATATTGTTTTGCAGTTTTATTAAGTAGACGGTAAAGTTCGAATAATGCAGCTGGGGTGACTCCCTGGATCCGTCTTGCCTGCCCAATTGTGGTGGGTTTTATTGTATTTAGTAACGTTATACACTCGGATGATAAACTTTGTATTTGTGAATAATCGTAGTCTGTTGGTAAGACTAAATTTTCGTCTGCTTGAAATGCCTTTATGAATTGATTTTGTTTCGTGATGTATGGGTTGTATTTACCTTGTATGTTAATCTTTTGAATGACTCTTCTTGGAATATTATCAATGTTAATTCTTAATTCAGGAAAACTATCGACTAATCTTTCCAAAGAAACACCGTTAAATTTAAAAATATCCCACGCGGTATAATTCAAAGCAGCTGGTGCTACTTTTATACCAAGTTTATTAGACCATTCCATGTGGTTACAATTAAATGATTTCAATTTATCGACAGTATTATCATAAATATCTTTGTCATTCTTAAGAATATCGTACCGAGTTTGTTGAACTGCCCCTACCGAATGACCCAACTCGGTAAGTCTAAAGTCGGCATTATCAGCTCTCACTGTTATTCTAAATTCTGATCTAGAGGTAAACATTCTATATGGTTCCTCAATACCTTTAGTAATCAGATCATCAATAAGGACACCAATGTATGCGTCTGATCTAGATAGTTTCAACAGTGGTTTTGACAGAGCCGCTAAGCCAGCATTTATACCAGCAATACATCCCTGCGCACATGCTTCTTCGTAACCTGTTGTACCGTTAATTTGTCCGGCTAAAAACAAACCAGTGACTAGCTTTGTCTCCAAAGTTTGTTTCAATTGTCTAGGGTCAACATAATCATATTCTACACCGTAGGCAGGTTGTAAGATTGTCACATTTTCAAGACCTGGAATCATCCTCATCATACGAAGCTGTACATCCTCAGGCATTGAGTTCGAGATACCGTTAGGATATATCACATTTGAATCTAATCCCTCGGGTTCTAACCAAATCTTATGAGAGTCCTTATCGGAGAAACGCAGAATTTTTGCCTCAAGTGAAGGACAATATCTAGGACCTTTGACAGTTTCTCTAATATGTATACTTTTATCCAGATTATCTTTCAAATATTGATGTAAGTATGGAGTTGTTCTTGTTCCATAACAAAGTATTTGGTCTTTAATTGTCACTGAATCATTTACAAAACTCATTGGAGTAGGTATTTCATCACCATATTGTTTCTCAAGACCAGTAAAATCAATCGATGATTTTTCTAACCTGGCTGGTGTACCTGTCTTTAATCTACCAAGATGGAATCCAATCTGGGCTAAAGTTTCACTTATTCCAAAAGTAGGAGGTTCATTAATTCTTCCAGCTGGGATAGTCTTTAAACCAATATGTATCTCTGCACTTAAGAAGGTCCCTGTAGTGATTATAACCTTCTTGGATGGAATTATGGTATCGTCGTCAAGTATAACCCCTTTCACCTCACCATATTCTCCATTCGAATTATGGATATCCTTATCTATAATAATATCTTTCACTTTCCCTTCACGGATAGTCAAATTTGGATAATCTATTAATTCCTTTTGCATTTCTTTTAGATACAAGCCTCTATCTATTTGAGCACGAGGCCCCCACACGGCAGCACCTTTACTTTGATTCAATATTTTGAATTGAATACCAGCTTTATCAGTTATTCTTGCAGCTACACCATCCAAAGCATCTACTTCTCTTAGCAGAGTTCCTTTTCCGACACCACCCATAGATGGGTTACATGAACAAGTACCTAGTTGCTTAATGGATGGCGTCACAAGAACAGCCTTACTCCCAACTCTAGCTGCACCTGTGGATGCTTCACAACCGGCATGCCCACCTCCGATGACTACCACGTCATTTTCAGGTATCGATGCCATGGCAGCTTTCAGATCCGCATTCATCGTGATTTGACGTTTGCTGCATCGTCTGTTCAATATAGATCTCACTACATGAACTCTCCTTATTCTCCACATAATAATGACGACAACCTTGATAGACTTCCTTCTCCTTGTAGTAGACTATTATTTGGGGCATCCACTGAATTACTTTCCTCACTTTATAGTGTTTCCAAATATTTCTGCTTCCATTATTATTGATAATAGTAATAACTATGTCTCCACGCCGCACGCCGCGGACTGTTTCAACCACTACCGGTCCGACCAGACAAAATTCATAAATAAATATAAATATGAAGTTTAATGTATCAAAGGCGGCTAATCTGATTCCAAATTTATTTACTTTATTTTCAGATATCGACAACTGGTTGTCGATATCTGGAATTGGGTGAGTATAAAGAGAGGGTTGGCAATGAACCGATTCAATAGTGAAGTATCATAAACTATTTGGAAACCAGTTTTCTTTTTCTTTCTATGATGTCGAGATGCATCACGTCTAGAAATATTCTCATGAACCACCATAACGTGACATAAGCAGCAACACTCCTAACTAAGAACACTTCTCATAGTTTTATTGAACAGCCTCAATCATTGAATTAAGCAACATAGAATAACTTTGTGACTTCTAATGCTCATTACCTCAGCACTCTCGCACACTACAGAAACTTTCGGTGTCAGGTATAATGGATGCATAAAGAGAGTAACGAATAAAGAGAGTTACTTGGATTCGGTAATTTCCATAATAAAAGAAAAAGTATTATATTATCCTAGAATAAGTAATAGCTGTCCAGGGATACATATAAAGACTTATATAAAATGTAGAGTTCAACCGAACTCTACTACATTGATAATTTCAAATCAACTGATTTGGTTACCCTACAGTACTATACAATATCGCATCAAAAACACACACATCATGTAGTACGGCGCTGCCTTCAGTTTGACTTCTTTTCCGTTTGTCTCCATTCAATTTCATTGTTAACAGGATTGAAAAAGATATTGGCAGCCTAAGAAAAAAATTTAAAAATTATTTTACTGCGTGCTAGGATTTTTGACTTTACAGGGAGAGAAGTCAACAGCCCACGGAGTCAAAATCTCGGTGAAAAATGTTATGGGTTGCTTTCTGAACGATGTCCCTTTTCCCATCACCCGCGTACTCTATAATGAAGAATATTAGCCATCTCATAATCATACCAACTAGTTGCTAATTACATTTTTAATTCATTTAATAATACTGATATCACCAATTAAAAAAGAACAGTCAAAAAAATGTACAACATATTCAGTCCTCTTTAGGTGTGACTGATCCTTATTTTATTCAGTAACCAACATCATCGTTTATCAAATAATATATAAAGGAAATATCCTTGAAGTTTTCTGAGTATTTTGATTTTGTTTTGTTTGTTGGAAACGCATCGAGTTGTAGTTATACTAGACAAGAATAAATTGATTATCTAATATCTAAAAAAAGGATACTACTATATTGCGTAACTAACACATCCAGGTGAATACGCGGGCTCAATTAATTTATTATTTTACCTCAATATACTCTCACTTTTCCCAACAAAACATGTCATTAAATATTCTAGTGTTAGGTAACGGTGGTAGAGAACACGCTCTATTATGGAAACTATCTCAATCATCAACTGTCAACAAAATTTATGTCACTCCAGGCAATGGGGGTACTCAACAAATTGTAAAAGTTGAGAATTTGACTCAAGATGATTTATTACCAATCCCAAAGAATTTCATTAATTTACAAGCTTTTGCCCAAAAGAACAATATAAACCTTGTTATCCCAGGTCCTGAACAACCATTAGTTGATGGTATTACAACATTTTTCACAAATGTGGGTATCCCTGTATTTGGTCCATCTGCAGAAGTTGCACAACTTGAAGGTTCCAAAGTTTTTGCTAAGGAATTTATGAGGAGACACAATATCCCAACAGCCAACTTTGCAAAATTTGACAACTATGATAATGCCATGAAATATATAAACAGTGAAAAGGATAAGAACGTCGTTATTAAGGCTGACGGTGTTGCTGCTGGTAAAGGTGTTCTTATCCCAACTAACCAACAAGAAGCTCTTGAAGCTCTAAAGACCATCATGGTTGATAAGCAATTTGGTTCTGCAGGTGAATCTGTAGTTATTGAAGAATTCTTAGAAGGTCAAGAAATTTCAATTTTAACAATTTCTGATGGTTACTCCTACTATAACTTACCAGCTGCTCAAGACCACAAGAGGATCGGCGAGAATGATACTGGTTTAAACACCGGTGGTATGGGCGCTTACGCACCTGCTCCTGTTGCTACTCCAAAGGTTATGAACGAAATTGATCAAAATATCATAAAGCCAAGTATCGATGGGCTAAGAAAAGATCGTTTGCCATTTGTTGGGATCTTATTCACTGGTATTATACTGACTTCAACTGGTCCAAAAGTCTTAGAATACAACGTAAGATTTGGTGATCCAGAAACTCAAACAGTTTTGCCACTACTAACTGAAGAGACAGATCTAGCCCAAGTATTTTTAGCTGCCGCAGAACACAGATTAGACTCCGTTGAAATTAATATTAAAAAAGATTATTTTGCCACTACTGTTGTATTAGCTGCTGCTGGTTATCCAGAATCTTACAACAAAGGAGATATCATTACAATCAATGAATCTAAATTACCAAATGATGCATATATTTTCCAAGCTGGTACAAGCTTCTCCAACGAGAAAAACGAATTAGTTACTGCGGGTGGTAGAGTTATTGCCACCACAGCGATTGCTAAGACATTAAAAGGTGCTGTTGCTAAAGCTTATGAAGCTGTTGACTGTATTGATTTCAAAGGAAAATACTTCAGAAAGGATATTGCTCACCGTGCATTTGATGAAAATACACCAAAGACATCTATAACATATTCCGACTCGGGGGTATCTGTCGACAATGGTAACCTTTTAGTCCAAAAAATTAAAGATATGGTAAAATCTACCAGAAGACCAGGTGCTGATTCTGATATTGGTGGCTTTGGTGGTGTCTTTGACTTAAAACAAGCTGGTTATGATACTGATGAAACCTTATTGGTAGCCGCCACAGATGGTGTTGGTACAAAATTAATCATTGCACAAGAAACTAACATCCATGACACTGTCGGTATTGATTTAGTGGCAATGAACGTTAATGATTTAGTAGTACAAGGTGCCGAACCTCTATTATTTCTAGATTATTTTGCAACTGGTGCGCTGGATATCAAGGTTGCATCTGATTTTGTTTCTGGTGTTGTTGATGGTTGTTTACAAGCCGGTTGTGCATTAGTAGGTGGTGAAACCTCTGAAATGCCAGGTATGTACCCACCAGGTCACTATGATACTAATGGTACAGCTGTTGGTGCTGTTAATAAAAACAATATACTACCTAAGATGGATCAAATGGAGCCAGGCAATGTCCTTCTAGGGTTGGCATCTGATGGTGTACATTCCAATGGTTACTCCTTAGTCAGAAGAGTTATCTCTCATGTTGGTCTGTCATGGAGTGACCCTTGCCCATGGGATAACTCCAAGACTCTTGGTGAAGGTACCCTGGTTCCAACTAAGATTTACGTCAAGCAACTACTTCCTTCTCTAAAGAAGAAGTTGATATTAGGTTTGGCTCATATAACAGGTGGGGGTTTGATTGAAAATATTCCACGTGCTATCCCAAAAAATTTACAAGCTCAAGTAGACATGTCTACATGGACTGTTCCAGAAGTATTCAAGTGGTTTGGAAAAGCTGGTAATGTTCCAATTGAAGATATTTTAAAGACTTTGAATATGGGTGTTGGTATGGTTTTGATAGTAAAGAAAGAAAATGTTGAGGAAGTCAAGAGACTGGTAACTGCAGCAAATGAAACCATTTACGAAATTGGTACTCTGGTGGAAAAACCAACAGGTGCCCCAGGTTGTGTTGTCAACAATGCTACTAATCTATATTGAATGATAACAAACTTAATAACGAAATATTCGAAATAAAAACATATTTAATCATATTGTACAATAACATTTATATAGAACTAATTCATACAATCTCAAGAATCACTACTCAAGTAACTAAATTCATATATATCAAACCAGGACATCTCAGGTTTAGTGCTTCTTATAATGGAGCTCGAGGTTGAATAACTTCCTTTCCAATATTGTCACTATACGTTTCGCTCCGAGAGCGTCGCTTACTTCACATCGATAGAAATGAGGGCGTTTATATTTGAATATCGTCATCAACGTATGATCGAATCAATAGAGAGAACAAGAAAATGGAATAATTCAATAAATATATTCAGAACTCTATTAAAACAAGTGGTTTATAACATCTCTTTGATCTACATCACCTCTTAAATTGTGGACATTTAATGCAATAACATTATATTAACCATTAACTAGTATTCATCTAAGGAAAATACAACAACACATATATATTCAAATAATAAAAACATCAATTATTGATAGTTCCAATATTTGCATTGTTCGATAATCTCAAAAACTAAAAATGGATCAAGAGACACTTTTAACTGATGAATTTCAGAAGATAATCCTAACTTCTGCTGCCACTTCTGTCTCTTCTTCCTTTTTAACTAATAAGGAGAGGAAAGAAAAATTACTACTCTCAAAGAACAAGAAGACAGGCAATATCTCTAATGAAGATATCGAAAAAGTTTTAGGTGATTCTTTGGACACACAATTGTTTGATAAATGGATCCCTTTTCTTCGAGAAACGATAGAAAACGAACAACTTGAAGTGGTTGTCGACGAGCTGCAATCGTCTACAGAAGATAACTTCCAAGGATTAGAACTTCAATTGTTGCGTGATTTCCAAGTTACCAATAAATTAACCGAATCTATTGGAGAAGTAACTAATATCCAAGGTACCATTGAAAAACAATTGACAGTTCAAATGCAAGACTTCCAAAATAAATTATCGTCATCATCTAATGATTTAATAATGAAAAAGCAAGTATTTGTAAATAATAAAAAAACGTCACTAAAAATATCAGAAGCCATTATCGTAATTACCAAAGTGCTACGAATTTTAGAATTGTCAAGTAAGTGCCAAGAATTGATTACAGAAAAGAGTTTTTTCAAAGCCCTTCAAAATCTTGATAACTTAGAAAAATTATATTTACAAGAATTTAAAAATTACAATTTCGGATTTCTGAAGGAAATATATGATTCTATCCCCTTTTTGAAAAAAGTGGTTAAAGATGAATGTATAAATTTAATTCGTAACTCATTTAATATTAATTTAGGTAAAAATCTGGAAGATGTTGGTAATTCTATATTTAACTGTTACGAAAAGCAACTACTTCCCCAATGGTTACAACTCAAAGAAAAGATGGATTTCAACATATTCAAATTCAATTCCCCAGTCGAAATATCCTTAAGAGATCAGGAAATTCTAAGTACAATCACATTAGACAATTTTTTCCACTTAGATGAGTTCCATGATGCTATAATGATATTTGAAACTTTAAACCAAACGACATACTTACTTTCTGAGTTTACAAAAGAGTACGAATTTAGAAAATTCAAAGTAATTTTCCCATTAGTATGGAAGAAAACTGTTAATAATATAAATATCACAACATCAGATATCGAGAGAGATGCATTTACTAAGAATTTAACTTTGCCATTCCTGAAAAGTTACTTGCTTCGTATATTAGGTTTCTTAATGTATGATATTTGCTTAAATAAATCGACAGATTTCATCCTGGTAGGTAGTAACTATAATGCTACCAATGAATTTTGGGAAGGATTGCTTAATAGATTAGGCCCATATCTCAGTTACGCAATGAACAAATTACTCAATACCGAAGAAGAGCTCATAGATTTCAAAAATTTCTTAAGTGTGTATGTTGCTATAGTGGAAAATTTCAATTTGAGTATAACACCGCTCTATAACATCTTACTCTCCATTTTTCAAAAATACTGTAATTTATCTATGGAATCGTTCCGTGAGGAATTTAGAACGTTATTGGATGATGATGATTTTATGCCTTTAACTATCCAGGATCGTACATTATTTGATAAGGTCATTAAAATTTGTTGGTTAAAGAAGGATGAAAACACCAGGTTGATCGAGGAAGTAAATGCACTAGAAGCATCTGGATCTGAATTTTCTATTACACTTCCATTTTCTCCATTATATCCAATGACTTGCACTCTGGCCAAAAAAATATACTCAAAGTTGACTCTATTCATCTCAGTTTTCTACGGCCATAATCTACAATACTTGAGTAACATGCTAATTAAGACAATGGATGTTATATTTAACGATATTGTCAATCAACAGATCAAGTCCAAATTGGATAGTAAATCTAGAGAAGAAATAGCCCAAATATTAATTAACTTAGATTACTTCATCATTGCATCCAAAGAATTCAGTATGATGATGACGAATACGAATATTCTACAGAATCCCGACATTGAGATCAAACTATCCTCCATCAAACATTACATCGAAAGTAGAAAATATGCTGAAACTAAGTTAATTGAACTAATTGATTCAAAGATATCTGACGTATTGGATACCGTAGAATTTGATTGGACCTCCACCAAATTACGTGACGAACCGGACATTTCAATCATTGATGTTGCACAATTTTTAGAAATGATGTTCGCTTCCACGTTAGTTAATTTGCCATACAGTATTCAAACACTACTGATTTTCAGAGAATTTGATTCTTTGACAAGAAAAGTACTCGACGTACTACTACATGAAACCCCTTCTTCTTTGACTCAACAAAGTGTTTCGAATTTCGAAATTGATGTAAATTATTTACAAGGTATCATTCCTAAAATATTTCCATCACTTTCTCCAACAACATCTGATCTTCATTCAGTTCCAGGGACCCCTAATCCAAATACTTCTGATCGTCAAGTAGGTTTATTAGAAAATAATATGAAATCTTTAGAAGAAACATTTATTGAACTGAATCAATGCATAGAATTATTGAAGATAAAAAGCCACACAGATTATGCTAATCCTGAAATTAGAATGAAAAAATTTTCTCGTATAAAACCTGAAGATGCAAATATTCTACTAAGCAAGGTAAGGAGTTCAACACCAGAGTCTGATGATAATTCAGAATCCAAATTGATATTAGGTCCTGCAAGAAGCTCCACGCCCTCTAACGATTCTTCTGGGAATTCCAATAGATTGGCAAAGTTGTTTGGCCGTTAAACAGCATAGCACCAATCTAATATATCTTTTATACCAAACCCCAAAACATTAAGGATAAACTAGTATATAGTAATGAATGTACGTGATGTAGTTCGAATTATATAAAAACCCCAGTATTAATATTAACTTCCTTAAATTGTAAACAAAAAAATTCTATTTGCGCGATGAGCATTTGAAATTTTTCAAATCTTCTGTTCAATCAATATATTAAGATACCTGATGAGATATGAAGAGATCGGTAGTTTAGAACTTATAAAAGATCAGTCACAAAAATACGAAGTGAATAATGGGTAACAAACGTGCGTCTGATGGAAATAGCGATCAAAGGAAGAAGAAATTTAAAGTAGCATCGGGTTTCCTAGACCCAGGTACATCAGGTATATATGCGACTTGCACTAGAAGAAAAGAAAGACAAGCTACCCAAGAGTTGGGCTTACTGTTTGAAGAAAAGCTACAAGAAATTTATGGTGACAAACTCAAGGAACTTGAAAATGCTGACAATTCAGCGGAGGTTGTTGAGGAACCAAAAGTTTCTGAAGAGTTATCTATTGAAGAACAAATTCAGCAAGAATTATCAGAGATCAAGACAGCATCGAATCCAATCAGCAAAGAACAAAAGAAGAAAGAATTGTTGCATTTTGTTGAGTTGAATTGTGAATGTGTCGTATTTTGTAAGACTAGAAAACCAATTATCCCTGAAGAATTTGTAAAAAAGATAATGGATGAATTGATTGACCCCCAGAACAAAATGAAAAGAACGAGATATGTTCAAAAATTAACGCCAATAACAAATTCTTGTAATGCATCTATGGAACAGATACTGAAACTAGCCCAAGAGGTACTCGCTCCACATTTCCATTCTGCTAGCTGTGAGATTGAAGGCTATAAATTTGCAGTAGAGGTTACCAGAAGGAACTTCAATACAATCCCAAAGATGGATATCATTAACAATCTGGTATCTGTCGTCTGTGAAAATGGTAAGTATAAGCATAAGGTAGATTTAAAGAATTACAATAAATTAATATTGGTAGAATGTTTTAAGAACAATGTTGGTATATCTGTGGTAAATGGTGAATACAATAAGTCATACAAAAGATATAATGTTCAGCAAATATTTGAGGCAAAGTTAAAGCTAAATGATGCTGGAAAGACTCCGGTTGAAAAAAAAGCTTTAATTTAGGAACATAATACATCCTAACCTTAAAATTTGAATAAATATCTTTAATCATCTATTTAATTCAATAGATAAAACATGAATAATCTAATTAGTATTATGTATTCTCAAAATATTTTACAGTATATAGATATATATTCATGTGCCACCCAGAGTATAGTAGCATTTAACACAACATTTAAATATATGTTTTATTTCATTAAACTACTACTGATTTAATGTTATGGTTATAATCTACTTTCTGTTCCCATGCTAGCCAATCACTAGTTGTATTTGGAATTAAACCCATTTGATTCAGTTTCCTTATACCAATGTACATTAAAGCACATTGCCCTAGAATATACAATAACATAGCTCCCCAGATTGTTGAATTTGTATTTGAGTTCCCTAATACTGGCTTAAACGCCTGTTTTACGGAAAATATAGCCTTAATTGGACCAGATAGAAGCATCAACGCTGCTACTATAGGAATAATCTGAAGAGAGGTACCAGACATGTAGGACATGAAGAAATTCATCGGAATGGACTTCAGCGGTTGTAGAGCTATTTGCCAAGCTTTCTGCACTTGTAATGCATCTAAGTTGACCACTGGACGGCTGTGATTAACTGGTTCACCATTTTTTCCTTCAACAATATCGGATGGTGTAAAACCTGGTGGATATAAGGTATTCTTCTTTTTTGATTGCTTTAGTGTATCAGCGTATTTTGGGTCACAAAGATGTTGTGCCCATTCTTCCATTAGAATAACCATGATTGACAGTTTAGTATACTAACTTCTGTGTGCTGCTTTTACCTTTTTTTATTTAATATTTATATACTTTTCTTGTGGTGTTGGAATATCATTAAAAAATGTCTTAAATTTTCGGTGCTGAACAATCGGAACATTTAACTTAGAGAACGGATTAAACAAATAATGAATATGTAATGACCTAAAAACTTCGATAGTAGCACATTCATATAGTGTGACAAAGAGCTCTGAGTGAAACGAGGTATTCTTGTTTTTATACTAACTAATACATTTATGAATTAAATACGTACACTTTTACTTAATTTATTACTTTTATCCTTCTAGAAAAGGGTACCGATTTTATCTATCAAAGTGACCTGAGTTGGGTAATCAGGTACAACCTTATCCGGTTGTTGTTTATTCTCGTTTAAGTTAGTCGGTGGATCATTGTCATATATCTGTAATGTGATATTACCATTTTGATCTTCGATACGCTCACCACCTCCCAAAATTTTTATGCACATAGTCTTTGTCATGACTAATATTTCTTCTGATAGTCTTATCCATTTTTCATTTTGTAATGAATCAAATATGACAAGAGAAATACTTTTGGTTTCGATATTTTTAGAGAATGCAGTAAGGTCCTCAACAATTAATAGCATATGTCCATTATAGCCTAAAACCATAGAATTTTTTATGTAATATTGATAACATCTTTTGTAAGCGCATATTATGAAGTCCTGTATGATATTGAAGTCGGCTGAATCATTGTCTTGTGTAAAAGTTGGGTTATATTTTCTTGAGTCATTCAAAAAAAATAGAGAATAGACCAAAAAAGGGTTATATGTAGAATCAATTCTTCCATTCAATAATTGCTGAATGATATCAAACGAGACGTTATGCCAAAAATTATTCCACGGATGATCTAGGAATATTTTTAATATTCTTGGTATAGCTTCTTGATCAAACAACATTATTTTAAAATCATCACCTATTGTCTTCATTTTTCGTATTTTTTCATTATTTGCCATCGATATGAATGGTTTGCCATAACAAGGTTCTGAATAATTATCACTACTATAATTATTTTTATTTCCATTAGCACTACAATTAGAAGATAACCGAGCAAAACCTTCTATTAAAGAAATTGTAGTTTTATTATCATCTTTCAAAAGGCAATCAATTTCTTTGTTAACAGAATCTCTACACTTTTGTCTTTCTTCTGCAATAAGTTCTGAAGTTTTTAAATTCATTAAATCCATATTAGAGCAATGTAATAACTCCGCTATCAATTCAACTATTTTAATTCTCACCAAACCAATTTTCTTAAATTCTTCTCCAGTTTGCGTAATGAACGATTCATTTTCTGGATAATCTATACTCCAGATTATGTTCAATAATCTAGGTAAATATCTTGTGAAAATTTTCAATAAATTACCCAAGTATAAAGGGTCCCTTTTATTAGGTGGGTTCTTAAGAATTGTTGTCTCCAAGAGGGAAATTGAATCGAAATCAGAATTATTTTTTCTGATCAATTCAATCATAAGGACAACAATATTGCAGAGCACAGAACCTTTTTGTTCCAGCAAAATTTGAACCAGTGTCTCTACTGTATTTTCCAAAACCAGAAATCTTGTTAAATTATTGGGACCTATCGATATATCGTTCATAGGTATATTCACCGATATTCCTATAAGTTGTTTCAAAAATTCATAGACCGTTGATATCTGTCTATCAGAATATATAGAGCCTTTAAAATAGCTCATACATTTTTTCATCAACCCTTGTACCTCTAAGATATCAATAATACCTGTAGTATCATTAATTTTATCTGTACATATCAAACGTAATAGGAAATCAAATACATTAGATAAATCATCATGGTCGAATATATCCTGAACCAACGAATGTTTATTTCTTATAAAATTCAAATATGGATTTCTTCCATTAGCTAATAAACCATCTTGAATCTTTAAAAAAATTGTTAATTGAATAGAATTTTCTGATACAATCTTGGGATGATGGATGAGGGACCATAGTTTTTCCATTCTGTCAAAACTTTCTAAAATTATTTTTTGAATAATTGGTATATTCAATATAATAATATCTGATATTCTAATTATTTGTGCATATCGGTCTAAAGTGTTATTATCTCCAGTTGGTATGAACTCTAAATCTTCCTTCTCGTCCCGCACTGTATTTTTATTTACCAGATATTCAGCTAAATGGTCATTCCTTATATCAGTCTCATCTAGGTGTGATGGATTGTCACAGTTAAATGGATATGCTCCATCAATTTCATCCAAATTTTTTAACATAACTTCTATTATGTAATCTATATGGTAAACCTTCCTCCAAATATCATCTCCACCAATCACCACATTATCATCCTCAAAATCATTCTCTGTATCTTCCTCTATATAAAAATAACCAAAACAAATAAAATCCATCAATTTCTTATCCTGTCGTACTAATCTATCTACCAATGTCGGTTCTTTTAATATTTGATCTATGTAGTCGTTGTCGAGGGTACCTAGAGACAAAGTTGGGCTCTGTTTAACCATATCTGTGTGTCTAAACATACTCGAGAAGCTTGGTCTATTTGAGCCATGTTCTTTTATATTAACTATCCCTCTGGGGTCAGAAATGTGAAGATGATTCATGGATCCTTTTATCTCGTCTTCGTCACTTGCAATAGAATGTGAACTATACACAGGTGAATGTGACCTAGTGATCATAGCTGTAGTTACAGCATTCTCAATAGTATTATTACTGCTATGCCTTCGCTGGGCAATTGCTGAAGTAGTAGTAGGTATATTCGACACATTTTCAGAATGTTCTACCGAATGTAATCTTTCTAAATAATTGTTGATAATTCCATCAATCTTTGATTCTGAATTGATCGAACTAAACGGCCAGAAGGACATTATTAGTGTCGTCTATCTTTTTATATATGTATATTCAATGGATAAATATATCACAGTTTTTACAAATATTCAGGGTCTAAAATAAGTCCTTAAGCAAATCACTTTTGTAATGTAGTAATAACCATTGAATTGTTCTCCACGCAACACCTTATCAACAACGAAACAACTTTCAGAAATTAAACTCTAACTAGATATAATAATAAAAAATTAACACGAAGGATGCAGATCAAATACCTAATTGTTCCAGTCTATTACAATATTTTCTGTCAACTGAATGAAGAATTACTGATCTGTTTTCCCTTATTTTTTTTGGGTTAAGTTTCTCGCTGTTCCTTTAAGAATTTTTAACTATTTTGAAGAGACAGAGAGTGGGAAAGGAATACAGTTGATGATTCTCACATACATACACCCACGATAGATAGATAGATATAAATATATAGATATGTACATTTATATTAGATTTACCAAGGGTCTTGCTACGTACACTGAGTCGCATAAGTCCTATACACTTCAATTGAAGGAATACACAAAACATACGTGCCATCGAACACGTCATTCAGAAACAAGGGATACAACCTTTCTCACAGGCATATCTACTCCCTCCAAGTATGCATACATATGCTACGTAATGTCGGTTTCTTTAGACAGTCTTCATTACTTACTCTCTATTTATGTGTATCTGAAACTCTTACATAGAAAACTGACTTGTTTCAACTTTTTGCAGCCTCACCGTCCGTTTTCTTCATCTTCTTTAGACAAGCCGAAACTCTTGAAAAATCTGTCCTTACACGTAATCCACAACAAGGAAATACAATAACGAGAAACCAACAAGGAACATCGACTTCACTATCAATTCTATAAAAGTTGTATTCATTCCATAATTGATACGACTAAGGTAAGTTTTTATATCGTTTTACCTTTTGTTTGAGTAATTACTATTCTTAAGTTAATCAAAAACGATTGCTATATTCTACCCTTTTTTATATAAAGACGTATCGATGAAGTTCTGCACCAAGTTTATCGTCTTCATATTGACTGTATTGTCTCTACATCACTACTGTGAGTGGAACCATTGCTCAACAGATGTCAAACAATTCTGTAACTACACGTCTTTTTCCACTTGGAATAATATCCTAAGTGCTAACAGTGAAACTTATCATGAATATGTTGCACCCAAAATGATTATTGTATCTACTAAGTACAACACTTTAATTGAACCTCTCTGTCACAGTTTCTCTGAAAGACTAAATGCTAAAGTCACTAAACCAATAATTACATTTGTTACTCCACATGTTGCCCAATTTGAACATAGACCTTATGTTGTCTTTATTCATGATAAAATTGAATGCCTGATAAATAAATTACATGTCTATTATAACATTTATTTGGAACAAATCGTTTCCAAGATCGAGAAACAATTAGGTATCAAAAAGACATATAATGTGGCTCAAACAAAATTTGGAAGTCAATTTCAACCAATTTGTGAAGTATTTGAACCTTATTTAAAGGGATCTAAAACTAAATTTCAAGAATGGAAAATTGGATATTTGAATTATATTAAGGATGCTAAAACTTTTACTGAATCTGCCAATAAACAAATCAAGGAAACTGTTAAAGAGGAGAGAGAGAAAATTCAAGAATCTATTGAAGAAAAGAAAGAACAAGTGAAAAAAATTGCAAAGGACAGAAAGGAAAGTTATATCAACTCCAAGAAATCAGCAGCTGCAGCCTCTGCAGCAGCAGCTGAGAATGTATCCACTACTTCTGACATCCCAAAGGGTAAGATTACACCATTACTAGATAACGACATTTATTCTGATCTATACGAATTTAGAAAAGAAGCTGAAAATATGAATGACGAAGATTTTGAAGCCTTAGATAATAGCGGAGACGATGAAGAAGTCTACACTTCTACTTCTACTATTGTTAAAGTTGTGACCTTAAGTGAAGGTGCTGATTCTGTTGAAACCCAAGGTCAGAAGGATGCTGTTACTAATGAAGATGAGGTTAATGCTATCCAAATTGATTTTGACAATTGGTCTGATGCCATTGAACGTAAGATGTCTTCAATCGCTGACTTATTCGAAAAAGATGTTAACACTACTATGGATAAGATCTTAAGATCTAAGGATTTAACTTTAAAAAAAATGTTAAGACAAATGTCTAACTCTTCCCAAGATTCATATGAAGATATTTCAAAGAAGATCGAAGATATCGACTGTATTACTGAAATCGATCCAAAAACAGGAGAAAAAATTTATTTTGATAAGACTGGAACTACCCAATTACCTGTCTATGTTGACCGTGAATTGATGCGTGACTTGTTTGATCACGCCAACTCGTTAGGGTTAACTGTTGTTAGTCAAATTAACGCAGAAGTTGGTAACTTAGATTCTGATGTTTACTTTGCCGTTGAAGGTATGCGTAGGCAATACGCTGAAATTTATGAAGAATGGGCAAATGTTATGGTCAATGAATGGTCTAAGAGGTTAGCATATATTGATGTAATGGATGCTGATACAGGAAAGAATTCAGATGGTGCTGTTTCTGAAGAAAACTGGAAGAAATTCTTAAAGGTTAAGAGACAAATCATTGGCAGAAGAGAAGAATTTGCAACCCATCCAGTAAGTATGGATGAAGTTATTAAGTTCAGTACCATGGTTCAAAATACTCTGATGATGATCAACAGAGAAAATGGGGAATATCTATATATCCTAAGATCTAAAGCTAACTTGGCATTCCAAAAGCGTGAAAAGGAAGAAGCTGAGATGGAAGCCTTTGATGCTGAAGATGAGGAAGATGTTCAAGCTGACGCTTAGACAGTTTACTATTAATTCGAAAAAAGACAAATAAAAAAAAATTGTAACAAAACTGAAATTGCACAATTAAAGTTACTATTTATAAGTGTATAAAAATTATTCTATAACGTTTTGAAAATAACTGAAAAAATTCATAATGATCATTATATATTATAAGTCTTTTGTATCTTAATGCTTTAAAAGTTATTGTATTGTATTGAATTCTTGCTATTTTAGTTATTCGTACATCCGTATAGCACCGCGATGTATTTCTCTGAGTCCGTTGAACAAGGCGACTATAATCAACTAATTTAATATAAGGGGATTTGAGATTTGTAACCACCTCAGGTAAAAAATCAAGGCAAACCAGCAACTTTATCAGAATATAAATACGATATAGAGAATCAAAGAGGTGTTTGATAAAATAGCATTACCGTTTGATTAATTGACATATTAATTATATTCTCATTTTTGTTTTTTCTTCTAAAATATTTATCTATAAACATCCCAGGAACTTTACCGCTTTTAAAATATATTCTTCTCAATGTCTCGTTATATGGACAAAATAGATAAGGAATTTATTGACTCTTTGTATCCTGGATATCTACTAAAACAACCTATCGCACTAGAGTTATGGTCTCAATATTATGAGCATAAGAGACTGTTTCATAAATCTGCTAATAATCAATTACGTAAAACAGGAATCAACGGTGCGCGATCTAACTCTAATGGTGAATCAATTGGAAGAGATGGTGAATCAACTAATGAACTTGACTCGTTTTATATTAATCGGCTATCTCCTAGTACAAGAAAGGAAATCTGGCAAAAATTAATGAACTTAGGTGTTCTTGGAACGGTTCCATACCAATCAGCTAGTGACGAATATATTGTTCAGTTATACAAATATTTCTATTTAGGTAAGAATTCTGGAAAATCTAATATAGCAGACTCTACCACTATTGGAATTACATCTCCATTTTCTGACAAACTTGATATATCCAATAAGACTCATCTTGATGCTATTGCACAGAAGGATGATGACAATATTAATTATAATGATAATGTTGTTAATGATTCAGCTCAGAATACAAGAGTTTTACCTGACTCTGATCATAATGTACTTTCAAGTGATAAGGGACAAACTGATAGCCTTTTGGCTGAAGTGTTAGATGAAGACAATGATCAAGATTGTCTATATTATTCCAACTTAGGTGAGAGTAAGATACCTTGTAAATTAAAAAAGAACAATACACCTATGGACATTTACGAAACTTTGAATTATCCGCTACCGACATATTGGGTCCATCAACCCGGAAATAGTGTATTGATATCTAACGATGGTATATCTAGAATATCACCAAATCCACACTGGAAATCGTATATGAAAATTGAAACTTCTGAAAACATGAGTGCTTATGGCAGACATAGAATGAGAGATTCAGAAATAACCGTAACAGGACAGAAGTACGAATATGCTACGACTTGGGCCAATAATAGCGTTTCTTTACCCAATGTCGGTATATACTACTTTGAAGTCCGGGTTCTTAATGTAAGTAGTTCACAAGGTGGCGCAAATAGTAATATCATTGTAGGTTACAAGTTAAAGTCTTTAAACAGCGAAGAAGATGATGAAGAGAGCGCTGATAATTTGAATATGGATAACGCTATGATAGACAACTCCGTATCATCCGTACATTTTATGGAAATGGGCGGCAGAGCAGATGACCATGGTGACAATATTGAAACACATGGCGATGTTCGACCATTTATCACGGAACCAACAGATTTCAGAGAACCAAATACAAGAGGAAGTTCTGATGGTCTATCGGCAATTCGTAATAACACTGGTTCAATAGCTGGGTTTTATGCTTACTCTGGTTATGATGGTAAAATATCAAGCCCAAGACAAATATCAGGTTATAATGAACCTTATGGAAGAGATGATGTTATTGGATGTGGTGTTAATTTTATTGAGGGTACTATATTTTACACCAAAAATGGTGTATATTTAGGAAATGCATTTCGTGATGTACAAGATAGTAATTTTGTACCTGCTATAGGATTGCGCCCTGGGAATGCAGTAAGAACAAATTTTGGATTATATGAAGAATTTGTCTTTGATATCATGGGCTATCAAAATAACTGGAAACTAATGGCTTATGAACATATTTTCAGTTCATTATCTAATGGGGCAAACAATACAACTAATTCAACGAAACTTTCATCGAAGTACAAAGGAGATAGAGGGAAAATTGGTATATCAGATAGCTCTAGTGAATCAAACAGTGATGATGATGATGACAATGATGGTGATGTTTCTATGGATGAAGCCTATGATACAAATGAGAATGACTTGAATCACAATAGTAATAAGAAACCAAATCTTGTTGAGGATGAAAACAAAAAGGGTATGACTACCAATATTGATGACAAACCATTCTTGTTAGGAGAAGATTCAAGAATTGTAAGAAATGGTAAAATGGTTAAACCCGCAACAGATAAAATAAATGAAATGTCTATAGACGACAATTCAATCCCATCCATGTTGAATGTATTGATTAATGACTATCTGATACACGAAGGTATGATAGATGTTGCGAAGGGATTTTTATCTGACTTACGTAAAGATACTAATGGCATGGATCTTGAGGAAGTTAATTCTCTCGGTTGTGATAATAACTACGAAGTAATTAAACATAATGAACAACAAATCATTAACGAAGAAGAATTATTAAGGATGAGATATGAAATTCGTCGGTTAATAAATAGTGGTGAAGTTAATAAATGTATTATATACATCAAGGAACAATTACCTGGTTTGTTAGAAGAAAATATGACTTTATTATATGATTTAAGACTAGTTGAATTTTTATTAGAGATCAAAAATAATAATAAATCAATTAAAGATATTCTAAAATCTGCTCATGAATTGGCCAAACAATTTGTTCAGGATTCTGAGATTGAACTTGAATTGAGGCAAACATTCGAAAAAGAGTTGTTTAATGTATCAGGATTATTAGCATATGATAATCCATTAGAAGAAGCACCTGATGATCTTTCAATGTATCTATCTAATGATTTTTTACAGGATCGTTTATTTCAAACATTAAATTCCAATATATTAGATTTTCTGGGGAAAGACAGTGGTTGCGCGTTAAATAATATTGTTAGTTATACCAGATCGATGCTTTCAACGTTAGTTACATATGGAGATCAACAGTATCAATCATCGACACAACATAAATACTACAAGATGTTAAATATGGATGAGGATCTGTTGAATTTATAATGAGTACGGAAAACAAAATATTTTGGCATAATATACGTAGGTTTATACATTCTTTGATATACTACATATATATGAAGACAAATTGTGAGTTAAATACAATTGTTGCCCATTAATATTCGTATTCTTATTATTGTTTATTTTTTTTTTTTAGTAATATACATATTAGTGAGGATATTTAAATTAGACATATACACCAAAAGCGTCAGAGACAAAGATAGCAGCAATAGCAAATAGTATAGAACCGAACACACTTAGGAAAGTGAAGATCAGGAACTTGGGTACGATAGATTTCTTGGAGCAAGCAGTCATAACAGCACCAAACAGAAATAACAAAGCTAATACAGTGGCCATGATACCATATCTTGGTTGTTGTGCTAATGGGATGAATGCTTGAACATTTTCATTAGCATGGAATTCGTTCTGTAATAAAACTCAAAGGAGAAGAATATACAACAATACTTGGGTCAATAAGAATTGAGGATGTTATGATTATTATGTTAGTATCAATTTGATGACAATCGTACCCATGTGTAGGGGAATTCTTCAATTAGGGTGAAAAAATAAATAGATAAAACATACGTATAAAGTTTCATAACCCATTGTGTGTGTGTATGTATGAAGGTAGAATTTGCTAACGGTGAACGTATTATCCAAACTAAGTGTTTATATATACAGATAAATATCAATTCAAATTACAACAACTTTTTATAAAAAAGGCTTACCTAAGAACTTAGTCTGTAGTACAGTAATTGCTAATCATTATTTGTTATATAATATATATCAAGCCTGTCAAAGAGAGAACTAAACACGTAACACTAACAATTTTCAAATTAATGTGGAAATTGTATGAGAAAAGACGCGAGAGAGTAAAAATTTCCAAAATTTATCAATGAAACCATCGATCGCCCGGTAACCCTCAAATTTCATGATATTGTACACGCGTATAAATTCTCAGTTAACCCTGCCTGAATAGTAAATATCTGTTTTAGTTTAAGAGTATACTTGTTAAATGATCGTATTGTATTATACGTAATGATATCATTTAATGTAACTAAGTATGTTCTGGTCTGAAAGCTAATTTAATCAATATATTAAGATATATATCTATCTGTTCCATATTCACCTTTATGTATATATCTGTTACATAAGAAAACCCTCTTAAATCAAATCAGGGTTTGGACTAAAAATATAGTCCTCCCATACAAAATTTCGCGTGCTGATTGAAATTTGAATATTTCTGCTAAATCCACATTAAAGATTTTCAGGCGCGTTTTTTCAAAACCTAACAAAAATGGTATTTCAATTTCCAATACCCGCTAAATAATTTTTGTCGCTCTCGTTCCTACACCAAGCCTTATGTTTACCTCAGTCACGTGAAACATGAGCATCCAATCGCTATAAGAAGATGAAGAAGAAGGAGAGATTGAGTTGTTGAACAAAAGAGAAACAGTACTTTTGACGACTCTTAAAGAAAAATAGCAGTGTTTACTTAATTACATGTCGATGTTGCGGTCAATGTTTCGTGAATGTAAGGTCATTACCCGGTTTATTCCAAATTATGGTCATATTACCCCTAAAGTGAATATATTGCAGTGCAAAGCAACATATAGAACTATCCATGAAGGAAGTGACGGTAGCGCATACACGCCACCAAATCTGTCGGAGATTCCACGAAGGTGGCCTGTTATGAAAAATATGGCGTTACAAGAAGAAATTAAAGAGTACCTCGATTGGAAAATGCAGGGACCCTGGCAAGAGATGACTCGTGAGGAGAAAGTTGCTTCATTTTATCTCGCATACGGTTTATGGGGTCCTAGAGCTGGTGTCAGAAAGGAAGCTAATCTTGGTAAAGATACAGAGATTAATATTACGTACTTCATATTTAGAGTCCTATTCAATGTCACTTTACTAGGGGCACTAGGCGTCTCGTACATCAATTGGAAGTACGACAAAGAGAGAGAAAAAGAGATGGAGGACAATCAACTTTGAGATGACCGTCGGTCACCAAGACTGCATTACAGTTGAGTATCGATACTTATTATCCTTTTACGTTAGTCCCTTAATCAAAACTGTGTGTTACCCTGCCGCATTACGAAAATTTTTCGTTTTGTTTGCTTGTTTCTTTAAGAGAAGAAACGCGCAACGGCAGATTTTCAGCTGTAAACAATTTTTGCAAACAGAGACAGAAACACGAATTGAGAACAATATGAAATTAATGAAATTTTAGCAAACTGAATAACCTTCTAAACGTGTTTATATTTGAATTAATTAAACATTATATATTATTTTTATTATCTTTTTATATATTCTATTTAGTCCAGCAATAACGATAAACCTCTTTTTATTCATTTAGGCGTTATCTCTCTTTGGTTATACATTTATTAGTATTACTATTGGAATTTTAGGAACTTTATATTCATAGACTACGATATCAACATTGAAATTTTTTTTATTTGATTTTAATTATTAACTAGTTAAATCGAAATAATAATTGAAAAGTATTTACATATTATAAATATAATGTCTGAATTGAAAGTTGATCATGGTTCTATGGCTGGGATTGCCAACTCCGGTCCAATTTCTATTTTATCTTACTGTTGTTCATCTATTTTAATGACTGTAACAAATAAATTTGTTGTTAATTTGGAAAATTTCAACATGAACTTCGTCATGTTGTTTGTTCAATCTTTAGTATGTTGTTTGACTTTAGTCGTTTTAAAAGTCTTAGGTTACGCCAAATTCCGTTCTTTAAACAAAACTGACGCCAAAAACTGGTTCCCAATCTCTGTTCTATTGGTTCTAATGATTTACACCTCTTCCAAGGCTTTACAATTCTTAGCTGTTCCAATCTATACTATTTTCAAGAATTTAACTATTATTCTAATTGCTTATGGTGAAGTATTATTCTTTGGTGGTTCTGTCTCCTCTATGGAATTGTCTGCATTCTTATTAATGGTTCTATCATCTATAGTTGCTACATGGGGTGATCAACAAGCTTTAGCATCAAAGGCTGCCTCTCAAACTCTAGGTGAAGCTGCTGGTAACGCTTCCGTGTTATTAAACCCAGGTTACTTCTGGATGTTTACTAACTGTATCTCTTCCGCATTATTTGTCTTGATTATGAGAAAGAGAATTAAGTTAACCAATTTCAAGGATTTCGACACAATGTTCTACAACAATATTTTAGGTCTACCGATCCTATTAGTTGCATCCTTCTGTTTTGAAGATTGGTCTTCTGCCAACCTAGCTGTTAATTTATCTAACGATTCTTTGACTGCTATGATCATCTCAGGTATGGCTTCCGTTGGTATTTCTTATTGTTCTGGCTGGTGTGTTCGTGTCACTTCCTCCACTACTTACTCTATGGTTGGTGCTTTGAACAAATTACCAATTGCTTTGTCTGGTCTACTATTCTTTGATGCCCCCAAAAATTTCTTATCTATTTTATCCATCTTCATTGGTTTCTTATCTGGTATCGTGTACGCTGTTGCCAAACAAAAAAAGCAAACAGATCATAAGGCTCGTAAGTAGATAAGTGCATGTCTAATATAACAAAAAGACGGGGACATAGGACATCAATTAATGGAAAATGAAACATAAAAGAGAAAGTAGATTTCTTCATTTAAACATTATTTCAATTCCATAATATACGTATATATTGTTATTATTATTATTATTATTTTGGGTAGTATTGCAGTAATGTTAGCATTATAAACTCATAAATCTTCTATGGACATCTTAATATTTTCTTTTCCCAAAGTTATGGCTCTTCTCTTCTTTTATATGTATCGTTTATTATTATATAAGTCTATACATAGTTGTATGCTATTTGATCAGTCAATAAATATATATATATATACGCTCACTTTCCGTTCTTTTAGAAATTGTTCTATTATGTATCTACAGACAGATTAATGATCATTACAAAATAAATGAGGTACAACAGTTTGTAAGTCTAATATATCTCTAATGACTATTGAACCATCAGGTGTTTTCCCTAAAATTTCATTAACTTCATTTTCTACCACATGAACACATTGATGCATACCTAATTTTAACCCTTGATGTATATTACTACCACTATCATCGATAAACCAAGCATTCTCATAATTTCCAAGACCACATTGTGCCATAGCTCTTTCAAAAGCTTGTGGATTTGGTTTACATACCAAAGTATCCGTCTGGGAATAATCACAATACGTTATACCATCAAATATATCACCGAGTCCCAATAATTTAATTACTCTAATACCATGATTCTTATAAGCGTTAGTAAATAACCATAATTTATCAAATTTCTCACTTTTTTTCAATTTTAAAAGCATTTCTCTTAATTCAACATTAGGTTTCAATATATCTTGTAACGGTAAAGAATCATCAACCAGTTTGTTATATTCTAAAGCGTTAATACCATGGAACATTACTAGCCCACGGATGGCAAGACCATATTCTTTGTAATAAGTATTGTTTAATTGATGAGCTTCTTCATCAGTTATATTCAGAGTATTTTTAAAGTAATTCACAATAGAAACTTGCATCAAATCATGGATTTTACTGGAAGATTTGTATAGACAATTATCGATATCAAAGAAAAAGACACGCATATTATCATCTGGTGTAGGTAATGGGTTTTGAGGTTCCACTGGGAATGTAATCTGACACCCAGGATGATTCAACGAACATAAATGATCTACGTTCTTTTGAATTTGTTTCTCCGTTTCCTTTTGATAGACTGAATGTGGATCAGTATCGATAGTCATATTTATGATTTATCTATATTTGTCTAGAAATGTGTGTTCGTTATATATATTAAATTATTAATTGCTTTGTAATCAAATTAAAAACAGCTAAAATAAAAGCAAAGAAAAAGAGGTTGCCTTAGTTTTTATGATATAAATATATATA